TAACACTGTACTACTATTATTAAATCAAAATTTTCAACAAATTATTTTTAATAATTTTTTATTTAAAATTGCATTTATATTATAACTTATAACTTATTGAAAAAAGATCCAAACCAAACCCATTTTAAGAACAAATCAATTACACCATTGAAATGTTATTAACTTTTGAATTGATTATATATTTTAAACATAAATTATGGGTTTAATTTATTATTTAATGGTTAACATATAATATATTATAACTTAATGAACAATATTTGATAATTATAGGACTTTAAAACAAAACAAATAAAAACACACAACAACACAACAATAACCAAAAACAAACAAAAATAAAACACAATTTTAATAAAAAAGTAAAGTTTATAGAATAAAACACAAATAGTAGTCAATAACATTATATTAAATGTTGTCTAAATTGAATACAACATGCCAAATAAATGTTAATTTCAGATGACCTTACCAACGTTAAATCTTTAATTGTTTCATTTTGTTTTTTCAAGTATTTTTTAGAGCTACAATGACTTGAAGCCATCAAATACTGCACTCTTAATTGATATCAAAAAGTTAGTTTCTTCATTCACTTGAACAATTTTTATATTCAGTGTTGTTGAAAATGGAAATTATTTTTTATTTGTTATGTTCTGAGTCTCTTGTTCGCTTTTTGGTTGTTATTTTTTATCATGTTTATTATTTTATTTTAATAAATTTATTAATATTTATAATAAATGAGTAATGATATTTTATTTGTTTTTTTGTAATTTCTCTCAACCATTGTGACTATTTAATTTATTTTTGTTGATCAAGTGATCAGCACAAAATGATGTTTTATCATGTTTTATGTTAATAATTAAGATATTGTTATTATTTATTCTTCGTATAAAACCAATCTTTAAGTTGTAGTCGGTCGGGGTCATATATTCAAGTGTTGTTATGTGTCTTGAAATTACCAATTATGTTTTGTATTTATTAACACGATAAGTTTCGGAATAATCCCGTTTATATAGCCAAAATAATTAAAATACGATTAAAAACACTTTCAGATTTTTATAAAAAGATGTGTCATTTTAAATGACACATGTTGTTATTTTTTGTTGTGGGTTATGTTTTAAGTAAAAAATTTATTCTCATTAAATTATCACTTATTACATATGTTTAAAGCTTAAGTATCATTATAATACAACCATATGGATTGGAATTATGATATGTCATTTTATTGTGTTTTAAAAAAATGTGTTTGAAAAATAAACACATCTCATCATTTTTATTGTTTTTCTAATAAATTATTAGCCCATTATTACTATTGAAATGATGTTTGGTTTAAAAATACGTTTGATGTTTTGTTGTTTCGTGATTTTTCTTGAATAGATTTATGAAAAAGAAATTCAAAAAGATAGTTCTACAAGTTTATAATATGTTTTATTGGTCAAAACAAAGATTGAATTGCTTTAAGAAATTTCATTTAAAAAATAATGAGTTTTTTCTCTTTTTTTATAACAAATTATATGTTTTTTGTTTTTTAAATTGTTATTTGGGTAGTGCAGGTATGGCGCAGGTCTTTACTCTTAATTGTATTATCAACATAAAAAATACACTTAAAGATAAACTTTAAAACTTGTTTGTTGATTACATGTTTAATTGTCTATTGATATTTTACTTTTTTACTGATTTGTTTTATTAAATTTCTTATGTGAACTGCTTTGTATTTACCACTTTATCATTTAAATATCATCTCATGCTTTATTTCTGTTCTTTTATTTGGAAATGGGTGAGTTAACAATCACATAGTCTTTTGGTCAACTTTATTACATGAAAAAAATATGATTTATTTTTGTTCAATATTTATTATATTTCAATTATTATTTAATTAAAAAATAAGTTATACACATAAAACTTCTTGTTTTTTGTTGTGGCAAATATGTTTAATATTTTTAAGAAAAAGGACGAATAGTTGCACGAAAGACTGGCGATATTTTTTAAAGACGTCTTTTGTGTATTAGGGATGTCTTCCCGTTATTTTTGATGTCCTCACTGTGTATGGGGATGTCCTTTCTATTAATTTTGTGTCTTCTGGGTTTCAAAAACTATAAAATGTATTATAATTTAATCATTATTTTACTATTTAATATAATAATCATTTCCAAAAATAAATAAAATAGTTAACAAACACTATAGAACAAGTAATTTTGTTATAAATTAATGGTTTGAATGAATTAATTGTTATTTTTTATTGGTCATTTAAAGTCACTTTGAAACAGCTTTTCCAACACAACAACCCAATACTCCCACAATTTTAGCAAAAAATAATTACAATTATTATATATTGAAAAGTATATGATATCATTTTATATAAAACAAAAAATAACAACAATAAGTCAATCAAATTCTGCTTGTGTTTTGTATATTATTGAGATAATTGTGCTCATCTAACACCTCTTCAATTTCTCTTTATACATTAGATCCATTTTCATCATGTTCGAATCGAAGCGCTTCAACATTTGCCATTGTTCCTCCGAGCCTCTCGAAATTTTCAATTATTCGTTTAGCAGACTGGGGAATTTTGATTATTATCTTATCGTTTAACAAAGAAGGGTTCAAAAGATAAAAATGAATATCCCACATTGGGTGCATCATAATATGATAATTGTTGAAGGCGTGGCACATTAAAATCACATCTGCATATTTATCAAGTGAATATTTCCACTTCTTTTTGGTGATTTCGAAAAGAAGAGTAAGTCTTCCAAAGGAATTTTCAACTATTAGTCTGCAATTGCTAACAAGTGAATTTCTAAGTTTTGTTAAGGCGTGGCAGTGAGGATCAGAAGGATAAGGCCATGCAGTTATACCATTTTTGCACCTCTATAACCTGTATCACCCAAAAAACATTCATTATTTCGAATATACTGATCCCATTCATACAAACCAAATATACTAAAATCGTGATATGAACCTGGTATTGAAGTTGTTATGCCACATGTCAAACCAAAATAATTGACACTCACACTCGTTTTGATTGCCGAGCAATTCAATTTTGGTGAATAAAACACTAAATTTGTGAATTCCCTTTCACTAACAATTTTCGTTTATTAGTAATAGCATGATCTCTCACATCAATTGTGGTATAACACTTATCAAGATCCTTTGGGTGTTCTTTAAAAACATGATCTCTATAACTGATAAATGGTAACCTCATCGATTCACATTTGCCCACTTGTATAATTAAATTTTCGACTGCACATTTTTAAATGATTCAATTGCTTTCCATACCGCTCTTGATATTTCTTTTCTGTTTCTGTCGTTGACTCTTTGGACATAATGAGTGTTTGTTTCATTGTGAAGTCTGAAGGAAGGATTTACAATTTCATTCACTTTCAAAAGATAAAACAGCGTGTTAAAGTCACAACCTTTATGCAAAAAAGTCATTAAAATCAAAAACAATTCATACAAAGAAAATACACAGTTTTTGTTGAGTGAAGGTATTGTGACAGACATTAATGAGTTGTGAAAACAAAATTTAGTTATGTTGTTTTCGTTTACACTTAGATCAAATTTACATGTTGCACAACACAGAGAAAATAATTTTTCAAATTCTATTTTGGTAAATCCAGTAAGAGTTTTACATTCATTTTCTGAAGTTAAATTAATATCAATGAGAGTTCGATGAGAATTTGTTGATATCTGTGGAACATCTGAGATAATCGGAGAAGTCATTTGTCCACTATCAATGAGCTCTTCGATACGAACAAAATATTCTTCTTGTTGTTCAGCCCAAAACTCATTACTTGGAATTTCCAAACATGTGTGTGTATTTCTATTGTGTCTCAGTTCTTCTGTTAGTCTTCTTCTGATATTTGCTGGCTGTTGTGGATTGTGTCTAATTTCTTTGGCTGAAGGTTGACGAAGTATTCTGTTTTCTCTGACGGTTGTAAAAAATGCCAAAGGATCATTGGGATCGATTCTAGACTCGAGAATTGGGTTTGCCTCATTAAGGTGTAATAGATTTTCTTGTTGTTCTGTACCAGTATTGTGATATGTTAAATGATCTTCCACAATCAATTGTTTATTTTGTAGACTACTCGGTGGATTGTGTGGTTGATCAAAATCAGTGGTTGTAATCGAATTAAGAGTGATATTATTTAAATTTTCGTGGTTAATTGTTCCATGTGTTAGTATTGAAGAAAGTGATGATGTTATATTTTCTGTTTCAACATCATTACTATTTATTTGTTGTTCATGTTGTAATGAATCGTCTTGAATTGCGTTTGACGTGTTTGAATTTGGTAATTCAAAGTTATTATTATTCACTGTATGCGATTGATCGTGATGTCCATCATTATTACAAGAAGACGTCAAACCCGATAATTCTTCATTCTTTTTTACAACCGTTGTTTGGATAACAGAAGAAATCGAGTTATTTTGTGTGTGTACTTGATTATTTATTGAAGAATTTCTTGATGTAAATGCAACGTACTGGTCATCAACATGAATGATGTTAGTAGACTTTTTGTTGTTTTTTCTACCAGGCGGTCTTCCTCTCCTTTTTGTGACCTTTTTATAATCATATGTTGAATGTGTAGTTAATGAATTATTTTTTTAAAACCATTAATTTATAATAAAATTACTTATAATTTAGTGTTTGTTCGTGATTTTCGAAGGAGATCACGAAAATAATAGAAAGGACGTCTCTATACACAGGAGGACGCCCTTTATAACGGGAGGACGTCCTTCGGCCTATTTTCCCGTCCTTCGTCCCCATGTCTATCCTTTCTCTTTATTATAATATTTTTATTAATAATAATATTTAAAACCAAAAATTAAAAAAAATTAAAAATCAAAAAAATATTTGTTTTTTATTAATTAAAAAAAACAAATAATAATTATAATAATTGAATTTACTAAAACAAATTTATATCTTTTTTATTTGTTAAACAATTGAAAATCTATTTTAAAAACAAACAACACATAACAACAAAACTACAATATAAGACAATTGTCAGTCGATGAGTAAACCCAAATTTGTGAGCACAATTCGGTACCACAACTCATTACCAAAAATCCCCGTGGAGTGTAAGCACCTTCGTTTTGTCGTTGAGATGGACGATTTTTCAAGTTATGTTCCGACGACACTCGAAGACTCATTTAAACTTCCTTTACCAAATGACCCAACATTTGGTGTGAATGCCGACACCAGTTTGCCCGAAGTGTTTTACACTCCCAAAATAGATCCTTCGTCAACCATTCCAAAAGATCTTTTCGACGTGACTCAAAAGCTGTTTGTGTATGTATCACTTATAGTTTATTTATAACAAAATTACTTAATATTATAATACAGTATTAGCTTACGCATAGAAGTTCAACAACAGGAACAATACAAATCCAGCCTTAAGTCGCACACTTAATTCTTCAATTCGACTGTTTTTGTGCTTTTGTGTTATCTTGAAGTGAACCAAAATGTTAACAATCAAGTCACTTACGCGTGTTGTTGGCAGTATTGGTGGACGTATTGTCCATCGACACTCACTGCATTTTTGAAGAAATTGCCATCCTCACTGATGTCAAACTTTTCTTTGCATATCGAGCACGTCATCTTATTTTCATCGTAAGCCACTGTTAAAACAACTTTGTCCTCTTCTTTCTGATTCGCCGGAATCGGTGCCACCGCTTCTTCGACTTTCTCTCCGCCAAAGACCTCAATTGTTCCCGTCGAGTCAACCTCCTCGCCAACCCACAAACTCGGCGTTTTGTACCAATTTCGACTCACCCCATTGACCAACTTCTCGTTGCGCGTGTGCCACTCGGTGTGTCTTTTCAGTTCTTTGAAATACAATCCACACACAGGACATTTAAACGCGTCATTTTTCTCGCGTGTTATTGCCTTTTGCCCATCCCCCTTTTCGTTGTACCCAAAGTTTTGGAGCTTCTCCGTCTTCTGTTTGTCTTGTGTTTGTGCGGGAACTGGATTTTCGATCACACGTACGTCGACTTGTGACAGTGGTGGATTTTTGAAAGTGTTAATTTGGGCTTGTGGAGCGACTTGTGGAGTGTTTGGGTTCCTCTGTGTAGTGATTGTGTTCTGTTGTGTAGTGTTAATCGAGTTTTGTCCGTAGTTCATCGTCTTCACCTCTTCCTTCATTGAGTCAATTTGCGCCTCATATGGATTAATATTGTCGTTATAATTGAGTTGAATTGATCCAAATCGATTAGTTTCATAAGGTGAATTTGGTATGTCCATTGGGTCGAAGACATTCAATTTTTGTTGTGGAGCAATTGAAGGATCCATTTGTGGTACTCTCTTTTCAGGTTCGACTGGGGGAATTGGGGTCATTTTTGGTTGGGCATAGACCACTGCGATATTATCCATTTGATTGAGGGTGCCCATCTGATTTAATTGATTCATTGACTCCATTGGATTGATCGGATTCATTTGAGTCATTTGTTGTGGCTGAGTCATTGAAGGCATTGGATTCGTGTTTTGTGGAAGTTGTGGTATTTGTTGCGCTTGCGTTTGTGCAAGGGGTGTTCTGTTTTCTTGAAAAGGCAGTTGACCAAATGGAGAGTACATTTGCTGTTGTGGTTGTGGCGCAATTTGGTTTCTAATCCCATTCACTATTTCCTGTGGAAACGATCCGGTCCAAGTGTTCAACAAATCAATTAGATACTTCCGAAGTTTTTCATGACACGCTCGATACGCTCCGACAAACATGTCCACTAACTTCGGACAGAACATTTGGACATAAGTCCTCGAAACATCGTTTTTGACTATCGAGTCGATGACAAAGAGGACGTAGACTTGTTGTTCAGGGTTGAATGAGAACTGGTAGAACGCGTCGTTTGTTACATCGACAAACTGTTGAGCTTGTTGTGTTCCTTGGATAGCGGTCATTGTCAAATATTTGATTCGTTCGGAGTCGTTATCGATCTGAGAAATGATATTCCGGTATAATTGCAGTAAATCCATTGAGTTCATCACACAATGTTTTTTTTAAGTTTTTGTCTTGAAAAAAAGTAGTTTGCTCTTTTAATATATTTATTAATAATTTATTTATTAAACTGTCCATAACAAAATTTGTTAAATTTTAAAAGTGGCACTTGAAAAACATTTTTTAAAATAAAAAATGTTTTTCAAGTTTTATCTATTGGAGGCAGTAAAAAAACTGTATCAATATCATTAGTAAAAATACGACAAATATATAGTACATTAAGCCACAACTTAAAAGCAACCCAAATGAAGTCAAAGTATCTTAATCGTAACGTGAAAAAGAAACATATGATTGGTACAGACAAGTTTATTAAAGCTCGAATATGAGATAGAGCACAACGACAACCACCGCAATGAACACAAACCCGATACCCAAAATGAGGTTTGCGATGGCCCACAGCTTTTCTCTTCTGTCTTGGCTTCTTAACTTTGTGCACCCGACAACAGTAGCGCACGGCAATATAATTGAAATGAGGAACCTTGACGTTAGTATTCAGTATTTTTAAAAGTATAGATTAAGATAATTAAAGATAACAAAAAAATATGAACTATAAATTATAATAAATATATTATTTTTGAATACTAAATCGAAATATATTATAATATAATCTATTGTATAGAATGACTAATGTTTATATAAAAGCGTAACAAACGTATACAATCCAATTGGAGTTTTGTTAAGATCCTCAAGAATGTCTTGATTCGAAAGAGATCCGGAACCTTTGGAAGGTCCACCTTTGGACAATCCTTTCTTCGACTTTTTACTTCTTCTGTCGTGGGTGGTCCCCTTTGTCGAACGTCCTTTTGTAGTCATACCTTGCCCTTTGCCGGTACCGACTGTAAGGAATTGTTGACGAGTTGTCGTTGCAGTTGTTGTTGTGGTCGAGGTGGTCGACATCGATGAGCGTTATTTCAAGTTCTTTTCTTTTTCAAAATTTTTAAACGCAATTTTGGCTTGGAATGGGGTTTCATCACGGTCAAGTCCGTGTTTTTCAAATTCAAATCTACATTCATTTGCGTCTTTTCGCCACAAGCCTGAAGTGACTAATCTCCGGTTTTTAGGGATATTTCTCTTAAAATACAATAGTTTAAGCCACACTTTCGGGATGTGTGATTTTTCAATTTCAGTTTTTTTCAAGTAATGTATTTTTGGAAAAAATAAACCAAGTTCTAATTTTGGTTTTTATTAATTTGTGTTTAAAACAATTGTTTAATGAATTATACTGTTTGAGTTATTGTGATTGATTTTGCTGTGAATAAACGTAAATGATCGGGTGATAAAAATATTTTTTTTTTTTGCCTTTAATAAATAGTTTGTTTAAAATAAAATGAACATTAAGACACTCTTCCTGATAATTTACTGTTGATTTGTTGATTTTTTCTCTAAAATATTTGAATAAATAAGTCTTGGTTTAATAAATTGAAAACAAAATACCAATCATGTAAACTATAATTATAATATAATAAAACTATGTCAATTAATTTGTAATTATAAAAATAATAAAATTTTGTTTTTTTTCATTTTCACAGTGAAGAAAAAGCAGAAAATATTCCTAAAATATCGGGAAACGCGGGTAACTATTAAACTGTTTTATTGATTCAATTGTTATTATAATAATTAAATTATAATAAAATAACTAGTATTTACAATCAAGCCTTTGGGCTATATGTCTTCAATGGTATCAAATCATACCAACAGAAAATAACGCGTTTTTATTTTAAATATTTAGATGAAATAAAAAAAACAAGTTAAACAAATTACAAATAAATTATTATTCAGAGTTTTAATTTTAAAACTGAACCAATCAGGCAAATTCATTCATTCAATTTAAAAATACTAATTAGTCGAGGATAAATATAGTATTGTTTTCAAGAACAGAAAATAGTATCTGCATAGACCCGATTCGTTACAGAGTATATTATTATTCTCGACCGTTATCAATATTTCTCAAGAAGTTGTTCTATTTTTACTAAGTCGTGTTATTTTCATATTAATAACATTAATAAAAAGTTAACCAAAAAACCTGAAAAAGGAAATTAATTATAATATAATTTACTATTATATTAATTATATTAATTGTTGAAATAACTATATATATAGTTATATTTATTATATTTTATAATTAAAAGTATAACTAAATATGGCTTAATCGTAGAGGATCTTCTTGAGATCGCATGCAAATCCGAGCTTATCCAAAATGTTACAGACGGTCTTGAGATCGTTTTGTATGTTCTGTTGTTCTTTATTCACAGGGAAGGTAAAAAGGTATGAAGTGCCAAATATTTCTTGACTCATCAGAACTTCATGTTTGACCACAACAAGGTCGTTGTTTATTAACAAATCTTCCATCGTCTTCACAACTTCGTCAGTGTCGCTATAAAAGAATAAGAGACTTTGTCGAACAGTCACTTCGATGTGCCAGTTTCGATTCCTCTTATTGAATGCTCCACCGACCAAATGTAGTGTTAATTTGTCATACAACATGTCAAGAGCCTTTTTCGCGTTGTGTATATGTCCCTCACATTTTACATCAAATTTGAACGTGAAATTGTTTTGACTCAAATTTTTCTTGACGAATTTTGCACTCTCCAATTTGACGTCTTTTGTGTCCAAATCTGTTGTCGTTGATACAAAAATGACTGGCGACTTAGTGAAGGAAGTTGTGCACTTTTTGCTCACTTTTTTCTTTGCTATTTGATCGTCATATGATATGTAATAAACATTTCCTATAACACAGTAGTCACTGTTTTGACCCATTTCTACATAAACACCCTGTTGGGTGGGATACACTTTGTGGAGAAAAGCCTCTTTATTTTCTCGTTTGTTATTCACTTCAACACGCTGTTTCTTCTCCAAATTTTTCATTTCGTGGTATTCGAGATACTTTTGCAAATCACTTTCTGAGAGGACTTCAATAGGTCCAAACACTTTTGGGTAATTCGTACAAAATGTTAGACCAGAAAATGATTGTAAGAGTGTGTCGAGGATGTTTTGACTGGGGTGGACAAATTTGTTGTTCTCTCCATATGAGAGTAATGCGACTTGATGATTCAGTGTTCCTAAGAAGTACTGTGTTAAAGTGTTATATGACGAACCGTGGTGATTCATCTTCATCAATTGCACCGTGTCTATTCCAAGTGACTTTGTGATGTAATTTCTTAAAGAAATATCACTCGACTTCCACAGGTCTCCACTCGTGAGTAACACAGTCTCGTTGTTAATTAACAAACAAGAAATACTCTTTCTATTTTCAGGAGAAGTGTCTTCGTTTTCTATTGTTGTGTTATAATTCTTCTCACAAGACCCAACCACATACCCATCACATGCTAATATCTTGATGTCAATATCACCACAATACTCATTCTTTGTTATTGTAACACCCAATTCAGTCATCATTAATTCCATAAGAGACTTTTCAGTTAAACTTGATGAGAGAAGTTCATTCTCATTTCCTCGTAGAATGTCAACACCAAAAATTGCTTCAACACCTTCATAACATTTTTCAAACGAGTCCACGAAAATGGAAATTTTTGATTCTTTACTTAATTTTTCAGTTTCAGCATCATAGTCGATTTTTTCTGTAGTATAATCATTTCGAACAGTCCCTTTCACAAACTTGCATTTCTCTGGGACTTCAAGTTCCACGTCAACTTTCTTTTCAATTTCTTTTGAAGGTTTACTTTTTGCAACATCTTCTTTTGGTGTCTTGTCGATTGATTTTTCAAATGTTGGAATGTTCGGAATTTCACAAACTTCAACATCGTCGTCATCTATAAAATCTTTAGAAATTTTTTGAGGCACTTTACCAAGATATTTCTGTAAATATCGTTGAATATACTTTTTCGTGTATTTTTTCACACTCTTTTTGATCGCCAAGTCTTGTTGATCGATTTCTTTTTCTTCGATCTTTTCAATTAATTCAGTTTTATCAACACTTTCACTAGTTTTCTTAAGAGTCTTCTGTATTTCCTCTTTTGCTTTTCTCTGAAAATAATAATTAGGGTTTGAGTCTGCTTTGTTCGGTCTCATAGGACATAATAATATCGTGGTTTTAAAGTCTATCCATTCACTTATTCGTCGAACTCCTTGTTTTTCTTGAAACAGCCCACCACAATGGTCGCTGTCCCAATGAGTAATTATTAAGGCATCTAAATAGCGATTTCCAACTATCTTGTCAAGCTCTTCGGCAACAGTATAACCTTGCCCTTTGTCCCCACAATCAATTAATATAACTTTGTCTATCACCCATTCTTCTTCCGTTTTCTTTTTAATTATAACAATTGCTGAGTCTCCTTGTTGAACGTCAAGTAATTTATAATCTACTTTCCACTGCACCGACTTTCTTGTAGTTGTTGGAGACTCCATATATTATGTTTGATTCTTTTTTCTCATTGAAATATTTATATTTCATCAAATTCAAAATAATTCATTTGGATAAAATTTATAACTATATTTTACTATATAATTATTTCTATTTATTTATTTCCGTCTCATCAATTATTTAAAAGATGAGATGGTTTGTTTTTTCGAAGTTTGAAAAAAAACATTTTCTTTAATTGTTTTTATTATTATTGTTAAAATATTTTTTTAATGATTAATTATTTTATTTGTTTTATTTGTTTTATATATTTTAAAAATTATATATTCACCAACTATTAAGTATAGTATATAAATTATATAAAGTATTTATTAAATTTTTATTTTTATTTGATCTTTTATTAATTAAGAATTTTAATAATTCAATTAAGAACTCTATAATATAAATAATTATTATTGAAACTATATAACTTGAAAATATCAAATAATACTGTTATTAATAAAGAAACTAAAATAAATAAAACAGATAAAAACATAAATATATCTGCCTTAAATCTGCGCAGTTTGAGTTGGAACAATTTACATAGTCATATAGCCAGTGATGACACCACACGCTATTCTCTACATATAAGTACATTTCTCCATTCCCATTTAAAGAGTCCAAAACAAACGAAAAGTTCTTTAAGTAAAGTTTCAACTGATGGCTGCTTCTTCATAGTCTCAAACAAGACGTTGTCACACACTTCTGTCCCATCTACATACAGTGGTTTTGGGAATCCCCAATTTGAGTAATTGGCATCTTCTTTAAACACTACGACAAATGTTTGAGGAACACATCCAAATGAAGAAAGTTTGATTTCCTATTCGTCGGTCTTTCTATTCAAAAATTGTAATAACAGCATTACTAAAAATTACAATCACAAACTGTGTCTTTCACTTCATAAGTGAAAAATCGATTGATGTTACAATAGTCGTGAATCTCTTTGACAAATGCTCTACACGTTACCACAAGTCCGTCACTTACCATCCAAGCGCACATTCAAGTCTCCAGCCGAGCGACCAAAGCAAGAAACAGAGCAAACGAGGACTTCAAATAAATAATATTAAAAATAGTATATTTATAGTAATAAAATATTATTATATTGTATGTATTATAAAAATGGTAAATTTATAGTTATAAAGCTATTAATAGTTTACATACTTTAATACCTCAAAGTTTATTCAAAAGTTCTATTACCAAGCCTCAAAATAGCATTAAAAAAAGAAATTAAGAGTACGACACTCTGAAGAAGAAAACAAACTGGAATTTTTGATTGTTACTATACTTCACTGTATTTTCTCTGACAGCGAGTGTTTGAACTTGTTTCAGTCCTTTTAACAACTCTTTTCTTTTGAGGATATTGGGGTCAACACACGCCTTCTGTTGTACTTTTAACGTTCTGAAATACCTAGACTTATCCATTGATTGAATTCGAAGCTTATTTTTAGTGTATGACTTTACTATGTGTTGTTCCTCGTCACTCTCGAGTGCAGTCTCGGAGACACTTCTTTCGACTATTTGTGTCTCAGCGATTTCTTCCATTGACTTATTTTTATCGGGATGAGTGATGACACTCTCAAGGGAGTTAGTGATATTTTCCTCTAAAGAGAGAATACACGACAATCTCTTCGTGTCCGAAAACGTGAAGGTGAAGTACTCCCCCTCGATTTTTCTTCGTGGTTTTGTGGCAAGAAAAGTGATGGGAGGAAGTTCGTTGTCACTCGTCTTTTTCACACATCGTGGAGAATTCGTTTTAGACCCTGTTGCGTGGTACTTGGGAAGCTGGAGCCTTTTTACTGGAGCTTCAGCCCGCAACATCAGTCGATTTTTCGAACTGGTAGTTCAGGTTCTATAAATTCCTCCAGACGTTTGGTCTATTTATTGAACTATTTGTTTATAGCTTTTGTAGTAACAAATTAGTTTGGACAACCAGACACAACTCGCATCTTATTGGCTAAAAGAGCCCAATTATTAACTTTGATTAATTTTACTATAAAATATTAGTTACAGGAATCAAATTTTTTTTTTGGTAATGGTAACCGGCCAATCAAACAACGCTTTTTAACACCAGAAAAAATAATAGAAAAATCATCGTTTTGGGCGGAAATAGAGCAGGGTTTCTGTCACTCGAACGTTCGACAGACGACCATGCGGATTCATACAACTAAGGTACCACTGTGGCATTTTGATAGAAGTTTTTATTATATTTTTACTATATATGAAACTAGAGTAAAAGCACTGTGGTTACACCAAAACAAGATTTCTCGGTTTGATTTTTATGGAATGCGAACGCCGAACAAATAAAAAAGAGAGTTTGCAAAATGTGGCCAATCAATTGGCGAAAATCAAAAAGACAACAACTTTGCTTTCATTTCGGGCTTCTCAAAATTGTGTTATGCAGTTTTATGGTTTGCTATCTTATTCATTCATTGTGTGTATTACAGGATTATTTCAAAGTGTTACAAATATATATTTGTTGTGTTTGGACTTCTAGGAAAAACCATTGGAAGTCAAAAACTCGAACTGGCAAAATGTGGGGCTTTGGCTTTTATTTTGAAAACTAAAAACTGAAATAAATTTTTGATGTTTTCAAAACTCGGAGATCAGTTTTAATTGATATAAAAAGTGACTATTGCTTTACGATAATATCAAGCGAGTTTATTTATTTCCAATTAAATCCCTTGATACCTAACATAGATAATCATTCAAAATCTCCGACGCTATGATAAAAGACTGTTTTACAGCCTATTTAAAACATTTCAACAACGATTAAGTCTATTCAATTAAAAAAAGGACTTTTTCAGATTCACCAAGATTTCAAAACATGAAGAAAACAATTCTCCGAAGATTTAAAACAAATTTTAAAAGTCAAAAGCAACAACATTAAATTTCTTCGAGTATTTGATTTCAAAACCCTTTCGGACCAAAGTTTAATATTTTGGAAGTTTTAAACACAAGACTTATCAACACTACCTTTACAATTTATTTGTAAATTTATACTTGGGTTAAAAAGACAAATTCTAATACAAATAACAATTATTATAATATATAGAAATTGTCTAACACACACATTAGCTTTGCTCAACCACAAATCAAACATTCAATCAATTTCTATATACTCAGTCTTATTTGTTGTGTTTATTATCCTACGAGCTTTACTGAGTACTTTCTCTTCAAACGCAAAGAAGTCTGGCTCAACAACATTAACCGAGTCCCGAAGTATCTCCACAGACACTACCATCACATTATCTCCAAAAGAGTGGTTGTGATCATTGGAGACTTCTATTTGGCTGATGGCGTCTGGATGTTTGAACACAACAAAACAATCGAAGTCAAAGCAAGCAACCCCAACAATGATACCAAAAGTTGCCAATTTCGTTCTGAAATACTCTTTGTTGTAATACCCTTTGGGTACCTTACTATCCCAATAGAACCGCACAGAAAGGGGCAAATGACTCGGAACTTTCGAATGCCGATTTTTATACCACTTTCCAACATCCTTAGCTACTCTGTCACCTTCTACCTTCTTCTGCTGCTCTTCAAAGAGCGCAGTCACTCTCTCCGCGTCTTGGTACTCCTTTTCCTTCTTCAGAAGTTCTTCAATCATTTGCTTCCGTTGAAGACCCATTTCGGTCATGCGGCGTTGTTGCGCAAGTCGGGCGTCCAGGACTTTGTTGTACGCTTTCCTCGCGAAATCGTCTGTGAGCACATCTTTAATCTTCTGCAGTAAATGAAATGTATCGAAATCGTGGGTCGTCGGATTTGTCAATTTGTCGGGATGTAACATCACTGCTTTGTGCTTGTACGCCTTTTTTATCTCAGAAACAGATGCGTCGCGAGACACCCCCAAAAAGTCGTAATAATTGACTTCTTTTGTCATATCCATCTTCTTTATTAGTTATTTTTATTAATATATTTATTAAATTATATGTTATTATTTATTACTCTTTTTACTATATATTTAGAATTTGTTCACTGACTCTTGATGTATAAAAATGTTGGTCATTATGTTGAATTTTTGTATTTTTTTGATTTGCCATGTGTGTCCACGATGTTTATACAGTACAAAGTAATCAAAAAACGCTATTTGATTGTCTTAGAAGTGAATGTATTCGACTTTGTAACTGTTTTATTTAAAGAAAGAAGATGTTGTGTTTTGTTCTCAGCTTTTTTGACTTACAATTTTGCTATTAAAAAATTCTTTAAAATAATTCTTTAATAATTAATTATAATATTTATAAACAACGAATGACCTGGAAATTAAAAAGTAATTTCTCATATTGAAATAACAAGGATTGATTCGAATTTCAAACTTTATAATTGATATATAAATATTCATACCTTACAGTTCCATTTTCTTTTCTCAAACTTTGACATGTGAATACACGTAAATGGAAATACAAGACGGTCAATTAAATGCAGTGTTTTTATTAATAATATGCCAAAGATAAAGAAACAACTTAAATAAAAAATTAACATCAATAATATTCCAAAGTGAACTGCAAAACAAGAACGATGGCAAAACTCCAGTATGATCTTCTTTTTAAAATATTAGTAATAGGTGATTCTGGGGTTGGGAAGGTTTGTGTTCGCTTTAGTGATTATGTTACATCCTCAAAGTGCTCCGAACAGTAAATTCAAGTGTAACGCATAGACTTCAATCATGCAAAGGTATTGTGACCTTGACTTTAGTTCCGACTACATTTCGACTGTCGGTGTTGATTTTAAACCCAAAGTTTGCTCATATACAACTTGTTCTTATTTTATTGATTTCTTTCATTCAAACCTTTCAAACGAGTCATAAGCAGAACTTCTAAACGAAAAAGAATTTATAATTTCACGTGTAGATGCTCGAAGTTGGAGAAAAGAGGATCAAGCTTCAGATATGTTTGTTAACTTGCACTCAATTTGCACTTTTTAAAAATAGAGACTAACAGTTAGGGGATACAGGTTTGTTCTAAGCACCAAATTTGCAATTTTCATCATAAAAAAGTAACCTCACAGCGGGGCAAGAGAGATTCATGAACATCACCGCTGCCTATTTTCGAAATACAACGGCGGTTTTAATAGTATACGATGTTAACAATCGGGTTTCTCTTGAACGCGTTCAAATGTGGTACAGCGAAGTGAAAGAAAAGACGGGTAAAAACACGCCAGTCACTGTGATAGTCGGCAACAAGAAAGAGGGCGACGTCGAACCTGTCGTGAAAATCACTGAAGCGCAAGAAGTCGGCAAGAAGATTGGGGGTGTAAAAGTGATGGAATGTAGTGCTAAAGAGGGGGTCGGCATCACGGAAATTTTCGATTACGTCGTGGAAGAGGTTTTAAAGAATATGGAAAACGTCCCGCCTTTGGACGATGAGAGAGATGTTCAATTGAATAATGAACAAACTAAAAAAGGTTGTTGTTAATTCACTGTAGTCCTTTTCATATTCTATATCATCTAATTATCAAAGCTATAAAATATTATAATTATAATATAATAAAGATTTTAATAAATTTATTATCAAATTATAATTTATTTAATTTAAGTTGTTAGTTAAATTTATTTCCAATACATCATGGTTAGGATTGTTTATCTTAAACCCGATTTGTGGCCATTTGTCTCTTTGATTTCTTTTAAACAATCAGGAAATGAATAAAAAATCATGATCGTGAATACATGTCATTAGATCCACTTAATTATTACAATTGTTTTGGTTGTCGCCTTAATTGTATGACAAAATCAACATGCCATTTTTAAATATTGTTTGGATTTTTTTATATGAAAGGAAATTTACTGGAGGAGAATTGTTTTTGTTGATGAATTCAAAGAATTTAAAATTATTTTTAACGAAAAAATCGAGTTTATTATTAAATATTTGTTATTTTTGATAAAATAAAAGAGGCAAAAAAATAACAAGAAAACTAAATTCATAAACGATAATTATAGTAAAACTGTTATTTATAAAACTATACATATCATACAATACTTTAAGGTTCTTCTTACTTTATAGGACAAACAAGTTGGTTTGCTATGAAGTCAAACTTTTTAAAAAGAAAACCTTATTTTTTAAGAAGAATTGAGGTTGATTCTTGATGATACAAAACCATTGATTGTATTTTTAATTTTTAAAGGAAAGAATACATGTCAACTTAAATAATATTAAATTATATTATATTATATTAAATTACTCGACCAAATTATAATACAAACTTAAAAATTCAAAAAAACGTATTCTTTTGTGTTGATATTCGTTGTACTGACAAGCGCTTTCGAGTGTTTGCCATATTCTACAGTCTGTGAAGGGGGTTATACAATCGATGCAGTCAAAGTCGAACCGTCTTTATGCAACACAATTAGAGTGTATGATGCTTTCAAGTTAACAAAAGAATGTGTGTCACAAATTTCTTACCCAGCAAAATTTATAGTGTCACATGCCGCTTGTGTCGATCTAATTTTTGAACAGAATGTTACTGAATATATCGACGAGTTTATATTGGAAGATTACTCTTCTGCCACTTTTAAAAAATCGTTCGATGTATTTCAATTCAAAGCGATCAACCCTGGAATACATTCCCAACTTATTTTTTACGAGTATCAACTCTACGAAAATATGGACATCAAAACACCACATTCACTCACTTTAAAATACACCAATGGAGTAACTTTCATTGACTCAACAGTCACAAACAACGCAAATATAATAGAAGTGACTGGCACACTTACTTTTATTAACTCGACGTTTATAAATACGGAATTCCTCGAGTTATCAGCAACGAACATAACATTCGAAAACTCAGTGTATGACTTTAGAAATGAAATGGATGTGTATTATGATCAGCCGAAGATATCAACAAGCAATTTGAACTTCTTGGGTACCTCCACTGGTAATTTCACAACAGGTGTGTTAAACAATATCAACAATGTTTATTTGTTTGGAAGTTCTCAACTCAATTACATGAAAGAAGACAATCAAAACGATTTGATATTCAACTTGACTCTTCAAGATCACTCAACGTTTCATATCTTTGGCGAATATCAAGTGGGTTCTTCGTATATGGAAGTCATTGGACATTCAACTTTATATATTGAGGAAGATGCTGTTTTATCCCAAAGCAGCACAACAATATCTGGCACCGTTTTTACAATATGTGAATATGCTACAGTCCATGTTTTGGGTTCAATTAGTTCTTTTAGTGCTATTTTAATTAAAGATAACGCATCTTTATATCTGAACGGACATTCAGCAACAGGGATTTATCCAAAGAAAATTAATATCACAATGTGTGGAAATTCGTATTTGGAGGTTGGTGGATCTGTACAATTACTATCAGAGAATTTAACGCTGTTTGACAATGCAAGAGCTGTATTTAAGGACAATATGAGTGTGTATGTCTTTATATTTTCTTTGTTTGACTCATTTCAAGGCATGTTGTTATTTCTTCACAACAACTCTTCTTTATATTTTGATGTGTATGACAAGACACATAGTGTCGATGGAATAGTATCAACTGTTATGTACGATACCTCAAAAATTGTATTTCATGGGAGAAACCACGGGTTTTTGTATCGAGTTGACATGAACGACAACTCAATGATCGAAATAAAAGACTCAATTGATGTGACGTTGACTCACGTACATCTTAACGACAATTCAATAATAAAGGTATCAGATACCTCAAAAGTTATTCTTGCTAATTTGGAGTCGTCTTCGACATCAAGAATAGTGTTCAATGGAGAAGGGAAAATGTCATTGAGATGTTCCAATGGTGAATATGTTGATGATTGTTTATTTGAAGAGAGTGTAATCAACTTCAACGGGTTTCCTTTCGACTTTACAAACATTTCGTTACATAGCACACCACTCAATTTATATGCAACAGAATTACACTTTGATGACTCGACACTCAATAACACTATATTGCCAATAGATAGATGTATTAATATTATCTCAATTGGTGACGATGCCACAATACCAACATTTACTAATAAACATTTCTACACGTTGTTTGATAAACACTTGGTGAGATATTGCCCAGACTCCTTTGATAGAAACACGGAAAAGACGTATTGTTCTCTCATTGATGAGCAATGGAACAATAAGCACTTGTTTGATCGAAATTACCCATTCGACCAAGCCCATTGCCCATATAACAACGTCGAAGTCGTGACTTTTTTAAATCGCGTTGTAATTGGTAACCAAAAAGTGTTGGCAAAATTTCTTAATGAGACGAATTTGGTGTTTAGTGTAGTGACCACTAATGTTCAAAAAGTTTCTGGATTGCTCAGAGAAGTCACTTTTCCGTCTGGAGTTGTTATTAAAAGTTTGTGTTCTGTCATTGAAAATGTGGCAGTCGAATTACTCTCAAATGGATCATATAGCTATTCGTCCATTTGTAAAATGTTTGTTGGTACAAATGACTCGACGAATTCAGACACACAAAAAGTGAGTGAAATAAAAGGAGTCTCAGAGAGTGGATATATTGTTATTGATGAAGAAACAATTATTGCATCAACAGACTTTGGACTACTTATTTACATCTCAAACCAACTTAAACCTTCCACTATAACAACTACTTTTAATTCAAATATTCTGGTTATTGGGAACATCGGATTTTACGTCAATGAAGAGTTGTGCACATATGGTCGTGTTACATCGACCTTATCCGAGTGTTATAAATATGACAAACTTCGATGTGATGATGGATATTATGTCAGTGAAATGAGTTGTGTGAAGTGCACGTCCAATTGTATAAAGTGCACTGAATTTGAGTGCATATTATGTGCTGACAATTATATACTCAGTGGAAGTGTCTGTGAAAAAAAACCAACGAGTTGTCTTGTTGCTCGCAACAATTTCTGTTTTGAATGTAAAGATACATATTCACAAATGGGTACAACATGTCTGAATACATCACCACTCCCCAATTGCACAATAAGTCGGAACAATTTATGTGTGAAATGTTCTTCTGATTTAATGGTTATTAAAGACGGAGTTTGTGTACAATATGACAAAGCGATATTAACAACCAAATTTTCTGTTGTGGCGTGTGAAATTGGGTACTACACATTCAATGGTACATGTCACAAATGTTCTGATAAACATCAGAACTGTTTGATGTGTGATTTGACAAAGTGTTATTTATGTGAAAATGGTTATGACATACAAAGTGATGGTTTGTGTAAGAGTCAAAACTGTGAGACATACAGTTCTATCGACATATGTATTCAATGCAAAGACGGGTACATCTTTGGTGAGTCAAAAAGTGTGAGACTCGGATTAAAAATTGTGTATTACAGTCATTATCAACGTGTTACAAATGTGAAGATGGATATTACCTTTCAAATGGTATATGTGTTTCCTTCATTGCAAACTGTATGACTGGAAACAACACGGGGTGTACACGGTGTAACTCAGGGTATTATCTTAACACACTAAAACTCTGTGAAAAATGCCAATCAAATTGTTTAACATGTGGGACGTCTCCTTCAAACTGTCTTTCGTGTGATGAGAACACCTTTCTCTCCGAAAACAAGTGTGTGACATCGTCAAAGTACAACAACACATGCGACAGATACACATCAAATGGATTTTGTGTGCATTGCATCTCTGGGTATTATTTATATCAAGACTCATGTCGAGAGTGCTTGTCCTCCTGTGACATATGTAGTAACAAATATTACTGTATAACATGTAAAGACGGGTACTTCATGTCATCCTTTGGAGAGTGTTTAGATAATAAACAGGCTGGAGCATGTTCAGTGAACGTTTCTACATCTCTTGGGTGTATTCGTTGTGATCCCGGAAACTATTTAAATGGACGGCAGTGTATACCATGTACTCTCGGATGTATTTCTTGTGACTCAACCAAGTGTTTCACGTGTTATGACAAATTTGTATTACAAGATGGCAAGTGTGTGTCTTATTACTTTGTATCAAATTGTCTTTCTGCACACGACGGACAGTGTTCCTCATGTTCCTTTTGGTATACTCCTGACCGTAACGGTTCATATTGTGAACGATCTGCAGTGTGGTGGGTGATACTTCTAATAGTAATAGTTTGTCTCGCACTTATTAGTATAATTGTAGTAGTTATAGTTCATATCCTCTACAGAATCATATCAAAGTATGTTCGAAATAGAAACTTGGACGATTTGGTCTTCGACATATCACAAACGGGTGTCCTCACGCATGAGCTCATTCAAGGCCTTTATACCAATGTGAGTCAAATCATCTTCGACGGGGATAATACACAACTCCCCGTCTTCAAAGAGTCTGTAACAAGCTTTGTCCTTGCTAATAAAGGAAAACAAACTGTTCGTGTACAAGTCAAAGGCCGGAGGAACAAATATCGGTATACCATCGAAGTGACTCCCCCAGTAGTGTTACTCAAAAGGGATCAAGCGTGCCAATTCACTGTTCTAGTGGAGCCAAAGTGTACCTGTCGCATTAACGACGTCATTTCCATCTTCATCAACGATATAAAGAAACCAAAAGGAGAGAATGTGACACTTCCAGTGCTTGCAGAGTCGGCGATGTCCTCGTTTTTAGACCAAACGGAAATTGAAGTCAAGCGTCTAGTTGGGGAAGGGACCTTTGGGAAAGTCTTTCTTTGTGTCTTCCGTGGCCAACACGTCGCTCTCAAAGTGATGAAACAAATTAACATAGAACAGCAGTCGCCCGACGAATTTAATAAAGAGATTGAAATGCTGACTAAATTTCGCTGTGACCAAATTATTCATTTCTTTGGAAGTGTTCGCATGGCAAGAATCGTTGGATTAGTCGTCGAATATGCGCCTCTTGGTTCATTACGGAACATTTTCATGAACAAAGAGATCGACGAAGTGTGCGACAAGATGAAAGTCAAATTCATGATTGATACGACTCAAGCACTCCTCTATTTACACACTAATGGTGTTCTTCATAGAGATGTCAAACCAGACAATGTCCTTGTCTTCAATAAAACAAGTATCATCACTACTAATGTTAAATTGTCGGACTTTGGGTCGTCGAGAAACATCAATTTGTTCTTGTCAAATATGTCATTCACGAAAGGAATAGGTACACCAGTTTGTTTGTGTGTTGTTTCATAAGATTGAGTAATGAATAGGTCTATATGGCACCAGAAATATATAACAAGAACAAATACAGTCAAGCAGCGGATGTCTACGCACTCGGAATAACTCTATTGGAATGCATGAAATGGGACGAAGCTTATGAAAACAAAACTTTTGTCTATTCATTCCAAATACCAGACTTCATTAACAAAGGAAATCGACTCCCAAAGCCAGCGAATGTCTCAAACGAAATGTTTGCAATCGTCCAAGCATGCTGGGACCAAACTCCAAAGAACCGTCCAACAACACAAACAATCTTAGAGCGCTTAAATCAAATAGAAGAGAAACTCCCAATGTTCTAATGTGGGGTATACAACAATAGTTTGAGTGTTTTGTATTTTATTCGTTTTACTATCTATATATTGTTAATCTTTCTATTATAATAGTTTAGTTAATATCATATAATAATAATATAATAATATAATAATATAATAATATAATAATATAATAATATAATAATATAATAATATAATAATTATAAAACTATCATTTACAATAAAATAATTAAAACAATAGAATGATGATATCAAGTAATTAAAGAATAAAAAAAACGTCACCCAAAAAGAATTAGAAATAGTTAAAAAATAAGAAAACTAAATAATACCAGAAAAGAGGCGAAATGGTCTTATCACAACTTGGATCAAGTATCGTGAATGCTCTTCGTAAGATGACGACATCTACTGTCCTTGACGAGGAAGTCATTAACACGCTTCTTAAAGAGATTGAAGCGTCTTTGCTCTCAGAAGATGTGAACCCGAAGTTAATAGCTGGGATGGTGACGAACATCAAAAGTCGTATAAACGCGACAGACATTCCGGAAGGTGTCGACAAGAGAAGATTAATCAAAGACTCTGTGTTTGAAGAGTTGATCAATTTGGTTGATCCGAAAACGGAGCCATTCAAACCCAAAAAGGGGAAAACGTCTGTGTTAATGATGGTTGGTTTACAAGGCGCTGGTAAGACAACGACAATAACAAAGCTTGCGTTGTATTACAAAAATCGCGGGTACAAACCATCTGTTGTCTGTGCCGATACGTTCAGAGCCGGAGCGTACGAACAACTCCAGATGAATGCAAAGAGAGCGGGTGTCCCATTCTTCGGAATTAAAGACGAGTCGGATCCCGTCAAAGCTGCTTCCGCCGGTGTGAAGGTGTTCAGGAAAGAGAAGAACGACATCATTTTGGTCGATACCTCTGGAAGACACAAACAAGACACGGAGCTCTTTAAGGAGATGCAAAGTGTGAAGAGTGCGATTAACCCCGATAACGTGATTTTCGTGATGGACGGAGCGATTGGGCAGGCCGCATTCGCACAAGCAAAGGCCTTCCACGACGCAGTGGACGTCGGGAGTGTTGTGATCACCAAATTGGATGGTCACTCGAATGGAGGTGGAGCGTTGAGTGCAGTAGCGGCTACAAAGAGTCCGATAGTGTTTATAGGAACGGGAGAAAAGGTGAATGAGATTGAGGAATTTGATGCAGAGAGTTTTGTGAGGCGACTTCTTGGGATGGGCGACTTAAAAGGGATCAATAAACTTGCAAAAGACTTTGCGGAGAACCCCGAGTATAAAACGATGATTAAACATCTTCAAGAAGGATCATTGACGGTGAGGGACTGGAAGGAACAATTAACGAATTTACAGAAGATGGGACAGCTTGGGAATATCATGCAAATGATTGGGTTGAATCATCCTATGTTCCAAGGAGGTAATATAGAGAAGAAGTTCAAAGGATTTACTGTGATATTGGATTCAATGACAGACAAAGAACTGGACGGGTCTGCTAAGGCTATGCTAGCGGACGAAAGTCGAATGAAAAGACTTGCGAAGGGGTCGGGGAGAGATATCAGAGAGGTCGGCGAATTGTTTGAACAAATCAAAATGTTCCAAGCGATGATAGACAGACTTCCTAAGGCGATGAGAGCACAATTGAGTAATACAAAGAACCCAACGAATGACGCAGATATGATGAATTACATCCAAAAAATGATGCCGAAAAACGCAAACCAACAACAAATACAACAAATGGTGAAACAAATGCAACAATCGATGGGAATGGGTATGGGCGGTCAAATGAAAAAAGGTAAGAAATGAATTCTTTTTTTAATTAAATTTGAGTCTTTATTTGAGGTTTTTCTTATTGAATGAAACTTTTTGAGTTCATTGAATGCTTTCGAAAATCGACGCTTATCACTTGATGATCATTTCAAAGTACTTTGTGACTATAAACGACTTTATTCATGTCCAATTGGTATGTAAAAAGTACAAGGACACTTTGGATAAGTTCCATTATAATCCAATTCCACTTACTTTGAAAACCATTTCGTATTTCCCAAATCTAGAAACACTCCATCTCTATACAAAAGAAGACGAATCGTTTGGTTTAAATTTACTTCCTTATCAATGTACACCGAAGAAAAAATCAAAAGGAAAACAAAAAAATTATTCTTTTTATAAAATCGTCATTTGGTTTCGTGTTTTCTATGAATTGACATTCAAAAAATCAAAAGTTGATATTGAGTTTAAACAAGTGTGTTATAAAGATATGTCAAGTACGAATTTAAAAACAATTCCTCAAAATGTAACCGCACTTGTAAAAGAGTGTTTCTTGCAACAAAAAACACTGCAGACAATCGATATCCCATCTACAGTCACTTCTCTTGGTAAAAAGTGTTTCTGCGGTTGTGACTTAACTTCAATTACTCTTCCTCCACACATTAAAAAGATGAAGAGATTGTGTCTCAGCAATAATCAAAATTTAGAATCAGTAATAATACCATCGTCTGTGTCTTATATTGGAGAGATGTGTTTTGGTAAATGTGTTTCACTGAAGTGCATCACACTACCTACAACACTTCTGTCTCTTCCAATTGGAATATTTGAAGAATGTCGTTCTTTAAAAAGTGTGAAACTTCCACCAAATATAACATCCTTTGATGCCCTTTGTTTTACTCATTGCAATGCTCTCAATTTTCTTGATATTCCAACTACTGTTGTAAGCATAGGGGTTTCATGTTTTGAGTTTTGTAATTCGCTCAGTACAATTGAATTACCAAACAGCGTTACTTGTATTAAAGAAAAATGTTTTGCAAATTGCACTTCTTTAAGTTCTTTTCAAGCTCCAAGTCAAATGACTAAGCTCGATGATAGCTTATTTATGTCTTGTGAATCACTAACTAATATCAGCATGTCTGCAAACATTAAAGAGATACGTATGAAGTGCTTCAAAAGGTGTATAAATTTGAGTACCATCGAGTTACCCAAAGCATTGGTAACACTTGAAGATTTGTGTTTTGAGGAGTGCAAAGCTTTGATGGAAATTGTCATTCCAGAGAGTGTTACAAAACTGTCTAGACAAGCATTTTCAAATTGTTATTCATTGAAGAAAGTTGTTATGGGAAATCAAATAACAGAAATACCAGACAAATGTTTTCTTGGATGTACATCACTTGAAACTATCATTTTTCCTTCGTCAGTCAAAGAGTTTGGGTGTTCTGCTTTTGAGCAGTGCAACTCTCTGAATACCATTAAAATCCCAGACACAGTCACTTTAATTGGGGAAATGTGCTTTTTTAAATGTAAATCATTGGAGAATGTTAAATTGCCTAAGAATTTAATAACATTGGGATATTCGTGTTTTGAAGCATGTGAAGCTCTTTCCCATGTTGAAAATCCAAGTAACATCGAATTTTTCGATCGAAGTTGTTTCGCATATTGTTACTCTCTACAGTTGAAATATAAGAAAGCTAAAAAAAGGTGGGAAACTGATGATGACAATTAAAAACTTTTTGAAAATCATAAGCAAAATTTTTTTTTGAAGTATTTGTTCAGTATTTTTTAATTACAGCTTTACATTTTTAAAAAATCGTTCACTTTAAAATTTTGATTTCATGTAAAAAACACTGGAAGGTTTTATTCAGTTGAACTGTTTTAAACAATTGGAGTATATAGTACCCCAAATAACAATAATAATTATATTAATTCTGTTTAATAAGAAACCATTGTATTATAATAAAGGATAATTTTAATTTATTTTCTAGAGTCATTCAAACAACGTTGTCTGATCACTAAAGGTTGTCTTTTTCTTGTTTTTTTACTGATTGAAAGAACATTCTTATTGATACTTTTATAATGACATTTTTTAAATAATTTAACAAGTTATTTTGAAAAAAAATAAATAATCCAAAAATTTAAGTATTTTTAACGCATTTTAAATCATTTTTTCTTTACAACGAACACTAAATTCGAATTGCTTATCAATGTAATTTAATCTTTTTTAATCAATTTTTATTTTAAAAAAAAATTATTTAACAACAAAAAAGAAAAATCAATGAAAAATATATTTTACTAAAAAATCACGAACTTGTAATTATCAAATTAATGGAAGCACTACCACCATCTTCCTATATTAATTTAACATATTTTACATCACGGCGACTCGACTTTAATGATTTATTGACTCCAATAAATAATTGTGAGTACAAACACACAACTTATGAATTTTTTGGGAAACAACTTGATACAATAACAAAACAATTCTTCCCTTTATTTAATTGTTGTGTTTATAATTACAACAATGTGATGAATTATTCAGTTGTTTATATAGAAGATGCAATCAGTGACAGCCAAAATGAAATTAATTATTTAAACTCTCTTATCGAAAAATGTCAAATATTGATTGATTGGATCACCAAAGCAATTAATGTTACACAACACACACTTGGTTGTTTAAATTATTTGAATCAGTTTGCCATTCCTCGTGCAGGGTTTAATCAATTATACAACTTTCTCGTGTTAAATAATATACCACTTCCAGGAGAAAGAAATGTGGCACCACCAGAGCAAGAAATTTTGTTATTCCAAAACAACGACCATATTATTAATGACCTGGAAATTGCAAACAATGAAGATGTTATTCAATGTCTTCCAACCCAACAAAAAGATTCACAAGTTGACTGTGAAGAAAATGAAGACAATGAACGTTCGGAATCTTCCGTTTCAATGCAATCAATGGACTCTGAGTGCAACAATGACCCCCCAAATAGAAAAACTGTTAAATGACGACGAATTTGATTGCGGGGGATTGGAATTGTATTTAGAAAAAATGGGATATCGAAACGAATTGGTCTACGTAACGAACGCGACTTTGAGATTTTTGGGACTCCCAAGAAATGTTAACGCAGTAAACAGAAGGCAACGAATGTTTAGAATGCATGAATATATGTCTAAAAAGTTCAATTTTATAACTTACACTTTGATGGCGAGTATTACCTCCAACATATCTGCAGATGTTTGGGGGAGGCAAATACGTCGTGCAAAGACGCTTCCGGGAAAATCGGGAAGAAAGGGAGTGTTTTCAGATGAAGAAAAAGATGCTTTGATTAAACAAATTAAAGAAAGTGAAAAAAATAAAGTACCAATGAGTTACAGTGATTTAATGCTTTTTATTGTGACAACACTGTGTCGAGAAGATGTAACAAAAAATTCTCTCTATCACTTCGTTGCAACAGACAAACGTATTAAAACAGTAACCGGAAAGTGTATGGAAATTGAACGCGTTGAAGTTGAACCCGAAAAAATTAAAACTTACTTTAAACTCTTATCAGAAAACGTTACTGGAGTACCAATAGCATTTATTTTTAATGGAGACGAATCTGGCTTCCAGCAGTGGGCCGATAAAATGGATAGCGTTGTTATTGTATCTTCAGATGAGACAAGAGATGTGGTTAACATTCCTATTTCACGCAATGGTAACAGAACTAGTATGCTTGGAGTGGTGTGTATGGATGGTTCTGCGTTACCTCCATATTTTATAGTTTCTACTAAAAGTGTTGAAAGGGAACTTGTAGAAAATGGAGTGACCAAGAAAAATGCCATTTTAAAATACTCAAAAAAGGCATTTATGAACACTTATCTATTCGAGGATTGGCTTGAAAATGTGTTTGTTAAAATATTAAACGAAAAAAGAAAAATGTTTGATTATTATGGTGTGGCCATATTCATCATTGATGGTTATGGTTCGCATTTGAGTCGACATTCGGTGAATATAATGTCCAGAAATAACATTCGTGTCATGCTCATGCCGAGTCATTCGTCGCATTTATTGCAAGTTCTCGATGTTGCCGTGTTTGCCAACCAGAAAAGAGTGTGTGAATCTGAAAAAAGTTTCATGAAAGATTCGTTTTCTTCTTTGTCTTATCAATCACTTCAAATTCTATCAATAATAAACTCTTGGCAAAAAGCCACAACCACAAAAAATGTTATTGCAGCGTTTGTTGCTTGTGGTTTAGTTCCAAGACTATCGACATTATGAATGTTGTGTGTGAGATTGTGCCAAAGTCTTGTTCCAAAATTGATTGGTTTTTTGACGAAGAAGAAATAAATGTGTGTAAAAACAGGCTTCTTCTTGAAGGGTTCAGTGAAAGATTGGCAATGAAAAAGGTATTAAAAACTTTGAGACAAGAATCTCGGAAACGTGACAACTCAAAACTAGAAGAACCATATGGCTTTATCCTGTTCAAAAACGAGAGAGTAAAAATTACACAACTTTGATAATGATTATTTAATTTATTTCATTTATTATTAATAGTTTAAAATGTTATTAGATAAATTATTTTTATGTTATTAAAAATATAGTTTTATTAATTAAACGTTTAAATACATTTTTTTCTGAAGGGTTGGTTTCAGTGTTAGGTCAAACTTTTTAAAGACATTAACATTTGTGTTTTGAAGGTCTGTTTTATTTGTTTTATTCCATTGCAACACATTGACAAATTACGTTATTTATTCTGTCTTTATATTAACGAGAAGATTGAATTATGAATAATGTGTTATATTTATACTCCTCCATTAAATATGGACCCATCTAACCATGTAAATATTTCGCTCGGTCTTCAATTTACTGAGTATTTCCACAACTTCCCATTATTTAATTATTATCAAATTGAACTTTCTCATAGTTTATTTACTCTCATCTTGAGATCGTTCGTTTGGCGGGGTTTTTGAACAAGGCATTAAAATGTGTCCGAGTAATAAATGAATCTTTTAATTTTATTTTGTAGTTCTTTTTATAAAGTTAATAATTTAAAATATTTTTTAAATAAAAAATATTTTTTTATTTTTTGTTACAATTCTCAATAGTTTGTGGAATGTTCTTGAAATTTTGGAATATTTTCGATGAGACAACGTTGTTTGACTGACTCTAGAAAAAAAATTGTTGAATTTTTTTATATCTTTCTATATTTATCAAATTATTTTTATAATACTTTGATAAGTAAAATCAATTATTATAATAAAAGTTGTAATTTAAGAACTTTTGCTGGTTTTATCATAAATTTTGAAAAGTAGTTGGACTTTATTTTAATGTTTTTTAAAATTCGAAAATCGATTTTTAAGAGTAAATATTCCCATTTTCAATTTCTAGAAATTGGTTTGAATGTAACTTTAAAGCATTTTTCTTTTATAAAAACCAAGATGAAACAAGAAATTAAAAAGCGATTGAGATGGGAAACACTAACGGCCGCCGTCAATGTGAAGAGCTTGAAAGAGAAGCTTTGGGATTGTCAGAGAACGACGAAAGTGATTCGTCGCTTTCAATAGATAGAGAGCCAAAAACACCAACTTTTTGGAGGAAAAAAAGATCAAATTCGACGACTTTGTTCAACTCAAAATGCTCGAAGAAAAGAAAAAATTCACTTGACTGCAGAATAACCAATTCAGACTTTTTTAGCCAGACCAAAGGCGTTTTAATCCCATCACCAACATCTTCATGTTCTTTAGAAGAAAGTCCAAAAAATAAACACAGTGAGTCTCCAATCAGAATTGACAAAGAACTCGACAACTCGTTCAATTTCTTGGAACAAATTGGAAACTGGACAAATTCTAAAACGTTTAGTTTGATCTATTATAATAGACAAGAAGAGTTTTCATCAAGAGAATTAAACAACAAAATATGTGGGAAGTCCAATTTGTGTTTTCTCATCACTACAGAGTCTAATAAGGTCTTTGGATGTTACTGCGCTGACATAGTTCCTTTACCCCAATACATCAACACCAAACTTACGAACCAAAAGACATTCTTCTTGTTTTCGTTGTCACATATTTATTCTACTCGACTATTCCCAAAGACTCAAAATTCAATTATTATTCATCCTAACAATGAAAAGTCTTTTGTTTTCTCGGTGTTCTCTGCGTTTTGGATATTACAAGACCAAACAATTCACTTTCACAAACATCTCAAATTACATTACTCGATACCCGATGAAATTTTTTCACCATTTTCTTCATTTAACTTTAAGTTGAAAATTAAGAGCTTTGTGGTCTTGCAATGTGAAGTGTAAATTTGTATACAATCATTCTTTGTGCTGATATGACCAGCGTTTTACTTTATTAATTTTTACTACTATTTTTATATAGTTCTATTTTTATAATTAGTAATACCAAATGATACAATAAATTAATTGATAATTAATAGATATACTATTGTAGTTATCATATAATATATTATTAAGAAGAAAGACTCTGTAATATATTTACTATATATTATAGTAAATTTATTATAAAGAAGACTCTTGAAAATATTTAAATAGAAGGAGTGTATACAAATACGTTCAATTCAAAGAGTACATAACAACCGAATTCCCAGCAACAACCGCCAACCCAAAATCATAGCTTGGGAACGTCACATAACTCGCAGCAGTCGACTTAATTCGCAAGAAGTTTTCATACATTTTGACGTGTTGCCAGACCTCTCCCGTGATCACGTTAAACACTTTGACGTGGTTGTTAACAGTCCCAACAGCGAAATAAGGCGCTTCTTCATGTACACATGCAGAAGTCACATCAGGCCCGACTGATATTGTCTTGTAAGGACAGGTGTTCTGTTTCTCCCCAAACTTCCTCACATCATATAAACAGACTTTTCCGTCATTTCCTCCACTCGTCGAGACAACAGTGTAGGCTCGCGTGGAATATCCAATATCAATAATTCGCTCCTTTTGATCTTTCCACTCGTTCACTGTTTTACACCGCATGTCTACTATCGAAACACCACCACTTACACCTCCACAGAAAAAGGACTTGTCACTAAACTGACTCAAACAAGACACTCCACTGAGTATCTCATAATTTTCAACGCACTTTTCATATTCAACGTCCCACACAAAAACAGACTCTCCTTCACCAGAGATGACTCGGTGGTTCGTCATAGTAGTAAATACCGCCTGTGAAACAACGGGTTTGGGGATGCCTCTCCACGAAGTGATCAACTTTGGCTTGTAGTCCCAGTCTCCCCAAAGTCGGACAGACCCATCGCCACACCCACTAACCAAATATGCGTCATTCTTATCAAGCCAGTCCAAGTACTTTACCGATGTGTTAATTGGATTATAATTCGAAAAATTGGAACTTTCAGTCTGCGATACCTTATACTCAAAGACACCAATGGTATCCAGTGATATATCAGCAAGTACACATGGCAGTGTCGGGTGATATAACACGCACTTTGGGACATATACCGAATTTCCAAAACTAATTCTCATCTCCTCTTTAAACTGCTTCTTTGCGATCTCGAAGTAAAAGTCTCTCGACGACGACTGAACTGATTTCGATTGCTTTTTAAACCACTCCTTCCTCCCCGCCTTCTCTTCGTTAATTATTTTGAAGAGCAAAGGCTGTCGAAAAACGTCTCGTATTGAGCAATAGAACCGCTCTAATAAGTCATCAAAGATCCGTTGACTTGCCTTTGCAAATTGTTCCATAGGAGATGCCATCGTCTTCCGACCAAATGGTTTCTGTATGCGACTTTTCTCACATAACGAGAGTAATCCTTCGGCCGCTCTGATAACGTCTGGGTCGGTATCATTGCTTAAATAGAATAACACTTCCTGATATTTCGATGGTTGGTGTCCCATCGCAATAACTCGATAGATGAGGACGACTAATAGACTTCTAACTGTCGGACACGCGTCTTTCGCCAACTCACATACTTTCGGATGGAGATCGTCTAACAGTCTTTTCGACTGTTCGACGGAAGGAGGCGATATTGAGTACATCAGTAAATACACAACAGCACTTCTGACCAACGGAGAGTCGTCTTGTGACAATTCTTGCAACATCGGTTGGAATTGTGGCAAGTTGTAGACATCACTTTTCACCCCCTCGTGTCCCACAAGTCGTGCAAAGCACACAATCGCCCATATTTTCACCATCGAATTGTCATTTCGTGAGATGGCAAACAGTGCGTCGTAGATGACACTTTTGTTGTTTAAATTGTTGATCACATTCCCATCCAAGAAGACTTGCGCGAGTAAAAATAACGTGCAGACAAGCTCATTCGACTGATTTGACTTCGTTGCTATTTTCATTAATGCCGGCACTGAGCTTTTCAAGTACACCGAGGTGGGTGTTGCGTCATATGAAAACACTTTAGCAAGACAGAACACCCCAAACTGCTGAAGACCTTCTTTATCGAGACTTTGCACTAAGAGAGGTATAAATCCGATATTCACGACTCTCTCACACGCGTAAAATCCTAAATCGACGTATTCACACACCAGTGAAAACACCTCGAAGGTGTAGTCCTTCCGTAGAAACAGTCGAAATATCATTGGAAGCGGACTTGGTATCGGGGGTTCGTCCGGTCGAATTTTGAGCCACGATTTCATCGATACAATCAAGTCACTGAAGAATGGGGAAGGCACGTAATTGATTTGTTTTGTCGAGTTCACCAATTTTGGTATAGCAAGTTCGATGACATAGTCCCACATCTTCCACAAGGGGTGATTTGAAGTGTCTGGTAGAGCCGGGTAGCTTTGTGGGGTGTAATTGAACTTCTTCATAATTCGCGTTGCTAAAATGAAGTGTCGAAACAGTGACGCGACTGCGATGTCTTGTCTAAATAGTTTCATAAACACATCTGGAGGTAATACGTTCCACGCTATAGCTTCTATGACACTTGTTAAAATTGCATACAACTCTGAAAACGGTTGTGTTTTAGCCTTTTGGTCTATTGGAAGTGTTTTTAAGAATTGTTCTGGAAGTAACAAGACGGTATCTGCCGAGTAAAAGTAGTCTAAAATAGCCATTGAGAGTGGAGTAGTTAAACACGTCGAAAATAAATCGACCGGGTAGTTTGGGTTAGTCTGTGGTTGTTGTAAGAGTCCATACCCAGACAAGACAATGAACTCCGCGGACTTCTTGTGGGTCTTCTTAAGTTTGTCGTTATACTTAGTGAACCATTTGAAGAGTCTTTCCGAGTACGGACAGTCGAGGACATACACCGCTTTTTCTCCCAAACAGTCGAAGACTTCAGAAATGTTCATAGGGTTGTATGTCGATATCTTAGAATCAAAAAACCAGCACTCGTGGTTCAGTGTAGGTAATGGCACCCCATGTCCGTTATAATGAAACAACACTCTGTCCTTTGGAAAGCGTTCTCGCGCAGCTAGACAAGCTTTTTTGACTGATTCTGGAGTTGGGTCCCATAGTGTTTCTGTTGTGACTGATGGAGTACAGTACCGTTGATATTGGTTTGCTAATTGTACTGTAATTTCATATCCAATTTCACGCTTCTTATGATCTTTAACATTCACCCACCCATAGAGAGTCGAAGACACACGTGGTTTAACTAATCCATTAAGTGGGGGGTCGATTCCTATATTTAAACAACAACACAATATTAAATGGGGAGTTTTTATCATCGGAGGAGATGGTAAGTATTCATACTCCTTACTCTTCTTACGTGGCTCGTGTATCCCACATATCGATAATTGGTCCGACGTGTTGAAAACCATTCGATCAAATATCCCAGTCTCGTGACTCATCTGATTCTGGTTCTCCGTTTTTCAGTTCTTCGTGTTTTTCGAACCAAATGGGTCCCTCGGCTTGAATGATCCGCTGATTATTTATTTGGCACCACTTTTCCCGTTAATGTTCAGAAAAACGGCTTGTTGTGTTTATCTTTTTTTATTAACTTTTTATTATTAAAAGAGTTAATGAAAATACTAATCCGTTTTTGTTAACGAGATGCCAATTTCAACACTTGTTTCTTTGTTTTTTACTTAGAAACAGATTCCAATAAAAGTATAGGAATCTGTTTATTGTTAAAAGTTAATAAGGTTAAGTATTATAATTTTTATTAAAGTTTATAGCAAACCATCATGTTGGAGAAAAAAAATGAATAATAAATGAAATTGGGTCTAATTGTAAGGAATTAAAAAAGTTTAAAAAAGTGAAAAAAGAAGACGCTGACATAATGACAAAAAGATTGTTGTCTAAAGTATAACATGTTTGTAATTTAATGAAATAATAGCGAGTATTTTATTATTAGTATTATTAATTTAGTAGTTTTATGAACAATTTTGTGAAAAAAAGTTTTTGCTTTTGTGATTTGATTATTAAATTTTATTTATAACTTTTTGTAAAATTGTTATTCATATAAAATTATGATTAATAATCTTAAAAATAAACTTAAGATTTAACGGTATTTTACAAATAAAAGTTATTGAATTTATATCTGATAAAAAAATGAAGTTTTAAATTAAAATTTTATCAAATAAATAGTAATAATTATGGTATCAAGCAAAAGAAAATACAAAATAAATTGAAATATGTTGTTAAAAAAAGAAAAAGAATTATATAAAATAGTTTTGTTACAAAAGCTATTTTATTTTTTTCATAAAATACAATAATTCACCAATTAATTATTATATTTTTTTAAATATGCTTCTAACTTACGTTGCAATTGAGTGAGATCAACCCCACATTTTAAGACACAATAAAATGTGAGTCTTCAAAAGTAGCTATCGATGTTTCCGATAAGCAAAACCTTTCACTGGAAGTTAGCCCAGTGAAAGGCTGGATAGGGTCTGGTAAACTTTAAATGCAATATCCCAGGATAAGTAAGTCGAGCCTTGTCACCTTGCAAATTTGTTGTTACAACAAGTCTCAACTCTACATTTCCAAAGTATTTGAAGGAAACGTTCTGAACTTATAGAGTCGGATTGTTTCTTTTATTTTATCCTCGGAATAGATTTTTGCTGTTTGAATAACACATGGCAGCTATTTTCATATTGGTTTAAAAAACTGATAATACCAAGCGTAAAGATGTGGGTTATAAAAGATGACTTTTCGGTGCTATTTTCATTTATTTGATATAATAAAAGTAAAATATAATTGATTTCTTCTCGTTGCAATCTAATTCTCACCGCCCCTTCAGTCTATCCATTGTTTGAAAATGAAAACTTTTATAAAGGTGGTTTGAGTGGTAATTGGTTGTTTGTAAATTAGTTTTCCTGGTTATTAACGATAGAAGAATATTACAGTAATGGGAGTGAGGGGCTTAACAATACTGAGGTAGTTGACTTATTCTTTAATAGTTTTCTTTTATTAACTATAAAATTTGTACTGTTTAAAAATAAGTAAACAAAATTTACCAAGCCCCTCACTCCCCCTTCTGTAATTATATTAATGATAAATTGTTAATTTTATTTATCATTTTCATGTTATTGGTTAACTTTGAATATCAAAACTGTAACAGTTAAATTATAAAAAAGTGTTTTATTATACAGGAACTATACAAAAAACAATAACAGATGCGACTATTAAAAACTACAGATGTGAGATCATGGTTTTGATTTACTTTTGAATTTGATTCGAATTGTAATAAACAAGTTTCTTCATTTATTTTCAAAAAATGGTCCAAAATATTTTTTTATATTTAGTTTTTTACAACAATATAAAAATTATAATTATTTGTTATAATTATTTGAAACAATAATCTTAGTTTAAATATTGATACTTCATCTATCTTTATTAACGATTCATTTTTATTATAAAATTAAATCAGTTACTGTTATTTCATACAGTTAGTTCGGATTCAAATGAAACAAGTCTCATAATAAATTGAATTTGTCTCAAAACAAATTAAAATTGCACCTATATTCAATTTTGTTTCAAAACAATAAAAATTTGTCTCATAAATGTGTAATTTTGTTCGATAAAGATTGTAACACTCTTTAAAAAACAATAAAAATATACACACATACTCTCTTTTGATAAAACTTTAATGTTTAATTTATATTTACAACTAAAAAATACTTAAAGAACACCTCGAGCGAGTAATTTTAACGCGACTAGTCTAATGAAATAATCAACACATTTTTCAAATTATTATCATCTACTTGAAACTTCCGGTTATATTCAATAGCATATTGAATATTGTTATTTTACTCTTGTTTATATGACTTAGTATTATCTCAATAAAATTTATGTTTTTAAATATTTAGTGATACATCGTTAATATACTTTTTATATAAAGTTTTTAATAAAGACGGAAAAATAATTGTGTGCCGCTTACACATCAAGTTTTTAAGGTTTCGATGTTATTATTGGAGTTTGTGTTGTTGGTAGTAAAGTTGTTGTTATTTGCATGTGTTGCTTTCAAAAGCATTTTATGATGGTAACTCACCAAGTTGTATTTAATCTAATTGATAATTTAAAAAACAAAAAATTGTTCGAACTTCACGAACAAATTTTACAATTTCTTAAAGTAACATATTTTTTAAGTTGTTCATTATTTAAAAGCAAGTTTTGATTTTTTAAAGTGTTATTAATTATTTAATTTCAAAATCCTTTTATCAAAAGAGAGTATGTGTGTATATTTTTATTGTTTTTTAAAGAGTGTTACAATCTTTATCGAACAAAATTACACATTTATGAGACAAATTTTTATTGTTTTGAAACAAAATTGAATATAGGTGCAATTTTAATTTGTTTTGAGACAAATTCAATTTATTATGAGACTTGTTTCATTTGAATCCGAACTAACTGTACTCAAAAACAAAAATGTAACAAATATAACTTGTGACAATTTTCGTTTGTACAGATCCCAGAAAAACATACCGGCACAGAAAAAACGACCGGCATAGAATAATTTATAGTATATTATAGTTTTTTTTTCTTTTTTTACAAAATTTTTATTGAAAAAACTATTAAATAGTTTTCAGAAACCATTTTTATAGTTTGCCGGTCAGTTTTTCTTTGCTGGTCGGTTTTTCCGGGGTTTGTAATTATTTATCTCTCCACAAAATAGCAATAAATATAAAAACACATCTTTACAGTGCTTATTTTTTTGCGGTTTTACTATAAATAATAAAACAAACTGTTAAATGTATTTTTTTGTAAGAAAGAACGTTTATTATTAACAAATCATTTTTATATTTCATATTATTATCCATTTAATACAGTATAAATGTTTAAGGAAATACACCGCAAAAGCATAAATTTAAAAACACAATTGAATTTTGGATCAATTCATTCGTCAACTTTTGTTATTCTGTAATACTATTATTTACACTCTCCCCAGTATTCAAACTTTTATTCAATATTGAAAAACAATGAATAATTTAAATTTATCTGTTAGCGATATTTTATTGTTTAAAAATGACTTTATCAATACAAAATACGATCTTTATTATTCCCTTTATGTTTTAAAAATATATTCACCTAGAAAAAGACCACAAACCGCGTTTTATATTTTGCTGTTTAAAAAAATACAAATAATATTGAATTTAAAACAAATATATTCATGATAAACATAATGTTTTATTGATAAATTATAAACCAATGAGTCAGAAGTCATATCATCATTGTTTTTTAAGTATTTGTTTGTTATATTAGTAAAATAATTATCAGCAAAATTATTTAAAATATGAAATACCTTTTCTAAAAACACTTTATTTATTTTTATAAATTAAAATACAAATAATTTTTATAGCTATAATTTAACCTTCGACATTTTACATATTTATATTTTTTTTAATCAGATGAAATTAATAATGCTACTTTTTAATTAATTTTAACCAATCAATTAAATTGTTCATTATAGTAAATATATAACAAATAAACTAAAAATTGTTAAATGTGAAGGCCTAAATGAACAACCTCCAGTTAACATACCAAGTCTATTTTTAAGACAAACACAAATCGTTAATTATGTTAGTATATTCATAGTTATCAATAGTTTAAATGTCTAAATTCATACCCATTTCAACGTCAAATTGAACGACTGTCTGAGTGAATTATTTAATTAACAAGAAAACAACTTCAAATTTTTGAACAACCATAAAAAGCTCAAAAAAGGCACAAATTATTTATAAAAATCTCTTTACATTGATTCTCCCCACTTTGTTAGCCTCTGAGCAGCCAAAACAATAAAGAAGTCGATCAATACCCATTTAAAACACAGAGTACATATGTATAAATAGAATTACTTGGAAATCCAAAAAAAAACGAATTTTAGAATAAAAAAAAGACTAACGAAAATAGAAAGGAACTGTCCTCATCTTCTTCAAACCAAAAACACCAAAAAGGGCATTTCCATTTTAAAATGCTTTAAAGTCACATTTGGGCAAACCTGAAGTTTTCCGTTTCTTTTTTGTAACTTAGGGAAAGAAATCGATATATTTAATAAATTAAGAATGGATACAATTCGTTTGTAACTTCAAAAAACAGAATGGAGTCTCGAAAAGGCAACACCAGTAGGAGTAAGAAAGCGTTCAACACAAGTGCATTGGTCTACTGCTCTCTTGAGATGGGCGCACACATCAAATTCATACGTTCCAAAATCTCACAGAACTCTTTGAAAGTCTTGAGAGGAGAAGAAGTCAAATGGGACTTTAAAAGCACCACAGACAACACACGCCATTTTATGGAGCAGTCGGACATCTTTTGTGATAAAATGACTGTTTTAGTTGAAACTGCACGAATAAGAAAGGTAACTGAGTTACTCATTGATTGGAAAACACTGAATTCCGTTGAACCAAAGTCTTCCATGAGTAGTGTTGATGCCACACAACGATGGAAAGACTTGGACTATAATCAAGACTGTAGGAACAAAGAAGCCTGCTTTGTGAATTACTTGTCATACAATTTACTCCAATTTGGATACTCCTTTTCTATTAATATCTCTCGTATTAAACCCTCAAAGAAAACAGCCAATTTCTTTATCTGGTCAGAGATATATACCCCAGACAACACAGTCATTGGCGTCAACAAAACCCCCCTCTTGGTGTCATTCATCCACCACGTCGAAAGTTTGTTAAACAGATCGAAGACGTCATGGATCGGATCGGATGACATTGCGCATAACTTCGCAAAGAACTCGCTTGTCGCGTCTACTGAGGCGGAAGATTCCCCTCAGACCCCAAGCGCGTTTAAACCACTCACAGACTCTCACTACTGTGTACTGCAAAACTTTGCTTTCACACAAACCCACCCATTTATACTCAACACATTCGCATGTTATTGATTATTTGTTTTTCTTTGTTATTTGAAATGTTATTAAAATGTTATTAAAATGTTATTAAAATAACTTAAAAATAACTTAAAGAATTTATGGGGTGGCTTGCAAGAATTATCATCTGGACTGCGTCTTTTTTCTTTCCACTTTGGATTCTTATAAAGTCCACTTGGGAAGGGCACTCCCTCGTGATTGGAAAGACGTCGTGTGCCGCTGCTTTTAAAGTGTCGAATATAACATTTAAAATTCATAACAACAGTCTTTTAATTAAAGCAAAGAAAACGAAAGGGTTTGTCCACTTTGAGGAATTGAAAAAAATTTTTCAAAATGCGATGAATATACAAACAAAAACAGCACCAAATTATTTACAAATGACTTTAAAAATGATCATCTCAAAAGTTTTTAATTTGGTTGTGGCACTTTTGAATATCAAGACGATTAAATTGGAATGTAAACAAATTACTGTGGTGTTTGGACTCATCACAGTCGAAGAAAATGACTTTCAAGTGTCTTATTTAATGGACACAAACACCATTGAACTGACTCAAAATAACACAACCATTAAATGTTTAAACAAGGTATTCACAATACAAACAAAAGGACTTTTTATCACTGATAAGTTGTTAAAGATTGTCGAGTGTAAATTTATTTGTCGAGACGTCTCTGTGCTTCTTTCATTGGACATCAATTTTCCATCACAAACGCAGCATAATATTGTTTTAAGAATTCCTCCAATCTTGCTCTTTAAAAATACAACTGAAAGTGTTGGGTCAATCGACTTAGGAAACCAAATTGAAATTTATGGCAACAAAATTACATTCAATAAAATTAACACTTTTGTATCCGAAAATTTTCTTGTTATGCTCCAATTGGTGGACCTTTTGGTGTTTAAAAAAGTTGTTGGAGAAAAGCCGAAGTTATCAGTACGTGGGTCGTGTAATCAATTTGACATCTTTGTTACTGTAAATAAAGAAAAACTTTTGTTGTCATTACTAACAATCGACTTTTCTTTTGAAAGGGGTTTAATAAATTACACCACAAAAAGTGTTCAATTGTTGACTCAAAATGTCGTACTTCAAAATGTTGTTGCAATTTTGGACAACTTCTCTTTGTCACAAACAAACACAACAACATCCATCACAACACAAAAAGTGACAGTGACAATTAACAAAATGACTGTACTCACTGCTTTAAATATCATAAACACTTGTTCTCAATATAAATCACAAATTGTAGATGTCAAAGAATTGTTTATTTGTGACTCTTTTGGAGAAGAAAATTTACTGTTTTTCGTTGTCTCTATTGCTGAAATTGAAATAACCTTTTCAGACAATAAAACTGTGAACCACAAAATAACAGTTTTCATATCAAAACCAATGTATTCACAAAATAGTGTATCATGTGACTCAAGTCACATTTTATTTAATACTACAAAATGTGCTGTGATTACTTCAATTACACTATTTGATATGTTCACAACTCCACATTTGGAGATACGAACGTGCCAATTACTTTCACACCCAACAGACTTCATTCGAATGAAAAACGTGTTAAGTGACATTTGTTCAGTATTGTCAAATGAATTATGTCAAATAATAAATGTTACTCCATACACTCTATGTATCACCACTTCAAAACAAATTATTGTACTCCCCAACTCGATTTCTGATGATGAAATAATTTTTGGTGAGTCGTTTAATGTGACTATTAACAATGAAAGCACTTTAATACACTTTCCGTACAACAAAATTGTATTTAAAAATTCCAGCCTTGATGTTAAATTGCGAAAGAACAAAATTACATTTTGTGGCGGTTTTATTATCAAAAACAGTTTGACCAAGTCTGTTGTTTTAACCTTTCCAAAAACGTCAAAATGTCTGTCACCTTCTGAAAAGTACTGTTTTGACGTTATAAATAAAAAAGAAAGACTTTCACTAATTTACAATGAACTTGCCTTGTCGTATCAATCAATGGAAACTATGGAAGACATTTTCTGTGATGAACAACACTCCCTTGTGATTAAGAAGAGTGGCCCAAATGTTGTGAAACTGAAACCATCGCGAAGAATAAGTAATGGACTTCCTTTCATTATACACGTAAATGCTATTAACAACACGCGGACAAATATCTTGTTGTATCCCAAAGAGAATATCTGTGTGTTTCCATACAATTCTGTGATATACACACTGTCGTTCATTGTGAATAAAGTGTGTTACAACAACATTAAAATTGGACAAGATTTTGTATTGCTAGATCAGCAGTGTATAGTGCACATTCACAATTGTATTAATACTATCGTCTTCTGTGCAGATTTGGTCATCACTAACACAACTGATTTAAAACTCTTTTACTTCCCAGAGAAATTTGTTTTCTTGAAGGGAGGACGACCAATACATCCAGTTGTTATAACAGACAACACAAAAGAATTGTTTATTGGTGTTTCGACGTTAAGTGTCACACAAATAGATAATGACATGGAGCTTTATAATGACACCAAAGTGTACAAACTGACATCACGAAAAAGAGTTTATTATGAAGAAAAGAGTAATGATATTATGTCTTATCTTATTGAAATCACACACAAATACGTGATCAAAAATAGCTCTGAAAACACAGAAATCGTTGCGATACATTTCAGTGGAGAAACGCTCTTTTTAAATAGTCGAGAGAGTAAACCTCTTGTTTTCGACCAGAATAGAACATCCCAAATTAAGTTTGGTGTCTCGGGAGGTAACAACGACTTTGAAATATGTTGGAGTTCATTGTTCGATGTTGAAAAGGTCTTTCAAAATGCGGCGATGATCGAAATAAATAAAACTGATAAGACGATATCCACACAATTGGAAGATGGAATTTTGGTACTCAAAGTGACTCATAAAACTATGATGGAAGTCGTCAATACAACATCTTTGGTATTTTCATTTGAACAATCCGGACAACCACAAAAGTTTTTGATACTCCCAAACCAAAAACTTCCTTTAAATTTGCCCGACCCATTTGGGAAAAAAGCACTCAAATTGGAGTACAACAACGAAGAATGTGAAATTCCTTTAACAAAAAATGGGAATTACAAAATAGAAGGAAGTCCAGTGGTCTATCTCTCGGTGACTACTTTGCCACTCGTCATCGTGTTTGCAGAGACAAAAACGAAAAACCCAAACACAAAACTCTTTTCCTTGAAAACGCTTGACGTGCTCTTCAAGCCAAGTGTACACGTATCAGACATTTCTATTACAAAAGAAGAACTCCCGAAATTTTGCGCCAAACACAACCAACTCACAAAATCATATTCTAAGCGTCACTCTCAAAAATTATTTATTTACAAATGCTCAGCAGAAAAAGTGAATGTCGAAGTGGATACCATTGATACACTCACAACTTTTAATAAAGTCCAGGCAAGTTGCATCGTTCAAGATTGGACTGTTCTTTCCATCGAAATCGTCCCTCCACCTTTGGCTCTGCAAATAACACAAAAATTAAAAAATGTTATATATAACAAAAATGACACGTTCGACGTAAAGAGTGTGATAGCCATTCCACCTCTTGTAATGACTCCATTCACTCTTTCTGTGTGTTTGAAAGACTTTTTCGACTTGAGGGGCATCCAGTTTTCCTTCAGTTCGTTCAGTAGCGATAAGTGTTCTTTGCCTCACTTTTTAGTGACGGTCTTCCAGTTCTACGAGTCGCAAGCTTATGACCAAATACCACGCGTTGCACGGTCTGCTCTTGTGGCCAACTTCCCAGTCGACGCTCTTCTGAAGTTGTTATACTCATTGTCTGCACACTAACTCGCGTTGTATGCGAAACTATCCACCAAGTTATAATTCAACTATAATTATAGTTACATTCCCTATTTCCCATCTTCAAATAATGAATAATAACTTATTAATAAAAATATAGTACCCTGCAACACAAGGAGGCGAAACTGGAAAAGTAGTTAGAGTGTCCCATGAGCTATATGTTGAATCCGACTATCATTCTTTTGAAGGACGGGACCGACACAAGTCAGGGGAAGGGGCAGATCATTAGTAACATCAACGCGTGTCAGGCCATAGCGGACATTGTGAAGACAACACTTGGCCCACGTGGGATGGACAAACTGTTTTTGGACAATGGGAAGATCTTAGTGACTAATGACGGTGCCACTGTTATGAAAAACTTGGATATCGTCCATCCGGCTGCTCAAGCACTTGTTGATATAGCAATGGCACAAGACTCTGAAGTGGGCGATGGGACTACAACCGTCGTAGTCTTAGCTGGGGAATTACTCTCGCAAGCTAAGAAGTTGATAGAAGATGGGATTCACTCGCAGGTCATCATTAAAGGGTTTCGAATGGCTGAGAAGAAAGCGAAGGAGACCATCAATGCGATGAAAATATCATTTGAGAAGAAAGACCTGATCTCATACCTCCGCAATTGCGCTAAGACCTCGATGCAGAGCAAGTTGATTGCGATGCAACGGGAACACTTCACCGATATTGTTGTCCAGAGTGTGATGCAGTTGGACGACACCTTAGACATCGACATGATTGGGATCAAGAAAGAACAAGGCGGGTCGTTGGAAGACTCGTTCACATTAGAAGGCGTTGCGTTCAAGAAGTGTTTCTCATACGCAGGGTTCGAACAACAACCAAAGCTCTTTGTCAACCCTAAGATCATCTGCTTAAACATCGAACTTGAGCTGAAAAAGGAGAAGGACAATGCTGAAGTCCGTATCGATGACCCCACGCAGTACCAGAAAATTGTCGACGCCGAGTGGCAAATCCTCTACACGAAACTTGAAAACATCGTGAAGTCTGGAGCGAACATTGTCCTCTCCAAATTACCAATTGGAGACTTGGCAACACAATACTTTGCCGATCGTAAGATCTTCTGTGCTGGAAGAGTCGAAGAGCCGGACTTGAAACGCGTCTGTTTGGCGACGGGAGCGAAGATCCAAACGACGGTGAGTGAACTTGACGACACGGTGTTGGGGACTTGTGGGAAGTTTGAAGAGCAACAGATAGGGAAAGAGCGCTACAACTTGTTCAGCGGCTGCACGAAAGCGAAGAGCTCGACGATCATCTTGAGAGGCGGAGGAGAACATTTTATTGATGAAGCTGAGCGATCGCTCCACGACGCGATTATGATAGTTCGACGAGCTATGAAACACAAAGAAATGGTCTGTGGAGGTGGAGCTGTTGAGATGGAAATAGCAAAGGAATTGAAGGAGTATGCGATGACTATTGAAGGGAAATTGCAATACGTTGTTTTGGGATATGCAAAGGCATTTGAAGGCATCCCACGCCAACTTGCGGACAACGCCGGGTTTGATCCCACGAACATCTTGAATTTACTCCGAAAGAAACACTCGGAAGGAGGGAAGTGGTTTGGCGTCGATGTCAATAACGAAAATATCCTCGACATGATGGAAACTCAAGTGTGGGAACCGGCTCTTATCAAATTGAATGCAGTGGCTGCCGCTACTGAAGCCGCTGGGTTGATCATTTCGATCGACGAGACTATTAAGGCACCCGAGCACAAAAATTAATCGACTTTTTGAGGTACGTTTTCACGTCTTTTGAATGTTTGGAACGTGTGTTGTATGAGTGACACTGTACACAAGTGTGGATGTGATATAATTGAATGATAAAGAGTCACAATTGAAAGAGAAGTGTTCCACGAAACTTGTAATTAATAATAAATATAATACACAATAGTACACTACACGATCAATCAACGATCACTTCGACATCATCATCATCACCACAGGAGTCACCTAAGTCATTTATATACTTAAGTACTGTTCCGTTGGCATCTAACTCGATAAGACAGCAATCTGAAGGACACAACTGAATCAACGTTTTTAAGTGTTGGTCGATGGTGATCATCGAAAAGTAACAGGGCTTCTCACAGATTGGACAATTCCAATAACAGTTGTTAAGACAGTAATCTAACATCCCTTTCAAGTTAACGACGGTTGTGTGTTTGCATTCACATCCTCTCACTGGTATTTGGATCATTTGGAAACTTAACGGACATCGTAAATTGATTTGAGTCTTGCCCACAGAAACATCTTCACATTTGACCGACTTCTCTTCTTGTTTGAGAACAGAGTTGGGTGGTGCAGGTACCTCCTCCATCGGAAAGAATGTCTGTGTACTCCCTTTCACCACATTAGTATTCGACAACCCTTCATTCAAATCGTCATCGTCGTCAATATTGATGCAGTCCGTTGGAAAAACGGCTCTTTTTGTTTCAATCACCTTTATGACACTTTGAAAGTCGCAAAGTGCTTTGTACTGATTGTCAGGTTCATTCAGATTTAGCCCACTCTCAACGATTGTAAGTAATTCATCAATTTGTCTGTAGCTACACAACGAGATGACTAGAACAACATCACTCGAGTATTTGTTCACCATCACACTCAGGGAGTTCACACTCGAATAACAATTGGTGGTGATATCAAGTGGCTTTCTGACAACAGCGGGAGTCGAGTGCGGTTGTCCATAAAGTGGTTGCATGAGTCCGTCCAAATCCACAAAATTTGAGTTAGCGATGAGTTGTATGATGTATATATCTGCCGACTCCGTATTCGTCTTTGTGTCGAACACCCTCACTGTAATCCTTTGGTTGTTTTTCTTATTACCAATATTGATTTCCGTGCGCGCCTTATTTAACGGACTCAAAAACGGTTTGCAGTATAATATTTTGTCGATATAGTACTGTGGGTGTTGTGTTCTGAAGAATTCGACATTGAGAAGGTTCTGTTGCACGTCTGTGTTATAAGTATAACTAGTATTACTGGCGCTGTCATCCTGGCAACACGCAGATTTCACATTTGGTGTGAATTTGTTGAAACCAGTAAAAGTGTTGTAAATGCTTTTGTAGATGTCGTTCGACAATTTAAAGGAGTAGTCAAGTAAGTTTTGTTGCGAACGTCTTGAACTTCCAAAAGATTGAGAAGAGATATTCTGAGTGCTTTGTAATGGACTTTGCGCAACATTTTGTGATGCGCTATTTGATCCAAAGTTTTTGGGAAGAGGTCGAATCTTATTGATCTTCTCTAACTCCATCTTCTCAGCCTCTTTCTTCGCATTAGTTATACTAAGCTCTTCCTCTTGACTACGACTTAGTTGTTGTGTTTTGTGTTGCGTTGCGACTGAAGTCTGAAACACTGAAGGGTTCAGTTCCCCCAATGATCCAATCGGAGCAGTTACAAGTTCCACTATATATTTGATATACGCCTTCTTCTTTGTGTTTCTCCTCTTGCGGAGCCTCAAGTCTGGAAATGTGTTTGAAATGATGTCTGCGATCTTTTCTATCTGTGGAAGTGTGAGGTGTGCTATGCCCCCAGTTTCGGAAAAAAACATCGGGGCATTCGCAGTAGTAATTTTAAACTCTGTGAGTAACGACTCACAAAGTTTAAATTGTGCAAGGACCGTATTCATCTTATTTAATCAGTTTCTCTCCTCTTTTTTTTCTTCAACAATTGGACTGAGTTTTCATTTTTCGTTTTGCATTAACTTTTTTTTAATAACTTTACTATTTATTTATAATTTTTTAGTTTAGTAAATATAATACCAATTTAATAGTATTGTTTTTATTTATTTGAGAATTATAATTTATATTATATAAATATAATTATTATATTAGATTATCTAATATTATTTATCTTATAGTTTTTTTAATTTAATTAACACCTAAAATAACATTGAACAAAATTCAAGTGGTCTAAAAATCGGGAAATCTTGAGTTTATTAAATATTTTCCCTGTTTATTATATATTTATTGTGTCAATAACAATACACAAGCCAAAAAGGGAAAAACAGCTAAAAATTTCTATATATTTTTAAAACCAGGTCAATTCAAAAACAAAAGAGTTATTTTAAGTGTTATTAAAAAAATAAAAAATATTATTAAAATATAATTTTAATTTACTAAAAAATATTTTAGTCAATTTAGATGAGAATTAAAGATAAAAAAATATCTAACAAAAAAAGAAAAGCCTCAAAGTTCTGTAGTGAACACGTGGCAGTTCCAAAAGAACGAGTCAACAAAACTACAAATGTGTGCAAATGAGCCAAATCCAGAAGGCGTTTGACAAGTACAAAACGATTGGGAAATCCGGCCACGGTTCAATTAAAAGTGAAGAGCAGATTGGATCGTTTTGTTTAGCGTTAGGTTTAGACCAAGATGGGTCTGATTTGTATGTTTTAGGATTCATTGGTGAGTCAAAGAAGTATGGATATTTCAAAGAAAACGACATAAAGAAAATAACTAAAGTGTTTAATAAGGAAGAAGCGCTTCATGACCAAATCCAAAACTATTTCAACAAAATGGAACGCCCTGAATACCGAAATTTCCTTTCAGTTATATATAAATGGGTGGATGAAATGTTAAAAGACATTCAACACAACGAGCCTCTTCCCAAAAAAGAAAATTTGAAAATTTCCAAACCAGTCTTTTTAGAAGGGCGGACTGAAATGATTCAAATCCTTCCTGACTTACTCGACGCTATTATACAAACTAAACTCAAAACAGATCTTTTCGAGAACTTCGTTTACTTCATCACTAATGTGAGATGTCGAAGACTTTTGACCTTCGATGAATTCACTTCTATAGTCGACTTCTTGACTCAATTTAAGACACTTTCATATGCGGCGCATTCGACTGACGACACCACTTCGTTACCTTTATTATATGATGACTTCGTCGTCTTCATCCAGACTAAGAAGAAGTGATTGCTTGCATACTATTTATTTTACTATATTTATTCTATTATTTATAATAGATGCTCTTGCTCTTCAATTTATAGTTTCTTTATAATACCGTACTAGTATATATTAGATATATAACAAGAGTGTTCTATTAATATAAAGAATGACTGAATAAACTATTAGGACTGCTTCTTCTTCCAAATTGAGGACTTGGTAGTTGCTTTAATGATTTCTTCGAGGATGGTTTTAGTGTCCAAATTGAGCATTACTGACGTTTCGAGATAAGCTGAGATCTTAGTCTTTTTCAACTCCGCCTTGACTTCTTTCTGTGATCTTATTTTTTGTTTGCCGAGTTTGCTCAGTGTTTCTTTGTCGTCTTTCAAGTCGATTTTGGTTGCAATGATGATGACGGGGATGTCAGGGGAGATGGTTCGAGCCTCTTTTGCTGCTTCAATCACTCGATCGAATGAACGAGGGATGTAAGGGCAGTAACAGATAACTACACAGTCACTACTTGACATAGCAACTGAAGTTAATTTGGCATAGTCTGATGTTCCACTTGTATCGATGAGTGTTAAACTATATATTTGACCCCCATACACTGTTCGCATATTAAATTGTTCTTGTACAGTCGGTTCATATATGGTTGTGAAAGTGCCCCGTGTTATCACATTTAACATCTGAGTCTTTCCTACACCAGCAGCACCAGTGAAGGTCACGACTATCTTTTTGGTCATCACAGCGTTAACAGACATCTGCTTTTTCTTTGCCATTTTTTAGATGATTTTGTTTTTTTACAAGCCAGGTCCATGTTCTCTATATTTCGCTCTCCTTTTCGGGATTTTTCACAAGATGTCTCAACTCCTTTTAGCTTCATGTTTTTTTTAGGTTCACCAACTCTGTTTGGTGTTTTCATCGTCTTTTTTAGATGTGAAAATCTGGTGTTGGGTGCATTTTGAAAAAAATTGCATTTTCTTTATTTGTGCTTTTTAGGGGCTTTTTGTGATCTAAAATTAGTACAATCAAGCCATCTAATAATATTTAATTTATTTAATTTTACTACCAGTTATTAAATTTGTCTTTTATTCGTTCAAAATGAATCATTTTTTAGGATGGAAATTGCTATTAAAAAATGTTAAAATTGTATTTTTAGGTTGTTATTTAGTATGGTTATAGTTTAGTAATTCAAAATATATATTATTATTATATTATTTATTTATTAAAATATGTGATCAAAAAAAAACAAAAATAGATTTAGTAATTCGACAAAAGTTACTTATTACTATATTATAGTAATAAGTATTAAATAACAATTAAAATGTTATTTTTATTTCAAATGACGTTACAGATATAATGCAATATAAGTTTATATTGAGTAGAATAAACTTTATTATAGTATTTGAACTAAACAACTAAAATATAGTAAAAATAAATTAATTTTTATAATTTATAAATATTATTCATTTTTATTAACGAATCAGTAAATTAAGAATAATTAGTGTTTTTATTTTTATTATATACTATAATTAATTATATTAAATCTAATTTATTATAATTATAATAGTAAATATATTATTAAAATTAATTTCTGATACAAATTCACTTTTAATTACCAAAAAGTATTAAAAGCTTAAGTGAAAACTCTAAACCATATTTATTTATGAAAAAAACTATAACAAATAGTATTTTTCAGAAATCAAACAATCAATCTTTTTTTTAACATAACAATTGATTCAACAGTCAACCCTACTTAAATTAACAACAAATAGTATTTTAATTAAAAATAAATAATTAACATTTCAAATCAAACAGGTTGTTTCCATAAAAACTCAATTGACAGTTTACCCACTACTCCCGATATTTTACCGTTAAAAAGTTCATGTTAAAGAAAGATAATTTTTTGTTAGCAATTTAGTTTTCATTGGGTGCTTTTTCTCTGAAACAGCCATCTCTTACTTCTTAAAAGGTTGTCTGAACCAAAATTTCTTCTTTGCCTTATTATTATTGTTATTAAACAAGTTTTAACAAAAAATGAAGAAAACAACAGAAAGGAGAAGTAATTTTTTTTTTCAACACCACCACTCGAAAGAACTTTTAACTTGTACTCTAAATAGTTCTTCAATAATTCATTTATAGTTATATATAATAACAATCGAACCAAACAAATTCACTGCGTCATTATAACGAGAACAAAAATCATGAAATGAAAAAAATGAAAAAAAAAGACTGCTTATTTCATGTTCCTTTTTTTGTTTGTCGCTGCGGCTTTGTCTGCAGAATGTACAGAAACCCAGTACTATGACCAAACAGAAAATCAGTGCAAAAATTGTGTTGCCAATTGTACCACTTGCTTCTCTGCAACAAAGTGCAAAACTTGTACTTCTGGACACTACATTAACCCGGATTACCAATGTGTGAATAGACCAACGATAGCCAACTGTGCCACTTGGGATAACTTATATTGTACCAGTTGTGCAGCTCAATATTACTTGAAAGATCAGAAATGTGAATCATGTACTTCTAATTGTAATTACTGTAACTCCCAAGAGTGCTTCCAGTGTACATCTGGATACACATTAGTTAAGAATGGGAAGAGTTGCGTTGACTGTACAAAATCTGAAAATGACGCTGATTGTGGTCGTTGCCCACTCAACCAATATTTTGATACCAAACTCTTTACATGTGCTGCTTGCAAAACTAATTGTATTCGATGCTCCACAGCCACAAACTGTTTTATGTGTGGTGGAGACTATGCTCTTGAAGACCCGACGAATGCCGACTCCAACTGTTCTACAATAGCGAATTGTCAAGCTGGTCATGTCTACGGTGACCACTGTGAATTGTGTTTAACTGGCTATTTCTTGAATAATGGTAAATGCACCGCTTGCAGTGTCGGGTGCAGTCGGTGCATAGATGAGAAGACGTGTATTGAGTGTTCTTCTTCCTTCAAATTACTTTCTGGGGCATGCGTCACTTCGATTGATCATTGTAATCGAGCAAATAACATTCAAGGCTGTTTAGAATGCAATGAAGGGTATTACTTGACGACGGGAAGCGTATGCACACAATGCAGTACACAGTGTTCGTCGTGTTTAAATAGTACGTACTGCTTCAGATGCTCTTCCACACACTACTTTGGTGAGAAAGAAGGCGAGTGCATTCGGATGTCAAGTAGTTGTAAAGTGACGGACCAATATGGATGCTTAGAGTGTGAGTATGATAAGAAATTGAGTGATGAATGTGAAAAGGACTTTGCAACAGATAAGACTATTAACTGCACAACACAATCATATGGTTACTTCTTATCAGTCACTAAACCAGAAGATGGATCTGCTCTTGTGTACGATAAAGTGTGTTCAAAATGTAATCCACACTGCAAAATCTGCGAGTATAACTCAACTTGGTGCTCAGCTTGTAACGATGGATATGCACTTAAAGAAGATGCAGAAGCAAAAGACGCGTATAACAAGTTGACTGGAGAAACTGCGACAATTTATGTCTGTGAAGTGAAGCCTGCAGAGTGTAGTCGAACGGGTTTGTTGGTATAACTACTTTTATATTATAATAATACTATAGTATTGGATTATACTATTATAATATGATAAATTATACTATTAATACTATTATAATTAACACGAAGAAATGGGGTACTGTGTAGAGTGTATTGACACTTACTTCTTGAGTGGAGTGAAGTGTATTCAATGCGACAAGTCATGTGGATCGTGCACATCACCGGAGTTTTGTCAAACGTGTAACTCAGCGACGGATACTGAAGGGCATAACATCTATTGGAGACCAAAGAGTTTCTCTGACAAAGAAGGAGAAGCTAAAGGGAAGTGCTTCTTAATAAATGAGACTGCTTCTGAATATGGATTGGACAAATGTGCGCATTACCCCACAACCTCTGGGTGTTCCAATTGCAATGCCGGGTATTACATCCACGAGAATTATTGTCGCAAATGCCCTGAACGATGTGGTGAATGTAAAGAAGTCGGAGACCCCACTGAGACATCAGATGGGATCATTTGCACGTCATGTTACAACAACACGTATATCTCCACTGAAACTAATGCGACGTGTTTGGCGTGTAGTACAATAGATAAGTGTGTGACGTGTGAAAGCACTGGATGTCATGTCTGTGAAGACTCTTATAGTCCTTCATTGGATCGATTGAAGTGTACTAAAGTCAATTTGGCCCTCATTCTGCCATTGTCTATTGCTGGTGGATTAATTCTGATTGCCGTCATATTAGTCTTCATCTTCTTGTTATGGAGAAGACGCCGAAGAACAGAGAAAGAGCGCGAGACTGAGATTCGACCGTTTAGAGTCTCTTCCGACTTGGAACTTGCACTTCTCTCCGCAGACAATGAAAAGTTCCCGATGAAGATGTCGAATTGGACGCTTGATTTTGGGCTGAAGTCTTCTAAAGCGATAGTCGACACGGCGTACACGCAGAAATTGGATATCATGAACTCGAGTTCGAAGACGTATTACTTTGAATTCTTAATCAACCCGTCCCACTGTTACGAATTAGAAATCAACCCTATTCGACAGACGTTGAAGCCAGGATACGCTGTCTCTGTTGAATTCAAAATTACGATGATATGCACGGCAGTCGTCTCGCACGAAATTGGTATTGTCGCGATGGATGTCGACGACAACGAGAAGGAGACTGCGAAGCTGAAATTAGTGATAGAATCGGATCTGTCCACTAAATTGGACCACACCGAGTTGAAACCGATTATGCCGCCAATTGGCGAAGGCGCGTTTGGTCTTGTCTTCAGAGGGACTTACAGAGGGACTGAAGTTGCTATTAAGAAGATGAAAGCAAGGAATTTGACTGACGAGCAACAAAAGGAGTTCACACATGAAGTGACTATGTTGTCCCAATTAAGACATCAAACCACAGTCAATTTAATTGGAGCGGTTTATACGGAAGGAGAAATAGCGATTGTCACCGAGTTTGCCGAGTTTGGGTCACTGAGTAAGATATGGGGAAAGAACCCGATTGGATACGACTTGAAAGTGAAAATTATGGACGACTTGGCGGTCGCATTGCAATTTTTACATCATAATCAAATCATCCACAGAGATATTAAAGGAGAGAACGTCTTGATATACTCGCTGAACCCGCATTCAAGCGTTTGCGGAAAACTGACCGACTTTGGGACATGCAGAAATGTCTCTGAAAGAGCATTAAGTACAAAACCATTGTCGACAGGTATTGGAACACCAACATATATGTCCCCGGAATCACTCCAAGGTACGTCGGATTATAGCTACCCAGTAGATATATACGCGTATGGAATGGTGTTGTATGAGACGTATACAGAGAAACAGGGATACGAAAACGACGAGAGATTTAACCAACCGTGGATGATCCCACAATTCGTTATCGAAGGAAAACGTCTCGAGAGAACAGAAGGGATGCCAGACAACTACTGGAACTTGCTCAACAAGTGTTGGGCCCAAGAGGCGGAGAAGAGACCAAACATGTCCGAAATTTTGGAGACCATTTCGAGCTGGGGGCTGGATATCACACACGTCGGAGGTGAAATCGCACTCAAGAAAGTCGACATGGACAAGGCAGAGGGACATGTCGATGATAAGGAAGAGAAGAAGGAAACTCCAATGTCAGAAGAACCAAAGAAGGTCGAAGAGAGCAAGGCCCAGAAGCTTGACTTGTCTTCGCCAGAGTCGTCGAGTCAATAAAATAATTTGGGAGTAAGTGCCATTGTTGTTAAGTTGTGTTTTTACATTGAATTAATCTTCAATGAATTAAATAGATTTGTTATAGTTTCATGAAGTAAAACAATTGTATTGTATTGTAATAATAATTTTACTATATCATTAATTAATTGATGGAATGAGAGAACTTATTTAAATATTTGTAACATGAACCAATGTTGCCCACAACAACAGATTCCTTCTCCAGTGATACAAATGTGTGGAAGTGTGGAGCAGTTGAAAAAAACGCTTGAAAACGTTTCTCCGTCACAAATATATTGGGGTGATGAGTTTGGGTATCAGTTTCAAGACAAACCTGGGAAAACGAGGCTGCAAGAACAGGGTTCGTACGGTTTTGTGTGTTTGTGTGGAGATGGTTCGCAAGTCAATCCAGTCGTTCTTCAAAGCCTTGGCACTGGTGTTTTTGTCAACAGAAAGATAACTCACAGCAGCTTTGTGTTTTGGTTCCAAAGTGTCTTCGCCAAAAATGTCAAAGACAAACACAAACAGTCCGAGTCCACAACAACTTATTTTGTAACAAACCCTGCGTTCGAACAATTTTTCATCCCCTTAGTCGATTTTCTTCGAACTGAAAACATCGTTGTTCTCTTTATTGACTCAACAAATCAAAGCAGTCCTTTTGATCGTCTCGTCTACTCCGTGAGTACGGCGATAAAAACACAACACGATATAGTACAGAAGATGGGTGCAATGTGGTGGTTTGTCCTCGTTGAGCGGAATGTGTGGCGGTGTGCACAGTGGTTTACTGATTATTTCAAAAGTGAAGTAATATCGGTTCCTGAACCTACTGAAGCGCAACAGGCTCAGAAACCGAGTGAAGAAACATTCGATTTTTCCCCCTCAAATGTGCTTTCGTTACAACAAAACGATCTCAAGAAAAATGAGAACGATCTGAAAGATCTCCCCGACGAACAGAGTAATGGAACAAAAGAAACTGAGAAAGACACTGATACTGATGAAGATGATATTTGTATTGACCTTGACGCTGACCCAGAAGAACTCGAAAAACAACTCACGAAATCTCGGCTCAAAAAGACAAGTTTACCAGAACGAGAAAGAAACACCTCGCCAGAAACACTAACTGGATATTTAAGCGATAAAAATGAAGAGGAAGTCCAGAAGAGGCCGCTTCAAAACGACACTATAACACCAGTCACTACACTTGACGAGAAGGACATCCCACAACCGCCAAAGACGTGTGATACACTTACCTCAAAAATTAAGGAAGAGGCGTTTGAAACGAAAACGTCTGAGGTTAAAATATGTAATAAGATCAAACGAATGATTAATCAAGGCGAAGCGGTGACGGAACTCACGTTGAAGGTCGAAAGCGCGGAGAGAGGAGAGGACTATGTGCGAATAAAGAATTTACTTGAGCAAGACGGAGTCGTGGGAACACACCAACACTTTCTCCCAGCAAACTACGAACAAGAAACCATGGAGTATTGGAATTTGAAGAACCACGAATTTGTTAATATTTTACAGACCAAGGGATTAACTGGTGACGAATGCCTTTACAATTTAACATCATTTGGAGATGAGTGTTGTGAAATTAATGATACAGTGTTTTACAACAACAAAGATACCCGATTTAAGGTTGTGGAAAAGACAAGGGAGTATTTTGGTGTGTGTTGTGTTGGGGATAAAGGAGGATTTGTGCAGATGAGTGTGAGCGTGCCAAAGGAAGTTGGGGATCAAATTAAATTAGGGTTCGAGTTGGTTCACGTCATGGAAGGGGAGTATTATTTTAAAAGAGAGGTTTTGAAAAAGTGGGTGAACGAAACATTGATAGAACAAATAAAAAAGAACAACGATGAGCAGCGGAGCAAACGAGGGATTCTCTTTTTGAGCGAAGCGATGAGGTGGATTGTTGATGAAACGTGTTTTAAGAGTAAAGGAGTCGAAGCGATCTATGTGGGAGAGAGGATGTGTAAATTTTTGCCCATTTACAAAATGGTCGAAAGGGTATACAGCGATTCTGTGAAGCGGAACTGCCTCACAAAAGAACTTTTCTGCTTCTCATTTATCGACTTTTTCTCGACTATCGATATTAATACAATTCCAACATTTTTCGAGAAATTTAAAGGAGACAAAACAACGCTCGAAAGGATGCTGGTCGAAGGAGAAAAGATGCTCGACAAAAACGTCACGTTGCAACGGGTGGAGAATGACTGTATCAGGAATTTTGATGTGAGTGGATTACCAAGAGTATTTGAATGTGCGTTACGCAATATTGTGCTTGGCCAGCTGGGGGATTATGATAGGAAGGTGTTGCAGTGGTATCATTTCATATACAATGCTCCAGTTCTTCTTAAGTTTATTGGACAAATGTTTTTTGACAAGTGAAAGTGTATTTGATTTTTGATTACTTTGCTTTCTTTTAATTACTTATTATTATATTTATAGTTTTGAGAAAAATTAGAAACAATTCGCAAAATATTTGTTCCAATGTTTAAGTGATTGTTTCAACATCTTTTCAATGAATAATATCATATTGATTGTAATTTAAAATCAATAATTAATCTAAAATTATTATAATAATTCAAAAAAATTTATTATTCATTTGATTGTTTTTTTTTCTTTATTTGTAATTCTTTCTAATAAAAAAACAAATATAAAAATATAAAAATATCAATTCCAAATTATTTAAATTACAATATAATTATCATTTGTTTGTAACAAAAGTAGAGTCTATATTATGTTTGTATAATATTCTTAAAGGTTATGATATCAATAAAAACACATAGAAAGATAATACAAACAACAATCAAATTATACATGAAAGAATGAGAATCTCTGTGGTATGAATTGAGAAAGAGTCGTGTCGTTTTTCTGTAAGGTAACCCTCCCTTTGGTTTCGACTAAATTGCTGAGGTAGTCGTTGACTTGTTTTCCCACTTTGATGATCTCGTTCTTTTGAAAAATCCTTATTTTTCCAAAATAGACTTCTTTGATTCTTTCAAGCTGAAGTGTCTTATCCGATTTTTTTGAAAGCTTTGAGTTGAAAAAGAAGCCTTTTTCAAGTAAAGTGTCAATAAAGAAATTTTGGATAAAAATGCTTTTGTTCTTTGAATACCGTCTTGATAATGTTTTCTCTTTAATCCCATCCTTTTCTTTGCCATTAAAAAGTAAAGAACATTGTTTCTCTGATAAGCGTTTTAAGTCTATTAATTCATCATTAACGACAATTCCAGCTATTCGTGGCATGGTTGTTGTTAAAACACTTTGCTTACCAGCTTTCTCCAAAGATACACCATACTCTTTATTTACCAGTAACACAAGGATCGCCTGTTCATAACAGAAGTCGTTTTTGAACTCATGCTCGCGTTCAACTGTCTTGTGCCTGTTGACACCCTTTTTGACTTCCATCAGAACAAACTATAGGATTTTGAGTTAAAATACAGTGTTTTATAAGAAGCAATTAAAACCCTGCTTATTCAGCTCTCTAAATCGAACAGAACGGACACTTTTCTTGAACTCAACCCATTTCATCAGGACACCCTTGCTAAGATTTTTTATCATTCAGTTGATTTGACTTGTTGTGAAAAAATTTGGAACTTTTGTTCTAAAACATTTTGATTGTTCCCAAATCCGCTCTTTGTTATTTTTTAAGACCGAAACATCACTTGTTGAATTAAAAAATATCATTTTTGGCGCATTTTATATAATACCAACGTAAATGAAATGTTTTCCAACGGCGATGAGTGAAGTTTATTTATATTTTCTATAATAAGGAATGAAAAACAAACTATGAAGGGAGCATATTTTGGTATCAGCAAATTGTTTCAATTGTTAATATTCGACAATTCTGTGGATAATCTCGGGAAAACACCCAATTTAAAGAACAAATAAAACAATATTTTTGGTTAAAAAAAATCCGTGAACTAAAAGCAATATAATGTTGAAATGCCCAACTAAAAAAAAACAAGGTTAACCATCTTTGTTCTTAAATAAATAAAATTAAATGGAATTGTATTTTTTTACTATAAAATGGTATTTCATTTATAAGTTGTTTCGGATGTAACACAAAAGCAAAGAAATTATCACTCAAAAGATGTTATAAATTTATAAAACACCTGAAATGGATCGACAAATTGATTGGATTTATAATTTGTATAAAATAACTCTTTATTTTTCAAAAGATAATTACACATGCAAACTAGACTTTGGGGTTTTTTAACACACTATAAATATTTTGTCGACAAATTGCTTTTTAAGAAGAGCTAAGCGAATCTTTATTACCTGAAATGGTTTTAAATGGTTATGGAAATCATTAAAATAATTATAATTATAATTTGGATTATTGAATTAATAAAAATCACTTGAAAAACTCGAAAGCTGAACAAAACGGCTTTGGAATTCTACAAATTTGTCCAAGTATTGTGAATGATTTGTTGCAGTCAGCTCCATTAACTAACTAATTGAACTCTTATTTAAAAACTTAATATAAGCATTATTTAATATTTTCTAACCAAATTTAAAGATAGTTAAAGACGGGTAATGTGTGGGTATGTAATGCAATTCAACAATTACATCAAAATGTGAAAAATATCATTAAATTTGATCATCAAAGTCTTTTCTTCTTACTTGTTTGTATATATCAATTTGTTATTATAATTATTGTATGAAAGCTCCTTTCTTTTGTGCCATTTGATAATGAAATTAAACAATATTTAGCACAAACAAGTCAATCACTAAAATGCTTCTGATTGCGATACAATTCATTCATTAACTTTAAAAAATTTCATTTTTATTTTACAATTTCACAATTCTTAAATGGGGAAATGAAAATTACTGAATCGCAAGATTTATCGCAACGCAATGTAAATTATTCAAATTCAAAACCACAAAATATCAATTAAATGCAAATAAAATTTAAATGACGACGCAGTCAATCTTTAGAACATCACCAAAAGGTAATCCGTCCGGTGTAAACAGTCTACATTCCGTCGAACAATTTCCTTCGTTCTCAACGGAGAATTCAAAAGCGACTTCTATTTGATTTGCTCCGATTATAGGCTGTATTGGGAATGTAGACTTCTCTGGCGAGATTTTAGTTCCATTCCAATAGCCAACATAACATCCTTTAGGCCATTGCCAATTCCCGTTGTTCTTTACTCTCCACACTTTAATATGTTTAGTCATTTTTTTGACATTTGTTGGGTAGATGAATGTGACATGTCGTAAGAAGACCATATGGTACTTCACTGTTAACTCTTTTTCTTCTTCTTTAACCCTTTCAACGTCTTCTTGAGTGACAGTCTTACACTTTTTGTTGACGATGTCAACTAAAACTTTGCCGGCGTGTTGTACTTCATTGTCTTCAAATAAGTTTGACAACTCAGACCAGAAGACTTCTTCCTTCCTTTCTTTATCACTTAGACATTTCACTGCAACAGTTTTGGTTAACCACTCGACCAATTCCTGTTTAGTAATTTTCAGACGTTCCTTTTGACCCAAGTGCACTTTCACTATTCCAAAACTCTCAACATAAAACTTGAGATATGTCTCTTGATCGTTCACTAGAGTCGTACCATTGACACCACAGTATATCATGACATAAACGGGCGGAAGCTGTCGGAAGGCTTTAGACATCCGCTTTTGGAAAAGTGTCCACTTCAAGACTGTTTGATCAATAACAACACGGTGCGTTTCTTTGCCGCACTCTGCGTCGACTAGAAATTGCTTTTCCATCAATTTCGGTGTTTACAGTTTGATTTATAACTTCGACTTTTCGTTTTGATTGAATGACTAAAAGGTGTCTTTCTTTATTCTTTTAATGAATAATTTTATTATAATTTATTATGAAAATTAAGTTGTAACTTTTTTTCCTTCTCTTTGTTTAGTTATTATTATGTATTATTAATTTTATTATAATATTTACTAGAATTGATGTAATAGAATTGACTTTTTGTAATGGGATATTATATTATTGTCATTGAAATGATATTACAAATAAATATATAATAACATTATGTCTTGAAAAACAAAACACCAACATTTGAATTGACTTATCACTTAATGTTATTGTCTATAGAATTGAATTAAAGTCTGTCTAAAAACGTTGTCCGCTTGTAAAAAGTTGTCCATGACAAAATTTTAGACAAAATAAGTTGAAAAATTTAGGAATTAGGTAAAAACGATCAAATCCCGGTAAAAATTATGAAACAACGTTTTGGGAATGTTTCGAATTGTTTCCCGAAATATTCCAGTTTTGATGGTCCAAAAATGCCTGGACAACGTTTTCAGACTGACTATATACAACTTTTTGAACTAAATGAATTAAAAATGAGTATTTTACTTTATATGTGTTAAAAACAATTTAACATACAGTAGGAGGAAATATGGGGATGCTCGAAAAAGGAGGATGCTCGTAACTATTGGTTAATTTCAACTGAAAAATAATAAAATTACTATTAATTTTAATATAAATTATTAATCAAAAAATTAATAAAAAGGAAAAACCGAATAAATTTATATTAATTATTTATTATTAATAATATTAAATAAATAAATATTAAGATGTAGATCCCCCTTTTTCTCAGCATCCCACTTTTTCCGTTAACTGTACATAAAGTTATTATTTATATATTAAATTTTGACAACACATTTATATTAATTGTTAACTGTGTCTATGTTTTGTTATGACAACTCAGAACAGAACAATTATTAAAATAATAAAGAGTTGTTGTTTTTTAATTTATGATTTGAACAAAATTCAATTATAATGAAGATTTATTTTACAATTCATTCATTTGTCGCTATTTTCATTCATTAGTCCAATTTATGACTAAAAATATTGTGGTTTTACTTATTACAAACATGTTATTATCTTTTATAATAACTTAAATTGTTGAAAAAATGGGATAGTTTTTTGAGTTCTTTTCCAAATCGTTCTTTTAACATTGTATTTATATTTGCATTTTATAATAACTTCCCGAATTGTATTATTAAAAACACCAACACATTATAAACACTGTTAAAAAATAATGGAAAAAACAAATAAGTGGCAAAATAATATGTTTACTACCATTTTCAGGGAAACAATAATTCAAAAAATGGAGTTATTGAGAAGTTATTTTGTGGTTTACTTTTGAATGGAAACGTCCAATAAAAACACAACGTGAACAAATAATATCGTTCAATGTTCTTTGTGCTTTTCTTTGTTGCCTTTTCAAACGCAGATTATGCAATTAAATACGAATCAACTGGCGAATTCAAAGCTTACAAACTTGGGAAGTGTTATTACAAAGGTGATGGTCTTTATGTTCGATACGAGAAAAAGGATTCAAATCTTGAGTACTACTCTGGGTCTTCTTGTGACAAAACCGTTTTAGGCGGATCAGGAAGTGGGTTTGACAAACTTCAAGACTACCGATTGGAGTCTAAGCTTCCAAAATATTATTTAGTTAAAAAGACCTTTGAAGAGACCACAACATGCCTTTTTACTGATGATGTGATTTCTCCAGAATATAAATATTATCCAGAAGGCTGTATAACCAGTGAGGGAGAGTCCAAAAAGTATAGTATTGATAACAACCTTGTTCACGTCTATTCATACTTAAATTCCAAATGTGAAGGCACTGGTGAAATAGATACTGAAGAGTACAAAAAGTGTTTAATAAACGGAAAGAATAGTTGGATGTTCACCGACAGTTCTGTAAGCCTCTCCTTCGCTTTAGCAATCGGATTCCTCATTTTTATGTTCTAAAGTAGGAACTATTAATTGAAACAAATTTACTATAATTTTGTTCTGGAATTATAAAATAAACAATCAAAGGCGTCTATTTGTCGTAATATTAATTGTCGTACTTGCTTGTTTGTCACACAACTAAATAAATAATTAAATGAATTATAATCATATTATTAATTATTATTAAAAATTAAACAATTGTACAACAATTTGTATTTTTACTAATATTTTATTTTATTATTGATAATATAATCAAAGTCGGTAATACTATTATTATTATTAATTTAATTACAATAGTATAAGTTAATTGATTAACAAAGGTATAATAATAATAGTATTTTTTACTTATTTTTTAATGATTATATTGTTTGTAAGCTTAAATCTGGCATATTGGAAAACCCCATTTTTGTCCTAAAAAGCAAAACACGATTCACTAAAAAGTTCGGTAATAAAAAATAGTAATTGTCATTTCGAAAAATAATCAATTATCACAATAGGAATCAATAATTGCAGATAATACAGGATCGGTTATCTCAACATCGTGTGTAAATTTATCGTCGTTTTCTAGTGTCATTTAAAGAATACAACAAAAAGCAACTTTCAACGTGTGAAGGTGACAATTGGTACGGTTTTGTTCTGAAACAACAGAATATGCATTTTGTATCAATTCTATGAATACCACACCATCAATTTTATTAAAAAGTGGATTTGTGGTTTTTGTATTAATACGTACACGTTCTCTTTGATGTCGAGTTTCTAAGTTTCTCAATTTAATTTCCAAGTTCCTTGCATCATAAACATCTCCAATTGCTGCAGCACGATATCTGTTAATTGTCTGATGTTTTTAAAGCAAAAACGTATTTTTAGTAAATGATTGTAAATTAAAAGAAAAAGAAAAAACGAATGCGGGTTTCCTAAATTCATTTGTGCCAGATTTAAGCGTTCAAACAATAAAACATCAAACAATTCTTAAATACCATGGTTTACATATAATACAGTCTGGTTTCTAACATTATTTGGTAACTTTTGGACCATAAAGATTGGAATATTTGGGAAAGCCATCCCAAAAATCTATCCCAATTGTTTCGGGTTTTTTCAAGTTTTTCTAATGCCCGATGTTTAGACAAAATTAAAGCTATTTTTTGTCCACCATATGACACTAAAAGACTCTAATTAATTTAGAAAAATTTAAAATAGAGTTTGTTGTAAAACTTTGTCCCAGTCGCCAACGTTGTCCTTTTTATCAATTTATACACAAATAATTGTTTAAAACCCCGGGAATTAGGTAAAAATAGAAAAAAATGGGAAAAATTTAGGAAAAAAACTGAAACGACGATATTTTTATATTTCGAACATGATCCGGATATTTTCCAATTTTTATTGACCAAAAAGCGCAGGACAACGTTGGCGACGGGACAACGTTTTCCGACTAACTCTAGTGTTAAGTCCATATTCCATTACCCCAACCATTTCAATGTCAATGAAAAACAGAAATATAAGTTTTTCATTTTACATTTCTGAAATATAATGAAATAAGTTGGTAAATATGAAAAAAAAGAATTACCAAAAACCAAAATATATGCGACGGACGATTACAAACACGCGCAGCGTAAAATACAGTCAGTCCTGCCCCATCTTTCTTTTGACTTTCTCCATAGTTTTGAGTTGTTTTCCTTTACTTACGGCTTCATCTTTGTCTTTCACATCCTTTAAGTTATTTTCTAGTTGAGTTTTAAGATCCGAAAGAAAAGCAGAAGAACTCAACAAACTAAAACAAAAGGAAGGACTTCGTTGACATTACTGTCTTCGCCAAACCGTTTTGTAATAATTGATATCTTTTTATCTTTCACACTATGGTCGTTCTCTTCAACTTGAAATGCAAGTGGGCGTTCCCCACTCATTTGTTTCACTTTGTCGGACTTTCGTATCATTTGCCCATTCATACTCGCCTCCTCTTCATCACTACACGACAAAAAAGGCTCGATCTTCCCAAGACTATCAGAGCGCCCAGTGATCTTCGCTAACTTCTCCGCTCGCAACTGACGCGCTCGCTCCTCTTCGGTCATCACCACAGACATTCCCTCTTTTTTCTCAGTTCGTTTGCATTATTTTTAAAACTAAACTCCCCTTCTAAAATAAGTTGTCTTGTCTTTCATAAGGTTTTTCTTGGTGGTTTTCATTCGCTGGACGATTCAGAAGTTACCTTCCATCCAAATCGGGTATGCCTATTTTTATAATTGTTTTACTATATTGTTACTAGTATTTTGAAACTATATATTTTAATTTGTTTATAGTATATTTAATAATACTTCTGATTATATCTGTTGCAACAGAAAATCAAAAAAATATAACCACAGTTTTGAGAAGAAGTAACCAATAGTCTCAATCTATTTTTTTGATGATTTATTTGTTATACAAAATATTAGAAATGTTGGCTATTGAAAAAATTTGGAGAATTTATCTCAAAAATATGGAAATACTCAACACACCATTTTTTTATTTTTACAAATTTAGGAAACCCTATTTAACCCTCGGGTCTGTATTTTTAATTCCTCATTTTTACCTTAAAAAAACTTAAAAGAAAGACGATGAAACCGAAGACGACGCTGGTCGTTTCGAAGGTCACCCCAAAGGGGGTGCTCACAAAAATCAATTTTGCACTAAGTAAGTTGGTAACGTCAATTGGAACAATTGGTGCTGACATCATGCTTAAGGAGGCAACAACACTTCAAGCTGTTTTAATTGTCGATACAATCAACAATCCGTCTGGGATAATGTTCAACAGGGGAGAGGTTGGTTCCCTTTATGTAAACGGCCAACCGATCAACAAAAATATGACTTACCCAATCACCGCACGTGACCTTATCCAGATATTGGATCATTTCCTTTATTTAACGTACGGTAAACCGGAAGAATCCGACAAAGACATTGTTCTACAGAAAATGAAGGTCGGGAAGAGAAAATCAATTTCAAGTACACCAATAAAGAGGGATAGTATAACCGTAAGGAGGTCTCAAGAACAACGGACCAGTATTAAGAAATTGGTTTCGGAAGATAACCCAAAGGAGTTTAAGAATGAGGACAACGACTTCAACGTAAATTTTTCGCTTTTATCTTCCGTCATTCCAGAAGAGATTGAGATTGACAACGCGAATGACAGCAAAGTTGAGAGTGGTGGAACGAAAGAAGATTTGAGGCGCAAAAAAGTGGAGAAAGTGAGAAAGCCAAGAAAAAGATCACAATCCCGCGAGGCGAGGAGAGAGACCTGTGAGATCGAGGAACTCAAAGATGAAGAGAAGAAAGAGGTTGTAATTCGTGTTTCGCAACAGAAGGGTAACGTCAAATCAATTATAAGCGAAACCGACTTTTTGAAAGGAAAGGTGTTTTACTTTGGGATGAACGATGAGATGATGAAAAAATACGAGCATATTATCAAGAAGTATGGTGGGAAAGTTGGTGACCGATACCCAAAATTTGATAAAGCTTTATTGCCAACAAAAGCTGAGCTTGACGCGTTTAAAAAAGAAGAAAAAGGAGAAGAGCTATTTCATAAGTGGGGCGTGAACGGTCCCAAAGAATGCGCCTTAGTCGTGAGTAAAGAAAATGAGGGTCCGCACATGGCTTACTTATGTTGCATTGTCAGCCAGGTTCCTGTCATCAGATCGGATTATTTTGACCAAATCGCTAAACAAAAGAAAGACGTTGGGATGTTCAATTTTCTTGCACCGGTTATACCAACATCAACAGGTGTTTTTGCAAATTCAGTTCAGCCAATTGAGTTCTTCCCATTTGAAACATACAACATTAATGAAGTTCCCAGAATTCAAATTCCGGCGAAAAAGAGTGAGTCGGAGAAGAATATCACTGAAACCTTTATCGTTAAAGTTGGGTGCAGGGTGGTGGACCGAACAATTACTCGGAAAAGCGAACTGAAACCGACGGGACTTGACAAATCTGTTTACTCTTTTAGCCCCATCATGGAGTCTGAGGTGAAGAAAAATAGGATGAGCATGGGTACTCAAAGAAAAAGCGAGGCGCAACAAGACTTTCTTGTGCTATATCTTGATTGGGTTGTGAAGATGATTTTGGACGGCGGTTTTATAGCCCCACGAGACTACATTCTGAATAAGGACGTTGATGGGTATGACCAAATCTAAGATCATTTTATTTTTTGTTGTACGTTGGTTCTTGTTTTTTTCATTAGTATAATTTCTAATATAAATTATTATTATTGAAATAAAATTTTTTTTAATGTTTTTTATTGGAACACAATTGAAAACTTGTTTTTTATTTTTACGTTTTATAGCTGTTCGGCGACTTTATAGTTTCTTTGAAAATCGCCGACTTTTCAGTGGTCTTAAAAGTCGCTGACCTAAATATTTAGTTAAATAACTATTCAAAATACAGTAAAACCTCCCAAGAGCGGTACCTCTGAAGAGCGGGTTCTCTCAAGAGCGGGCATTTTTTAGACTGAAACTAAAAATAGAGTTCTCTATCGAGCGGTTTATAAGGTTTGATTGGCTAAAAATGCCCGCTCTTGAGAGAACAAAATTACCACATCTCCCGCTCTTGGGAGGTTTTACTGTACCATTTATCATGTAAAAGATATTGAAAAAAATAAACCATATAAATTTAATATAATTATTATTAAAAAGTAAAATGAAACAATACCGTCCCAATTATATCTTCTCAAATCATTTTTTAAATTATATTTATATGATTATAATATAACAAATTATAACAACTATTGTGTTTTTACACATTTTTGAGACTATAATGAATATGGTATAATTTATTAAAGTTAATAGTTATTTAGTTCTAAAAGAAGTCGGCGACTTTTGAAGGGACTCAAAAAGTCGCCCACTTCTCAGTAATATCAAAAGTCGCCGAACAGCCATTATACTTCCGAATTATATTAAGAGTCTATTATATTGTATAGAATTATAATAATATTGAAAAGTAAAAATATAGACGTACTAGTAAACAATAACTAGAAATAGTTTTCAAGTGTTTCAAAAAGTTGTTAATGTTTTAAAAAACAATAAAACTAGTAAAAAGAAGAACATGTTTGGATTTGACAGCGACGATGGATACGATGTTCTTGAAGAAGACCAAGGACCAAAGACGAATTTTGTTGAAGTCACGATGTACATTCTGTGGGTGCTATTTTTAATCACAAGCATTCCATCTGTAGTTGTTTATTCCATGTTTTATCCGACGATCAAATTTACACTGGACGAGTTGAGTTATACGATCCAACAAAATAACACATTTACACTGTCGTTAAGTTCTTCGAGTGAATCAGTGCAAGGAGGGGTGTATTCTGAATGTGTTCCTATTCGTCCTTTCTTGTCCTATTTGAAAGCTTCGATCAACAATAAATCGCTTGTTATAATTTCAACACACAAATTGATAACGAAAGACAAAGCGGCGATTAGTACAGGGGGCTATTTTAATATTCAAAAAGATACAAGAGCGGTACCAACAATTAACAAACAATATTTAGTAGTTGGGTATTACGACATGGACCAAAACGGGTATTTCACAATCACAACTAACTACGACATGACTCAAGAAGAGATCGAAGATAATAATTTGCTGGAAGTGAACTCGACGTACTCAGTGATGAATTGGAGGGTTGGGGGATTACTCTCTGCGAATCGAGACGTTGAAATGTATGACTTCAATGAGTCTCTTGAAACGTTTGAAATCGTTGGGAATGCTATTGGACAGCCTTTTGTCATCTTTGGAGAGTCGATTTGTTTTACACTGAATGCTACAAGTCATAAGAATGTGACCAATTTTTGTGAAGATCGAATGTTCATAGAAAACACTTTTTATGTCTTAGAAGAGTCAAAGATCCCACCCGTGATCATATTGTCATACACACAATATGGTTACATCATTTCCGCAGACTCTAATTTGGAAGTGTATTCGTGTCAATTCGAAGAGTATAATACTGTAAGGAATGACTCTTTACAAACGATCAAATGGACTACCAACAGATCAAAGGAAGTCAAAGCCATTCAAAATGTTCATTTCAAAATTCAGCAATAAAGCAGTTTTGTATTATTTTAGTATTTCATAAGTTCTCTATATAATATCGAATAACTTTACTATAAAAAATATTATATTATAACTATAATAACTTAATAATATAATATATAATATATAATATATAATATATAATATATAATATATAATATATAATATATAATATATAATATATAATATATAATATATAATATATAATATATAATATATAATATATAATATATAATATATAATATATAATATATAATATATAATATATAATATATAATATTAATTAAAATAATTAATTAATAGAACTAAGTAAATAAGATTAATGGGATGCGATGGGGGGACTGTGGCGCGCCGGGATGATCACGTCAAAAAAGTGAAAGAGCCGAAACAAATTGAAGACACACAAAGTAGTGATAGGTACACCCACTGCTCATTATCACAACAACCTTTTAAGAAGAAAATTGTATGCGACAAAGTCGGGAGGATGTACAACAAAGACGCGATATTAAAGGCATTAATACAGAAGAGTATTCCCAAGGAAATGCGATATATCGCGGCGCGAAAGGATGTTATCGATTTGAATGTGTCATGGTCGAAGAACCATATAATATGTCCTTTAAAGAAAATAGAGTTCACACCAGGCCACCAATTTGTCGCACTTTCATGTGGGTGTGTCATCTCACAGTCAGCATACTTAGAACTCCTTGCAGTGAAAGGGACGAAGTGTCCAATTTGTGAAGACGTCTTGAGTGAGGCCATTCCGCTGAATCGACCATTTCAAGAGATGTTAGATACTATGCAACTTTATTGTAACATATACGACCACAAATTTGGAAAATGCGAAACTAAAGAAGAGATCGGAGAGGTTGTGAGTCATCAACCCAAATTAATAGCTTCTGAAGCCAAAAATAAAATAATGAAAGAGAAAGCGGGTGAGAGTTATGCTCAACTATTTAAATAAATTATTAATTACTTTTATTATTGTATGTACTATGTTCTTTTTTATTAATATAATAGAATACTTTTAATTTCTTTTATCTACTATAAAAGTATAGTTATTATAAATATAATATAATATAATATAATATAATATAATATAATATAATATAATATAATATAATATAATATAATATAATATAATATAATATACTATCTTATAATTACTTATAACTTGAAAATACTATTTGACCCTTCACAAACTATGTTTCCAGACACAGTGAGCCCAGTTGGGTATTTTGTTGGATTAGTTGTTCTTCTCTTCTTTGTTGTGATACCTTTCATCAAAGCGTATCGTTCAATAAACAGTGTGATAGGTGAGAATGAGCATGTTCTTTAATTAACTAATTAATTAATACTATATTACTATATTAATTATTGTCTTATATCTCTCACTTTGACATCTCTTCAATAAAATAGGACTTATGGCATTACCCTTAACAGAACAGTAGAATAACACAATCAACTCACTTCACCTTTTGAAAGACAAAAGCGTTGTAATACCCAATAATCTCCCATTGTTCCATCCTCACAGACCCTTTAGTCATCGACTCAAACAACTTTTTGTATTCTTCCTTATGAATCCAGTCATGATAGAATTGGTTCAAATCCCACAACGCAACAAGTCGAAGCCCAAAGTCCTCACAGATCTTGTGGAACTCACAAAAAGGGATTAAGAACTCGGGCAAATCCTCAATCGCATCAACCAACTTAAAATTGTACTGAGCGCCATAGATCGGGATGTGCTCTTTATCAACGGCTTTGTCAAATTCTATTTTGAATAACCCATTCCCAAAGGACGTCCCAGGCACACACCGCAGCTTTTTCACAACTCGATACGCATTCACTGTCGTCCCTAAAAAGATCCCCCCTACCTTCAATCGACTCGTCACATTCTCAATCGCTTGTCGTGCAGTCTCCGGCGATGAGAAGGAATAATGAATAGCAAATTGACACGATACAACGTCATAATCTAAATCGGGAAGTTTCCCTACAAAGTCTTGTGCAAAGCAGTCCCCGGGAACAGTTTGACAGTCAAACGACAATTTGTTCGTTCGACTCTTTATACGTTCCATCGCGTGTTCCAATGAGACCGTCGACAAGTCCGCTATCACTAAATGCTTCACCTTCGAGTTATCAAACTTCTGAATATCTCCACCTTTCCCTCCGCAAAAGTCCAAGACAGTTGTGTTCTCTTGGACATATTCATGTATTAAACATGCTTTCACCCAGTTGTTATATTTCCTCAAATCACTAATTTGTGATTTGTTACGTTCTTGCGTCGTCGTTTGTTTCTTTTTGTCGTATCCGCTTTCAATGGTCGTACTCATCCACTAGACTTTATTAGTTATTTTTTTAGTAATTTGATATTAGATTATTACTAATAATAAATATTAATATAAATCAATTAAATAATAATAAAAAATTAATTATACTTTATTAGTTATTTTTTTATTAATTTGATATTAGAATAGTACTAATAATAATACTTGTTATTATTATTCAATGAGTATAGTATTAAATAAGAATAATTAATTAATTACTTAACACAAGAGAATTACAATCAATTTGTCATATAAATAACACTTAGTTCTGTTGAATATTGCGAACCATAGAAGGGGGGACGGCTAAAACCAATTGTAAAAAAGGGAGTTTCATTGGTTGAGCCAACGAGTCAGTCAATTCCAACAAGTGTTGTACATTGACTCCGAAGGTATTAATATATTCGGGGTTGATTTTAGTTCCTGCGAAGAGACAAGCTTCCATGAAGTTGAGAATTGTGTTATTTTCTGTTACAAACGCGTTAATTTGTGTGAGTGTATTTGGGACATAGGTATAACTTTGTTGAGGGACATCCGTTTGACTATTAGCGACAGAGAAGTCGCTGACTTCGGTGACTTCATAACTCTGAGACATTCGACTTGACTTCCTTTTCTCCTTTTCTTTTGGTGAGACGGGGATCACAAATTTCTTTTCTTGTTTCTGGATGTCAGCGGGGTCGATCTGTTGTTTCAGACTTCTTCGATTACGGGACGGCATCTTTTCTCCTTCGCTTTTGTGAACGATGGTATTTGTCGTTCCGTTGGGGACGCTCTGTCTTTTCTTTTTTTTCTCTTCATTGATTCGACTTGGGGAGATGTGGCATGACCGTCGTTGACACTTTTCCGTTTTAATTCGTGGAGACGTGTGGTTTGATATCTTAATTGGTTGAGTCACCACAGACGTTTTAATGTTTTCACAATAGTCTTCCCACGACATAGTCTATCTATTACTTACCAAATCAATGCAATAAAAGAAACAAACAGTTTTAATGGCAATCCACTTCACTCTTGAAGTGATTTGTTGAATCGTTTTCGTTGGGAAGAGAAGAGATAATTCAAAGAGGGACTTTAAATTGGAGTCGGTGATGTGCAACTTCGTCATTTGGTCTTCTAAGAGCTTACTCTCTTCTTCGGACCAATACACAGAGGAGTTGCCAACCTCCGAACAGACGGACATATCTTCCGATTTCGACGAGTACGTGTTCTTCGTGAGGCGAGACACACTGATAGAGGGCAGTGAAGTTTCTTCCATTGTGGATTTTGAGTTTGGGACTCAATAAAGAAAAAGTATTGTATTCAAGACAAAACAGTTTTTGGCGATTGACTTTTCTTTTTGTTGTTTTCGAGTACCCTGGTTTCCCGAACAGCAGAGGTTTTCCTTTCTTCCTTCTTTTGAAATCTTTTGTTGAAAAAAGTATTGAAGAGGAGAATCTACTGTTATTAGTTTTGTTTTAGTTTATTCGCTTTAACTTATCATAAAAAATGGAGAAGAGTTGTATAAGGCTATTATTAACCTTTTTTACAAAAGAGATGAGATTGAAAAAGGTGAATTGGGTCGTTTTCCCAATATTGTGCTGGAAAAGCCACGTAATATTCAGATAAAAAAATGTTGTTCAAATGGCAAATTTTTTGAAAAAATGAGTAATAGTATCTGTGGTTTTTTGAATAGTTAAAATGGAATATATAACATTTTGTAGAGTTATACTATTGATTTTGTTAAAATTAATAGTTTTTAACTCTTTCGTTTTTTTAAATGGCGTTTTCAAGCATTGTTTGTTGTTTTCCCGACATTTTTCATTGGTAAAATCTGTTTTCATTTGAGAAGAAAAAATTGCCGAAAAACTCGTTTTCTTTGACAATTTCCACTAGTTTTTTTTACTTAAGTAAATAATAACAATAACTTCGAATTTTTTTTCCCCAAACAAAAATTAATGATTTTTGAAGCCAAGGTGTTAATTTTTTGTATCATATTTATAATACAATTTAGCATTAAAACAATAAATCAACAAACTAAAAATCAAAACAAGTCTCATTTTTTTTACCAGCATAAACTTTTATCTTTTTATTGTATCATTTATTATAATTAAAAAATAACTACTATTGGTACATTTTTTGAAGAACAGTTTTGTTTTTCAAAATACAAAAAAGCCAGTTTCCAAAACTTAATTCAATAAATTAATAAATTTTATAGTATTTTAACCATAAATAATAATAAATTATATGTAGTAATATTTCTAGAATATTACTATTATTATTAAAACTAGAAACACGTGTCACTTCATTAACTGTTTTTACTCGTCAAAAACCTTCTTTCGATCTTTCTTATCCTTTTTATCTTTCTTTTCATTGTCACTATCTGAACATACTCTCCCTTCATCATCTTCTAAAAAGACACAGTACTTTTTTGATGACTTTTTCTCTTTCTCATCTTTGGCTTCTTTTGTTTCTTTTCCGTCTTTAGAATCTTGTGTTGTCTCTTTTTCATCTTTATCTTTCAGACCTGCTTGTGTGTCTTTCACTTCGATTTTTTCTTCATCACTTTCTCGTGGAGAATTTATTTTTTTTTGCTTTTTCGTTTCTTTTTTATCAAGACCGATCTTCTGTTTTAACTCTTGTTTCTGCTTTTTTTCTTCTTGTTTTTTCATCTCCTTTTCGGCTTTCTTTTGCTCTTTGGTCTCTTTTTCCGCTTTCTTTAACTCTTCTTTCGTTTTTTGAAGGGGTTTGTCTTGTTGCGCGTCGTGGACTATATCTAACACTTCAATTAACAAATTTAATATGTCTTTTTCGTTTTGGCTATACTCTTTTGTAGTCCCGCTTATACAATCTGTTATTTTCTTTCGTGTTTCTTCAATACGAGAATCTATGGCCGACATGTTTATTTCGAGTTCAGTTATATTGATTTAATACTATTTGGTGACAAATCAATTCAATAAGAAAAATATCCTTAAAATATCGTTTTTTTACTTGAAAAAGTGACTACTAGTGTATTATAAGTTTTGAATCATATTGAACTAGATTACATTGTATTTCGGGGATTATACTTTGTTTTAATATTCTATAGTTTTTTATATACTTTTTAATTTCTCTACTATTATTTATAGTAATATAATAATTTAATATCAATTAAAAAAAGGTGAAAATTACAAACTCAAACTTTTTAAACTTTTTTTCGATTATTGGGGTATTAACATTTTAATTTATTATTATTAAAAAACCATATTTTTATATTAATAATTAATAATAACAAAATAATATTCAATTAAGAAATTAAAAAGCTTTAAATTGATTATTTAATAAATACAATAAACTATATATTAATAATTATATATTATATTTTATTAATATATTGAGAAAACCTCAAACTATATTTTATTAAATTTTTGATATCCACAAAATACCCCATATATAGATATTATTATATGTAGTTTCCTTTTATAATACTCTTTACGAACTCAATAAAACTTTATTCCATTCTACCAGATCTCGAAGAGAAAAAAGAGAATAGTCCACACCGTCTATTACCTCAAATTTCTTTACAACAACTCAATGATGTCATTGAATTATAATTTCTAATAAATTAATTATACTTTAATAGTAATTATTAATATAGAGAACTGCAGAGGTAAAAATGCGGAGTTTATTCTTCGACGAGTTCTATGCTTGTCCTGCAGAAACCGAACACCAACAGATAAAAGAAAACTGCAGATGATTCATTCAAAGACCAATGACAGAGGAATTTTGTATTGATAAAGTGCCACATGAAGTAGTTGGTGATATTCCCGACGAAGAGTGTCCAATTACAATAGCAGATGTCTATGCTGCTTCTCGTAGAATTCAAGGCCTTGCCTACAAAACGCCACTTGAGTTCTCCAACACCATTTCCAAGATTGCGGGATGCAAGACATACCTCAAACTCGAGAACTTACAGAAAACGGGTGCTTTTAAAGTGCGTGGTGCTATTAATAAAATCGCGACGTTAACACCCGAAGAGAAAGTTAAAGGTGTTGTAGCGGCATCAGCGGGGAACCATGCGCAAGGGGTTGCATTTGCCTCTTCCAATTTTGGGACGAAAGCGACGATAGTTATGCCTGAATTTGCTCCCACAGCGAAGGTGATGGCGACGAAAGGGTATGGTGCTGAAGTAGTCTTACACGGGAAAGTGTTTGATGAGTCTCTTGCATATGCCAAGAAACTTTGTGAAGAGGAAGGAAAGGTATTTGTTCATCCCTTTGATGATAAATATGTGATGGCTGGACAAGGGACGATTTCTCTTGAAGTTTTGGATCAATTAGCTGATGCTGATGTTATTATAGGAGCTATAGGAGGTGGAGGAATGATGGGAGGAATTGGATTTGCAGCAAAGCAGTTGAACCCTAATATTAGGGTTATTGGGGTCCAAGCCCGTAGTTGTCCGTCTTATGCGCTTACACGAGCTGTAGGTAAAATGTGTTGTTTAAAGCAAGGTAAAACTATGGCTGATGGTATTCAAGTGAAGTTAACGGGGAGTAAGACAGTCAGTGTGTTAGCTAAATATGTCGATGAAGTAGTCACCGTTGATGAAGAAAGTATTGCAGAGGCGATGTTAGTCATGTTCGAGAGATGTAAAATTATTAGTGAAGGCGCGGGAGCTACACCAGTCGCTGCGTTATTGTCACATCAAATCAAAGGCCTGACAGAGAACACAAATGTCGTTTGTATTGTTTCTGGTGGTAATTTGGATGTCAACGTGATAAGTAAAGTGATCGAAAGAGGTTTAGTAAAAGCAGGCAGAAAAGTCAATTTCACGTTGGAGCTCCCAGACATTCCTGGCGCTATGAAAAATGTTATTAGTATCATTAACAAAGAAAGAGGTACTATTCTTGATATCCTCAGTCGAAGACCAGCCTCTGGTGATTTACATGTGTGCATTTGTGATATTGAAATGGAGTGTTATGGCGTTGAACATAGAGATAAAATATTCGACATCTTAAAGGAGAAAGGTTATGTGTTTAGATAAAGACGTAATTGCATGCAATCAAGTATGGTTTAATTTTATTAATAAATATACTATATTAATACTCCATGAATATTTACTGATAAAGATAATAAGAATTTATAGTTTACTCTTACATATTTGTGTTTTATTATTACAATAATAAAAGAAACTATTATTTTTCTATGAACTGCAATTGAAGAGTACATAGCCCAATGCCCAAGAAAAGTCAAAGTAAAGTATATGTCGTTTTTGAAGGTCGAGTGCGTGGGTTGTATGCCACATGGGCAGAGTGTGATGCACAAGTCAAAGGGTTTTCTGGTGCGAAGTATAAGAGTTATCCTTCACGAGAAGACGCGGAAGAAGCTTACATTAAGCACATTGACAAATTCCCAATAGCCAAAGAAGACAAGCGTGCTCCTCCTGAAGTACACAACCAGACTGCTGAACTTAAAGCAGCCATAACTGAAATCTTACACCGGAGTGTCTCTTCAAACACTGCATTAGGCCTTTTCTATAAAGAGATAAAGAGCATCAAAGGGTTATATAAGAGTGACACCAATGAGTTAATAGTTCCTGGCGAAGAGTCAATAGACTTATATAAAAAAGGATTTCAGTATTTAGAAGAGCGTCATCTTCTCGAGTTAGGATACAAACTGTATCCCACTTCAACGTACGCCAATGCTCTTCAGGAGATAGACAAAGACTCTCTCTACATTGTCCCATGTAATTGAAATATAGTAAATTTATAGTAAGTAAATTAAAAAAGAATAGTAAACCCGATCAAAATCAAACACAATGATTTAGAACAAGGCGCACTTCCCACCCTGTTTTTTCGATTTAATAGGAGGTGGCACAGTTTTACCCTTTTGTGTGAGTTGTTTTATGCACTCTTCGATTGCGTCAGGAAGGATTGCGTTAAACATCGCGTCCAACCCTTCGCCAGTGGTTGTGCACACTTTGAAATCCTTCATAGGGTTTTTAGTCAAGAAGTCTCTGAAGTCGGACTCATTAATAGCGGAAGTTAAGTCTGATTTGTTCCCACACAACGCTTTTGGGATGTTACCTTTGTCCGGTCCGTAACGCTTTAACTCTCCCGCCCAGTTTTGAAGGGACAGGAGCGTATCGTTGTTCGCGACGTCATACACAAAGATGCAAGCACACGAGTTGTGATATAAAGCAGACGTGACAGTCGACATTTGTTCCGCACCACACGTGTCGTTGAAAATCAATTTCAACTTCCTGTTTTGAAAAATCATCGACTTTGTTAATATCTCTTTCATCTCACCAGTATATTCACAATACTTGTGGACCATCGACGTCTTCCCAACACCAAGCTCACCTATAAGGATGATTTTAACAGATAATTCATCGGATGGCTCCTTCTTTATTGACATCAGACTTTTCTTTCAAGTTCTTTTTTTAAGTTCTTTTTTGATTGGTATTTTTATTCGTTATGTTTTCTCTCGTTCCACAAATAAATCTCAAGCACTTTACTATTAAATTATAGTTGTTTTATTATTTGGACATTATTCAAAAAACTCCTTGTGATTTTTTTTGAAAGATTTTTTTTTTTAAAACATTGAGTATTATGTTGCAGATTGAGAGTGCAAAATGACGGGTTATTACATAGAATAGTTTTTAAATTTTTTTCGGTAGAGTTTTGTATAAAGTAAAAAACCCTTTTAGTTTTTTAAATAATTTAAACTGTTTTGTATGGTTTGTTTATTTTGATTATATTATAATTACTAAAACAAACAAAACATGTTTTTAATTATTTTTTTTTATTAACATAATTAATAAAATATTAGTTAAATATAATTAATTTTATCTATTTTATTTTAAAATTATCATTTTACTAAAAAGGTTGAGAGAAATAATCAGAATATAAAGTGGTGAGTGAAACAATAATTATAATTATTTTTAACATATTTTATTTTTCATATTCTATTTTAATATTAGAAACAATATTGTTATAAATAACTTTTTTTTATTTATGAAAAAACAAACTCAACCATTTTTGACACGAAAAGTGTTTTTTCGTGTCAAAAATTTTGATGTTTTTATTTTTTTTGTACATTTATAAAACATTTCAGAAAAATAATTATATTTATAATACTATAAATTAAAAAGTAATTATCGGTTCAATTGTTAATTAATAATTAAAATATAGTTTGTTTTTAATACAAATACTTTGAATTAAAAAAAAAGTTAACTTTGTTTTCTTTTATTTTCTTTTTTGCATAACACTTAAAATAACGCTTTTATTTTTGTTTTGACCTGTTTTTCATGGGATATTAATCAAAATTTTGATGATTTTCCTTTTTTGGCTTGTGTATTGTTTATTACATAATATAAACTCTAAAAAAACGGAAATTTATTTAATAAACTCTATATTTCCCGATTTTTAGACTATTTGGATTTTGTTCAATGTTATTTAAAGTGTTAATAAAAAAATAAAAAAATTAGTTTTCAACTTTTAGTTTAATATTAACAGCTTATTAATAAATAGTTAATAGTAAAATTGTTATATAAAATCAAACAATAGTTACAATTAGTTTTCCACAAAACGGCGACAAAAAGAGAAAAACAAAGAAAGAGAATGGATAGTACGCGCACACACCCCAGACAATCTATTCAAGGATCTCGTCGACAACCCCAAGTAATTTTACCAAAGAAAGGAACAGGAGAAATTCCAATGGTGAAAACACTTTCCACAAATCAAGATGCCGAAACGTTGGACCTATTTAACAGGGTGGACCACTTTCAGTTGATGATGACTGAATTAATTGAACATGACACTTCCTTCTTCAATTGTCCAAAGGAATTGAAATGTATTAGTTTGTTTAGTATTGATATAGTATAAATACTAGTACTTGTATAATTTCTCAAATTATAATAAAATTACTATAATATATAATACATTCAATTCATTTGCAGTCGAAGAGAAATTGGACTCATTTACACACGCACTCAAATACGATAGATACCTCAGAGTCGGGTATACTGAAGAGGATTGTGGAGATGTGGTTTTTTCAGAAACGGAGCGCGCACTGTTAAGTATTTTGCAAATGCAGGAAAAGCAACTCAAACAAATCGAAGACTTAAATTTGTTCATTGATAAGAGATGGGACGATAAGATTCAAAGCTCAGTCAATCCAAGCGTTGTGGAGAATATGGAAGAGTCTTTGGAAGAACAAACAGTTCAAGCTAATGATATAGTCGAGTACTGTACACAATACATGATAACGGCAAATAAACTTAATGACTTGGTTGGTGTATTAAATGCTCAAACTGAATCTCTCAACAACTCTAACAACTTTACAGCTTTCGAGGGACTTCTCAATTCGACAGAATGTAAGGAGGAAATAATAGATGAGTGATATGTATTAGTTCTTTTTATAATCTATTTATAATTTATTTTAAATACAGTTTTATTTTATTTGTAACAACTGTATTATATTTTATGTATTCATATATTATTTTTTATTTTTAAAATTAACAAATAGAATTGAGAAAAAAACAAAAAAAATATACTTATAATAAATTAATTATAAAAAAACTATTAACAATATCAAAAAAAATCAAAAAAAAAAGAAAAATTTGTTCATTAAAACACACAAAATCTTCTTAAAAAATGAACTAACTTTATTTTTGGTTTTAATTAATAATATAGTAAAACAATTATAATTATACTACAAAAAAAAGTACTTAATAAAAGTAATGACTACTTTTATGGCGAAGGAAATGATAGAGATTGGTTACTATTTTTGCACCCGCCAAGACTTTATCAACGCGATGTTAGTGTCAAAAAAGTTCCGCCACTTTGTGAGGGCGTACACATTCAACCCGATACCAGACACAAGTCTATTTCCTCACATGAAAATACAACGAATGTATTCGAGAGTGGACAAACGTATAGAAGGGATGCCTTATATATTGTGTTACCCCATCACAGTCGAAGAATATGAGAAGGGCGATACCCATCCGACGTCCTTGATATTTGTTGCGAAGAACAGAATTGCCAACAACAAGAAACGCGCCTCATTTGGCGCTCGCTTGAAAATCATATGGGATAGAGCGTTTGAGAAGATGGATTTTAAAAGTATTAAAATTAATCCAAAAGTCCATTTAATAGGGTTTGCTGCATTTAGAGACTGTTCAAAGCTTCTTTACATTGTCCTGTCCTCGTCACTTTTGCACATCGCAGCAAATGCGTTCGAGAGGTGCAAATGTCTCAGAGCAGTTGACTTTCCATCGAGTATCCGGTATATAGGAGATAGTGCCTTTAGAGGATGCGAAGGCCTGAAGACCGTCAAATTCAAAAGTGATACTCTGTGCGAGTTTGGGAAGTGGGTCTTTTGTGGATGTTTCTCTATTACAAATGTCGAGTGTCCCGACGAGATGCGAAAGATGATAAACCCATATGATGGTATTCTGATTGATGTAGAGCTTGCAGTGTAAAGATTGTGATTAACACAAGCGAAGTGTTGTTATTAAGTGCTATTTTATAAGACCTATTTAATTTTGTATCATTTTGTGTCACATTTTTTTGTGACACTTTTTAACACACTCAAAATGAGAAATAAATTAGATACAGAGTGCTAAGAAACAGTGTTTGATGATTCAGACACATCTATGCTTGTCGTCGACAAATAGTTGAAGACTTTACTTTGTGAGAGGTGTATGAGTTCCATCTTTCTTCCATATAACTTTAAGTTGTCGTAAAAGACCACCCCTTCCTCGATGATATCAAGCTTATTCCACTCTCTATCTAAACTTATATGTTCCAGTATTCTTCTCTCAGGCATCCACGCGTTCTCTGGCTTTTTCTTGACGACTTCCTGAAATGTGAATCCAAAGTATTGTCTTAATAAGTCGAGTAACATATTGTCTATTGTAATTGCAATTACTCTTCGCTTTTTCTGTTGGTCGTCGGTGAGTAATTTTGACATTTTAATATCCTCCTCCACTGTATTTCTATCAAGAAGTGTCACATTATTAAATGTTAAAGATTCTATTTTTAGCTTTTGAAACTTCCCTTCTTTTAATGTTCTTTTGAGTGTTATTTCACATCCCAAGTAATAAAATATCATCATCAGAAATCCTTCATTTCCATAGTCGTTTCTATTGGCATTGACTCTATTCGCTCTCTTCCGTGTCCGAGTGTCTTCTATAGTAATTGCCTTCTTTTTGCGGCCACGTTTGTTCATTAAATTAGAACTAAGTGGTAATATAGTGTTTATGTTCATTCTATATGAGTCTGAGACTTTAAAGTTTTTGATTTATACATCGTATCTTCTATGACGAATGTGTTGTTGTCATAGTCGTGATATTGGAGGTTTCTCATAGTACATTTCATTGAGAAAACATAACAACAACAATGTCTTAGCTCTGACATTTGATGTTGAAGTGAATTTCGGCGGATATATATAGAATTTTTTTTTGTGAGGTGTGAGGAATTAATTATTGATTAGTATATGATGTGTTAGGTCGGGGTTGTTTGTTTAGACTTAACCTTCTACTCAAATTCAACATTCGACTCATGGCTTTTTATTAAGTTTTATCACATTTTTTATTATAATATATAATACTTTTCTTTCAAAACTAAATATTAAAAAAAATTGGTTCAAAATTATCAATTCAATAGTTTCATATCTTTGATTTTTAAAACTATTTTTTGTAATACATTTTTTTTAAAGTTTTTTATATTTGATAGTTATAATAAACAAACATTGACGTAAATTCACAGGATATCAGTTTATATTTACAATTGAATATCTAAATTTATATTATTTTTTAAATGGTTTAATAATTGTCTTCAATTAACTTATAAGTTAATAATAATAAAAACTATTAATAACTAATATTCAAAATAATAATTCATTTCAAATAAACTTCAACATCAACTTTAAATGTTTTTTTAATTTATTTTGATTGTTTTTTTTTTAAAATTATAAAAATGTTTAAACCATTTTAAAATAAAACTAGTTAAAAAATTATAAAAATAAACCAACAATGCAAATAGTAATTAGTTAAACTATTTTTAATAATTGTTTTAACCTTTTAAACAAAATAATGAAATTTAATTAACTATAATTAACTAAAATTTATATTTTATTTTATTTAATATCTAACAAATTATATTTGTTAGTAAAAAAAACAATCCAATACAATTAATGAAACGATACTATAAAACAAACAAATTATCTTCTTTTTTTTCATTTGAAATATTATCAATATTATAGTAAACACAACTAATAAATATAGTAAAAGAAGGTACTTGTTTTAAAAACTCTTGAACTGTGAAACAATCAATTGTGGGAGTTCTATGTCATGGGAGACGACGCAAGCAGTAATAACAATCGACGGGTATCATCTCGACATGGGCAGTGACCACCACCGATCTTTCCAAGACATCTTGTTTCGGTTATGTGAGTATGCAACCATATGTATTCGATCAGCTTCGATCTTAGAGTCGAGCTCAAAGCAGTTACCACCAGAGAAGTATCAAGACTATGTAGTTCAAATCACTGAATATATCAAAGAGTTGAATGACCCATTAAGTAAATTATATATTATAGTTGAGAGAGAGTGCACTATGTTGTCACACAAAAGTATTCAAGACTCGACTCAAGACAGACTAATGGTCTTAAAAGACTTGACGACCAATTACCTTCAAAAGTTTGACAAGAACGACATGACCTCAATGATCTCATTTTTTAAGACCACTTTAACTACAACCTTTTCTGTGATGAAAGCAGTCTTATCGGAATGCTCTGAGACTTTATGTGACAACTGTGATCTGATCATTCAAAACATCGAAAAGACTCTTCTGTTAGAAGAAGACACTTTCAATCAGGGTTCTATCTTTGTTGCGTCACAAATAGTCAATGGGATAGGACTTCCTTTACGATATCGTAAAAACAGTGTCTGTGGCATACTTGCCGATTTGTATGACGAGGTCGCTACCCGTTTAACACTCTCCCCAAACAAACAAGAGATTGTTCTCTGTAAGACACTTGTTCTCAAGACAAAGGACGTCTTCAGGAGAAATGTTCAAGACGTCACCGTCAAAGTTGAGGTGATTAAGGTCGACAAGTCAACGGCTTCCTTAACTGTCGTCCCCACTTTTAGAGATAAGGCGATGCTTGAGATGTTCTCCAATGACATTGAAGATCAAGGTCTTCGTGAATCGTTTGTGCAAGGGTCTATTTTGGAGAATGTTAATACATTCAGTAACATAGCTATAGAAGTCTCGCAGAACACAGTCACGCCGGAGAAGAAGCAGATGAGGGGGATGGAAGTGATTATAGAAGCAATCAATCATCTTGTCGATACAATCGACCCCAACGACGAAGTCTTTTTTAAGACGCAAACAGTGAAAATTGAGTCTGGGAACAAGAGCGATAGCATCTGTGGGGAGGGTTTAGTATCTGTATGATGTAATTGTGTCTTTTGTGGATTTGGTGTTAGTTGAATAAGAGAAAAGTTTGAAAGAAAGCGACAAAGAGTTATTTATTGGTTCGCAATAGTTAAGATCCACTTGTCGAGGAATGGTATCCCAATGAAGACACCAGAGTTGGCCTTGAAAACGGCAAGGAAGATTAAGACACACATCACTAAGATGGCTACAACAAACATGATCCAGAAACAGACTATAAAGAACATCCCAGCCCAATAGAAACATAAGAAGAACAAGGCTATCAAGAACACTATCCCATTCACTATGAAGGAATGAAGAGCTACAGCACGGACATATACATTCTGCTTCTCAAGGAAGAACAATACTATCCCTCCTATCCACCCAAAGGCAGTCGCTAAGATGGAAAGAACTAAAACAGAGCAAGAGAGCGATGTTGCTTGAGAATCGGTGTTTTGACTGTTTTGCGAATAATCATTAAAGGGGTCACTCATTACTATGTGGATTTCAAAGTTCTGTTTTTTCTCTTTACAGGCCAATAAAACCCAATGACATTTCTAATCTTATTTATGGTTTCTATTTAATAACTATTAATATCATATCACGTTACTATTTACCAATGTAGGCGGGAAGTATTTCACATGTTTTGAAGTTCTATAAAAGAAAAAATCTTCCTTTTATAGTTCAAATAATTTTAGTAAAAAATAGTTCTCTTATTAATAATTTATATCAGGAAATTTATAAGTATGATTAATTATAGTTTTAATATTGTTTTTAATTACTTTTTTGGAAAAAAAAGAGAAAAAACTATTTTCCATTAAAATGTTTTTGAATTGTGTTATTCAAAATTTATTATTTACATCGATAATAGTATTAATTTACTTTAATTTCTTTAATATAATAATTATGTCAATTAAAAATTTTATTAGTTTTTTTTAATTGATTTATAATTTTTTAAAATAATATAATAATGTTATACTTTTTTAATTAAATTATAATAATTATTTTAATGTAAAATAAAATAAGTTAGATGTTAATTAAATAAAAACGATATAACATTATTATTTATATATATATTGTATTATATATCATAATACACTCACAAACTTTATTTTTAACAAACTTTTAATTAAATTTAAATAAAATTAAAAAAATTGATAGAGAACAAAATGTAAATTCTTTAGTAATTAACTTTAATAAAAATATAATAAATCAATTTATTAATAAAAACTAAAATTATTAATAATATAAAACTAGATAAAATCATCACAAAAAAATCACATCAAGTTGTGGAAAAAAAACCAAACATCACAAGATAATACCACAATATCAAATATATTATTTAGATATAATATATTAACCATATAATATTAAATAAAATTGTTTATAAAACCAAACAATAAAAATTGCTGATCCGTTAAACACATATTTGACAACACTTCAAATCACCAAAAAGAATCTCAAAAATGAGAAAACAATCTTGAAAAATCATTGAGGAATGTTGTTATTCCTACTCTTCATTTCTTTCACCTTCTCTCTTTCCGTTGAACCCATCAACTGGACTCGAGACACAACATACAATAACGTCGTCTCACACATCTATTTTAATGAAAACTCTCAGAACAAGTACACCGCTGCTTTACGTTATGACCCCAGCACTCCACTCGCAATCACAATCGACATGTTCCACCCAAAACTGTCGCAGAAGACTATTAAAGTGACTGCGTCGTCTGTCGTTCGCCCACAAGTCTCCATGTCGACTTCGAAGTTGTTCTTTTTGAATGACGGGAATGTCGAGGTGTGGAATGTCAGCACAGCCTCGCCGACGCCGTTGAAAATGCTCACGTTGACTGGCGTCGATAAGAACTCGCCGCTCGCACTTTTGGAAAAGAACTTTACGGCGAACAAACCATCAGTGTTTCTTTATATGTGTAAAGACTCTAAAATCGCTATTTACGACGAAAATTTGAAGTTGGTGCAACAAACGGGATTTCCATGTGGAAGATACATGTCTGTGGGGAATAACATTCTTGCGGTCAAGAACACTACGCTCATCGAGATATACACCGTCGGCAGCACTGGCGCACTGACCGTCAACACACAAACGGAAATAACAGGAACTTCGGAGTCAGTGATGTTGGACCCTATGATTGTGTCGAAGGCAGACATTATATACTCTGTTGTCTCTGACCAAAAGAAGATTCAAGTGAACTCACCAAATAACTATAAGACTGCTGTGTTTATCGAGAACGTCACTTTTTATGATAACACTGCGGTATCGACGGAATACGCCCCCATCTTGAATAGTCTTGGATGTTTCATTGTTGTCGGTAGACTCGGCGCGAAGTCTGGAGTGAATGAAGTTGCTGGCGCAGTCACGGTGTACTTTGATAAGTATTTTACTTCAGGATTAACTGATCCAAAACGGTTTGAAAAGATGCACGAGGTGAATGGGACAGCTACTTACTTCTACAAAGGATACTCAGTTGCTATGACTGAAGACACTTTGTATGTTGGCGGTAAAGTCAATTACTTGACTAATGGAAGTCTTCAAGGACTCTCAAATAATGTCACTTTAGTCACTCAAAAGTGCTGCACGAATGGAAAATGCTTCTGCCAAGAGGGATACTACTATGTTGATTCTGTTGGGAAATGCTTGTTAAATGTAGCACATAAGAAGAACAGAACTCTTGTCTATATCCTTGCTGGTGTTGGTATTGGATTATTGTTACTCTTCTTGATTATCATTGTCGTGATCATCGTTGTGATGTCGAAGAGAAACGAAAAGAAGAAAGTGGACGAAGAGAGTGGACCGATTTTGGTGCCGTCAGCGGAAGGAGAACAACCAAAGACCGATGATTTTAAACCATAATTCATTTTCATGCAGTTCGAGTTGTTTAATTATTTCAATTATGAAACAGTAGATAGTACTGTCTTATTTATTGTCACAAGAATTCTATGTTAATTTCTCACTGAATAATTGTTTTTTAATACAAGTTAAATAAAGGTGTTGTGGTGATACTCATTAAAATGTTATGTTCACGATGAAATAAGTTAAAACTAGAGTCAACATTAATTAAAATAGTAAGTAATAAGAAATGCCACAAATTTCATGTGTTGTCTAAAGATTTGATAATCCTAATCGATTTTGTTATAAAAGTACTTTCCACTCAAGGAAAGTAACATGGTGTTAAAGATGTCGGCTTTTAAATTGCTCTTGTTGGAAGAAAAAACGCATTTAAAAGAAATAAAACCTCTGTTGTTTTTTATCTCCTGTTCTTTGTTTTTTTCTGTTGTAATAATAAACAATGAATGTTCAATGAATCCTTTTAAATTAGGTATTATTTACCTAAGATTTTTACTGTCACACTCTGTTATTATTTGATGTTTGTCATTTTGATTTGTCATTCATCGTTTTTTTTATATTTATAAATCTTAATATTATCAAGTATAATACAATTATTTTATCTGTTTAATAAAACTGTCGTTTTTTGTTTAAAATTAACTCGAGAAATTTGTAACTCAAGTGTATATTTTTTCTATAAATAATGAAAATAAAAAAGCTATAGTTATAGTTATTTAACTATTTTTTCTTCCTTATTTTTTATTATTTCAATAAGAAAAAGAAAAAAAGCGAGATTGGATGTGAGGAATCGGGTAAAAAAACCCAACAGAAAAAGGACCAAAAAAGAAGCGGTTATCTAAATATAGAGGATTTTTTGCTAGCTTTGTGAAGTATACTAATAGTAAAATAATTTATTTGAAAAAACACTGAATAATGAGATCCTGAGTTCAAGCTTCTTATTTTCAATTTTTTTCATTCTTAGTGTTATACATTGAAAAGCACTCAGAAATGGACCAAAACGATAAGTTTTGGTTTAAAAAACTATAACTGAACTATATTTTCAACCCAAAACAAAAGTGCTTTTAAAAATCCGCAAAATGTTGAATTAGCCGAAACTAAAGAACAATTAAAAAAGCTAATAAAATGGCAGCTAAAACGGGCTTTCAAGAGCAATCATCTTTGCTGCCAATATTTACTCTGTAAAACCACTTAATTACAAAGCAACAAAACTATAATAAAAAAGTTAAGCAACAGAGACGAAAACAATTTCAATGACCCATCGAAAGTTACTTCTTCTTAAAAGACCACAGAAATCACCAAATTCGAGTAAATGCCATTTAAGAGTCATAGAATTGAAATAAGAAGACTAAAGTAGTGTTAAGTCTTTCTAAACCACGTCACATTTTCATCTGTTAAATTGAACAAACTTGGTTACTCAGTACACACCGCACACATGAACCCCTATTTAAAGACTTTTGTCGTCTCAATTGGAATGATGACAGACGCTTACGAGATCTTCCTGATGAACATCTGTTACGTCATTATAAAGACCATATACGGCGAAACACCGTACTCCTCGATGTTGTCGTCAACGGTCCTCTTAGGGATGGCTATGGGGCAACTGATGTTTGGTATCTTAGGCGATGCCATTGGTAAGAAACTGATGTTTATCACTACGCTGATGATCCTCATAGTCTTTTCTATAGCGCAGGCGTTTTCGTTTGAAGTCCCCGATGACGCGGGCCCTTATATCATTCTTGCAACTATTCGATTTGTTTTAGGGTTGGGGATAGGTGGGGAGTACCCCCTGTCCTCCTCCATAGCTTCCGAAGATGCCAAACCCAATAACAGAGGAAGAAAATTAGTCTTCATTTTCTCTATGCAGGGTATCGGAAACATTTTGGCGCCAACTATAGTCCTCATTTTGTTGGTAACACCACTTGACTTGGATTTAGTCTGGAGAGTTGCTTTAGCACTTGGTGCAGTCCCATGTATCCTCACCTTATATCACAGAATTATAATGCCGATGCCAAAGAAGAAAGTAGCTGCAAAGACTACGAAGAGTGAGGTGAAGCGACTGATTAAGAAGAATTGGTATTACTTATTTGGGACCGCCGGGTGTTGGTTCTTTTTTGATATTGCGTTCTATGGCAACTCGATGTTTAATTCCACGGTACTACAAGTCATTGGATTTGGACCGAAAGACACAGACAGTGATCCCCGGCAAGGGCTTATCTCCACTGCTATTGGAAATTTGATATTAGTCTTAATAGCATTTCCTGGCTTCATAGTCAGTTTCTTATTAGTCGATCGGATAGGAAGAAAGCCATTACAGTTGTTTGGATTTGCTGGGACAGCAGTTTGTTTCTTCTTTATGGCGTTCTTCGAGAGTATAGTGTTGGACAACGTCCCCTATCTCTTCGTCGCTGTTTATGGCCTTTCATTTTTCTTCCAAAATATGGGGCCTAACACAACAACTTATATCAATGCCGCAGAAACATATGACCCACGAATTCGTGGGACTTTTAATGGACTCTCCGCGTCTTCGGGGAAAATAGGTGCTATGATCGGAACTGCTATTTTCGAACCATTCTCGTCCAAGTTTGGTCACTTGGCGACGTTCTGTACATGTGGTGGATTGATGATGATAGGGTTCTGTTTGTCGTTCATTGTCCCGGAAGGAAAGGGTGTCGATATCGAAGACGTTGATGTCCTCGACGGGTATGAGAGGTTCGAAGATGACACTTCCAAAAGTGTCGAGAAATAAAAATGATTGTTATTTACTTGGAAATGTTTGATGCAACTCTTTAACTATTGTTAATGGTTAATTTATCTATATTTTTAAAAATTGTCTCAATACGCCACAAGAAGTATGACTTACTAGTCTATAGTAATAATATTACTATAAATTATTATAACTATATAGTATTTCTATACTAGTATATTAATTAAAATATATAATATACCCTTGTATTAATTAAGTATAATAAAAAATAGTATGAAATGAACTAAAAAACACAAATGGTTTATTATCTTGTGGTACTCCTCAGCGTTTTAGTAACAAGCGAGTGCTCGAATTGTAAGTTGTGTGAAGAAGGAAAATGCAAAGAATGTGAACCAACGTATACGATGTTTGGAGACGAGTGTATTAGTTTGTTTCTTTACCATACACCTTATTGAAATACTCAAATCGAGAGGGGGAAAGTGTTCTAGATCGATGCGTTGAATACGAGTCAACGAAATTTGGGTGTAAAAAGTGTGTCGAGGGTTTCACCCCTTCTGTGAATGGGCTTTGTCTCCGTTTGTTCACTTTTTTTCTATCTTAGACAATATATATATGATATAACAGTAAAGAATGTACCCACGTATTTGGTGTTGATTGTCTTGAGTGCGAACAAACATATTCTACTCAGTGCTCGAAATGTAAACAAGGGACTGTCTTAACTCGGGAAGGTGCCTGTATATTCTGTTCTAAGTATTTTACATATTGCGAGGAGTGTGATGGACAAACAATGCGATGTTTAAAGTGCAAGAATGGGAAAAGTCCTGCGACGGGCTTTTGTTAAAATTGAATAGTAAATTTAATTATTAAATTAAGTATTACTCTTTCATTTACAAATGAATTCTTTTATTTAAGAATTGAATAGTAAATTATTATTTCATATTAAATTATTCATAACAAAGCATCAAGACGTATTGCTGATACTTCTTTTGAAGATGAAAAATTTCGGGCAGAGTAATTCCTGTCTTCGAGGAAATCTCTTTCAAGTCTGTTTTTCCATCGAAGTACATCTCCATCTTCTTGAATTGCTTCAAGTCGTCGTCTAAAGTACTTTCTTCGTGGAGTTGTAAGTCATTGAACCACTTCTTGTCAATACAATACAAATACTTTCTCACTCGAATTAAGACATCATGTGCTATCAACCACGTAAATGCCTCAACAAAAGAGTCTTGATCGCCTTCTGGTATTGGTTCGAGTATTTTGTCCAAAGTCTTTTTCTCAATGAAACTGTTTAAGACTTTAGTGATGTCGCCCCCACACTCTTCTTTAAATCTCATTGCCAAAGTCTTCACTTTTATATGTGAAGATGTCCCGTCCTGTATTTTTTGTGGGCTTTCACAACACTCCTTTGGCAAGAAGTAACCCGGCTGCGTCTCTTTTGAAGGCGATAAGATGTAGACGTCATCCAAAAAGACTGCTTCGATGACTTTAGCCTTCCCCCAATAGACCAAATACCTCACAACATCATATATTTCGAGTAATGGTATTTCCGTGGTCATCGATAAATATTGTAATGAAGTTTGCGGTGTTGAGACTTGAAGGACTTTTTTGACCTTTTCGAAGAACCCTTTGTTTTGGATGTGAGGGAATTGTTCGGGGAGGAGGATTAAGTCGTCGCTATTAGTCAAGCAGGATATCCACTCCTTCGACGTCTTAAATAAAAAGATCGAGTGATAAGGCAACAACTGTTGTGAGAAGACGTCGTCGTAATTTTTCAAAGAAATGGGTGGGAGGTATTTCTTATTCATTTTTGTGTGTGCGACGCCGTTTGTTTTTAAGTCGATGAAGATCTTTTGCATAGCCGAGGCCAAATCGCTCTTTGTGATGATTTCAGTGACCAACTCTTTGTAAGTTAAAGGGACGTCCCGTCTTATATTCTCTTGGCAGAACTTTTGTCGTGTTGAAAAGATCTTTCGGACTTGTGTAGAGACGTAGCCCGAGTTAATCTCTTCGAGGATAAGTGCCTTAGAAATCGTTTTAGAGACGGTCATAAAACCGTCGATAACAGAGCGGATATACACATCTTTTTGTAAGAGAAACACAGTACTGATCGATGTCAATTCACTGTCAGTCATTACTTTATGTTTCAATTGTATTCCATTGATAGTTAGTATCAATGGAAAACAAAAAATACACAAACTTCTCCTCATCTTCGTCTTCAGGAAACTCCTTAAGATACACCACAAGAGTGTATGTATCAACGGAAAACACAAAAGGACCTTCTTTCATTCGGCGAGGAACTAGAACAGAGCCAAAATTGACTATTTGAGCTTCGGAGGGATGATAATATTTTGCATTCCTTTGGTCGAGGATGGCTTGTTCGACACTGTTTGATAACGCAAAGGGCTCGTTGTCCATATTGAAACAGAATAGTATGCGACTGCCTTCTGCTCGGCTGCGCACGGCAACTACAACGTGTTTGAGTGTTTCCATCTTCTAGTACATTTAATAGTTTCATTACTTTTTCTTTTAGTTTGAGCGAAGTGATCTATTTTTATTAAACAAAATTAAATAAATGAATTCAAGTGATTCATTGAGAATGATAGTATTTATATTAATAAAAGTACTATACTCAATCAATTTTTTATGGCTAGAAAGTAAATAGCATTATAATAGTTTTGAAGCAGGGAATGAGTTGGTTGGCAGTATGTGCACTTCACGACATTCTCTTTCTTAATTGTGAAGCCAATCTTGACTATAACAGTCTTCACTTCCTCCCAAGTCAATTCGATTGATAAAGAATCACTTTCTCGGTAATGATAGAGTAAAGGTCCTTCATTAATCCATATTCCTCCTTGTTTTAAAGTGTTATGAATCACTCTGAAATACTCGATAATGTTATGAGCAGTGTCTATGAAGAAACAAGTGATGACGTAATCGAAAGCTTCCCGTCTTCCTTGGTAAAGATCTACAAAATCACCGGCTAACATCGCCATCTTCATTTCACCCAAATCAGCAACTTCATCTGGAAGTGTTGCAGAGACTAATAAGTCCGAAGAAGTGACGGCATTACACGTCTCAGTCGCCCAAGGATGAACTCGATACTTTTCCTTTGTTGAACACCCATTTAAGAGGAATGCGCCGACTACTAACATGTAATATGAGATTTCATTGCCTTCACACTGGACGCCTAATTTCGCTATTTCATAGGCTAACCGCCCTAATCCAGCACCAGGGACTAACACTTTGAGAGTACTCCGATTTGGAGCGTGTGATATAAGTTGCTCTAATTCACAGAGAATAGGGCCGTAACACAGAGAACGCTCGTGACTCCCTTCAATACTCCAATCGCGATATAAATGCGTTAACATCGCTTTCACTTTATCTATTTTACTGCAAATCTCAGTACGAACGGCGGCGTCTTCGGAGAAGAGTAATGCCTCCTGTTTGGCGTCATTTAGTGGACTCAGTCCTAATGCGTCTTTTTGCGTTTCAACTACTTCATTGAAAAACAGTTGATTCGCTTGGATGGAAGACGCAACACCTTTATATTTCATTAAATAATTCGGGAGTAACTCTTTGTCTTCTTCACTCAATGAGGAGTACATGTCCATTTGATGTTTCATTTGAAGAAAACAAAATTGACTATACACTTGAAACGCCTCTAACACACTTGAAAAGTACTTCTGTTCTTCATCAAGTTCTTCTTTAGTAAGTTGTTTAGGTAGGCCAGTTTCTTCCATTTAATTGATATTGATGTTTTTGAGTTAAACACATTTTGTGTTAATTTAGTAAATGTTATTATTAAATGTTATTATTAAATGTTATTATTAAATGTTATTATTAAATGTTATTATAAATAATTTTTTTATATTACTTGAAAAACAGTTGTGTTATTATTTTTGAAAAAAAGAAGTTAATAAAATAATAAGAAATAAATAAAAAATAGAATTTGTCAAGTGTATTAATTCTGTCGCTGAGCAAAATATTGATAATTCAACAGAAAAACGAATCTATATTAAAAGAAATAATAAAATAAATTAAAACAATAAGAATATAAAGAGTTTGCACACCAAAGAGGAGAGAATATAACAATTGGATTTCCGCTAATATAATAAAAAGATAGAGAAAACTTTAAAAACAAAGATGTCAATACGACGTGAATTAGGGAAGTCACAGAGCGTGATCTTATTTAAACGTTCCACCTCTGTGCGAATAAATGCGTATAAAATGTTTTTGAATTACATCAACAATGGGCAATATCAAGTGACGAACTTTTTTAATGATCTTACGAATGGATTGTCCTTGATTCTTTTTATGGAAACACTATCACGGAATCATATGAAGCGATATAACAAGACACCAAAGTGTTTGATGCATTACAAAGACAATTTAGAAGGAGTCTTGAAATTTATGCGAGAGAATGGGATTTTAGACAATATAGTCTCACAAGACATATTCGATAAAAATGAGAAGACCATTTTGATGGTCTTTAAGTCGATCATCAAACGATTTTGGTTCAAAGGTGTCGAATTGAAACCAAAGAACTTTAATGTGTGGCTTCAACGTGTTTTTCATAAGGAAGTCAATGCCTCAAATGAATGGAATACTCTTGTCTTTTGGGAAACTATAATGAACTATTTGAAACCTAATTCAATTAATAAAGAAAATTTGCATGAAAATTTGAAGGAGAATTTGAATTATATTTTGAACGTCGCAAATAAAGAACTCAAAATCCCTCTTATTATTGATGGACAAGTAATTGTCGATGGAATTATAGAAGAAGATATTATTGCTCTTTATTTAGTCTTTTTTGCATTGGCAGATAACACTTTGTCCGAAGATGACGGAATTTTATTTTTGAGAAAAGATCCCCCTCAATTTAGTACCTTTGACGCAGACCGTGGATCGGAGACGCCAAAACGAAAAAGTGTCTCTTTGAGTAAAAGCACAATCGTCTCCTCTTCAAAATCAACAAGTTCTTTGGGACTCACTGCTGAGGTGATTGAAAAAAGCGAAAAAAAAACAGAAACGCCAAAGAAAGAGGTAAAAAACACTGAGATGGAGGAACTTAAGAAAAAACTCAAAGAAAGTGAGGAAAGGTGCAAAAAACTCGAAAACGAAAAAGAAAAAACGGAAAAAGAAAGAAAAAATACAGAAGAACAGAAAAATAAGGAAAAAGAAGATAACTCAAAAAATCTGGAGAAGATCAAAAAACTGGAGGAACTAGTCAAGGACTTGAACAAACAAAATGAGGAAATTGAAAAAGTGCGAGCTGAAAAACAGAAAGTGGAAAAGGAACTTGAAAATATAAATACAGAGCTGAATGATGTGAAGGAAAAAATGAAAGACATTGAACAAAATAAAAAAATTGAGATTGAGCAATGTCGGAAAGAGAAAGACGATTTATCAAAACAAGTTAAAGAAAATTCGACTAAAATTGCAGAACTTGAAAATGTGAAAACCGAAACGGAAAAAGAACTAAAAAATAAAAATAAAGAACTGAATGATGTTAATGATAAAATAAAAGATATGAATGAAAATCATGAAAATGAAATAGAGAAGAACAATAAAGAGAAAGAAGATGCACAAAAGAAAGTCGAAGAATTGACAACAAAGAATGCAGAACTCGAGAAATTTAAAATGAAAAATGAACAATTGGAAAAGGAACTCAATGATAAAACAATACAACTTAATGACGTGAACGATAAAATGAAAGATTTTGAACAAAATAAAAAAACCGAGATTGAGAAGTGCCAGAACGAAAACAACGACCTTGAAAAGAAATTGGCTGAACAAGCTTCTAAAATTATTGAAATGGAAAAGCAATATAAAGAAACGATGGAAAAGAACCAAACAACTCAAGCAGCCCGAGAAAAGGAATTTTTGGAACAAAACGAAAAGGTTAAAAAACTCGAAGAGGAAAATTCTCAAAACCAAAATGTTTTTGACAAAAAAACTCAAGAACTTGAAAATGTGATTCAAATCAAGGAAGAGGAAAAGCAAAAACTGAAGAACGACTGTGAAACTTTGCAAATACAACTAACTGAAGAACAAAAACTTCAAAAATCTGGAAATGATGAGATTGAGAAATTGAAAAACGAAAAAGACGATTTATCGAAACAAGTTAAAGAAGTGATAGCAAAGAATGCAGAACTTGAAAATAAAAATACAGAGCTGAATGATGTGAACGATAAAATAAAAGATGTTGAACAAAAACTAAAAACCGAGATTGAGAAGTTGAGAAATGAAAAAGAAGATACAGAAAAGAAAGTCGAAGAGATGACAACAAAGAATGCAGAACTCGAAAACATGAAAACCGAAACGGAAAAAGAACTAAAAAATAAAAATAAAGAATTGAATGATGTGAATGATAAAATGAAAGAAATGAATGAAAATCACAAAAACGAGATTGAGCAATGTCAGAAAATGAACGAAGAATTGACATTCAAGATTGAAGAAAGCGAAAAAGAGCGCAATGAAAAGGACAGAAAAAGAGAAGAGGAGATTGCGACATATAAAAAGGAGGAATCTGAACTGAGAAAACAAGTTGAAGAAGCCAAAAGTGTGAATCAGAGTTTAGTGGAACAGAATGAGTTGCTCAAAATCCAAATGAAAGAGCTTCAGAAGGCTAAAGAGGATATGGACTTGAAGATGATACAGAACGAAAATGTGTATAAAGGAGAGATCGACGGGTTGAATAAAGAACTTGAGGACTTGAATACGAACTATCAGATGTTGATGCAAGACAACATGAGAGGGAACACTGACTTAGAGAACAAAATCAATGAAATGAATGAACTTGTAAAAACGAATGAAGAGAAGAACAAAGTGAAGGATGAGGAAATTAAAAAACAGAAAGAAGACAACAAAAAAATGCAAACCAACGAAGAAGAGATGAATAAGAAGATGAAAGAGCTTGTTGAGAAAATGAATAAAAACGAAGACAAGACAAAGGAGATGGAAAGTCAAGTGAAAGAGAAGGAACTTGCTGCGAAAATACTTAATGAACAAACACAGGAAATGCAAAATCAGATATCTGAGACGGTAAGACAATTAGAAAATATCAAGAGTAAGGCATTGGAGGAGAGCGAAAGGCTTGAAAATGCAGTTGTTGATGCAAAATTGATGATGAGAGCAAACATTGAACAAAACAACACCAAAAACGAAGAGAAGATGAAAGAAAAGGAACACGAGATTGATGAATTGAGAAAAGAAATGGAAACTCGAGAAAAAGAGAACACCGAGTTGAGTGCGAATTTGGAAAAAATGAAAACACAGATGGGAGAAAATACGAAAAAGAGCAACAAAATAGCGGAGGGTCTGGAACTTAAAATAGAGGATTTGGAGAATGCTCTCAAACAGAGTGAAAAAACGATCAAGCAGAAGAACGAAACCATTGAAAAATTAAAGGAAAGTGTGGAAAAGATGGAAACTGAAGTCAAAACAATGAAAGATGCGGAGTTGTTACTGAAAGCCGAAATTGACAAACGCGAACAAGAAAATGCTACGTTACAAGGCGAGAATGAACGCATCGAAAAGGATACAAAGGTATTGGAAGGCAAGATATGTTTGTTGGAGAAAGAAAATGAAAATCTAAAAACAGAGAGCGAGAGCATCAGAGAGAAACAACTGGAAAGCGAAAGACAGAGCGAAAAAGAAGTTTTGGAAATGAAACAACAAATAGAACAGATGGAAAAAGAAAACCAAACACAGAAAGACACAATCGCTTTGTTGGAAGTTGAGAAAACACACAACTTGAAAATAGTCGAAGAAGCGAACGCAAGAGAAAAGGAATTGAAAATACAAATTGAAGAAACTGAAAAACTCAAAACAGAAGCTAACGATAAAGCAGGTGAAGAGACAAGGAAACGAAAAGAAGCTGAAAAACAAAACGAAATATTAAAACTACTTGTGGATGAAAAAGAGAAGCGGATCAACGAAAAGGACGAAGAAATTGAACGTGCAAAAACCGAACAACGCCAAAAGGAGGAGTTGCACAAACAAATTGAAGAACAGAACAATAAGGAAATAACAAGGCTGCAAGGCGAGTTTGCTGATCTCCAGCAATTGAGGAACGCTGAAATAGTTCAAAACGAAGAAAAACGCAGAGTTGATGAAAAAGAAGGAGAAAATGAAAATAATGATGAAAAAGAAAAAGAAAAGAAGAGAATTGAGGAGTTTGACAAGCGCATGGAACGTTTAGAGAAGATGATTTCTGATTTTGAGAAAGTCAATGAGAAAGCGAAAGGAGAGATGGAGGGGAGTTGCAACAAGTCGAAAGATGAGATCATTGCGAGTGTTGGAGAGGCCGAAAAGCGAATGAAGGAACTCAAGGATTTGATGAAAGAACGCAGTAAAGTGGAAATGAGAAAAAGCACAAAGGGAGAAGACAAAGAGAAGAAGGAAGAGAAAACGCAGATGGAAGAGTTGATGACAACCCACAAAAAGGAGATGGATAGTGTTTACAGCAGTACTAAAACAGCAATGCTTGCTGCTGTTGGTGTTGCTATTGTATCGCTTGCTATCCATTTTTTCTGAGTAAATTTTATTAGAAAGTGATTTGTAAGATCTTTGTGGCATTTGGTGCCCGTTAGAAATGTTTTATAGAAATTTATATAATATGTATAGTTTCCCCTGTTATTAATGAATTATAGTAAAAAATATTAGTATTATAATTTAATTATAAAACAATCAAAGAACTTATAAAGAGAACTAACCATGTCAATGCAGAGCACATATTTTGTTATTATTGGAGGGAATGACCGATTGTTGTATGAATATCCCAAAGAAAGTTCGATGAAGTATGCATCAGATAACGAGTATGTGTTAAACCAATTTGTGATCTTGTCTGCACTTGATTTTATCGAAGAGAAAAAGAAAAGTTCGTCTAAAATGTATTTCAAAACGATTGACGTCTACGGCTCACATCATCTCTCTGCCTTTGTTACCGCCGGCAGTTTGTTTTATCAATTCAATCATATTAAGAGAATAAAATAGTAAAATTATTATTACTTTTACTAATTAGAATTGACATCAGAAGAATAAGAAATTATTAGAAATGGGAAGTATTTATTCTTAGATGTGAAATTCATTTTGATGAGTTCTGCAAAAACGGATGAAACAAAAGCGTTTTTCAATGCGGTGTATGAGCTTTATGTTAAAATAGTCTTAAATCCGTTCTACGAATTGCAATCGCCGATCGAGTCGGACACACTCACAGAAAAGATTCAAGTGCTCCTCAAGACGAACAAACTGGAGTGATGTTATTAGTTTATTTTATTAAACTAATAAGATTCATAAGTATTAGTTTAATTATGATTTAACTTCTATTCTTTCCATTGCAGGTGGTTGTATCTTTTTGTTATACTTTTACTATTCAAATAGTATCAACAAGGAACACCTAACAGATATGAATTACAAAGTACTTTTCAAACTATCTAAAGCCCCCTGGAAAGATTTGGAAGGTACACATTTGAGGAAGGAAAAATGAAGGAGATTGGACGACTGCGGTTAAGTCTTTGTTAAGTGGTTGACAAAGGAAGATGAAATACTTAAAAAATGAAGAGAAATGAATCCCACAAGACCTGACGAAACACAACTTTAAGTCGGGAGTGGGGTTGAAAGTAGAAGAGAAGTAATTTGTGTTGATCTGCTTTGATGTGATGTTGTTCACGACGAGAACAAGTGCGTGGTGTGATCGACAATACGTTGCGAGTGCCGTCATGACGGTAGTCATTGCTGAGAAGCGATAAGTCTCTTCTGTTTGTTTCATGAAAATTGGAAATGAGTCGATGATAATAACATTAGGAGGGGAATGTAGCAGATCTAATGACAATATAGAGGCCGAAAGCGTGAGGAGGGAATGTGGTCGAGAAATTTCAATTTTCGAGAGAATTGAGTCTTGAGTGACTTCGTCAGGAAATGACTTGACTAAACATTCTGAGATCTCTGTGACCCTTTTTAATGATAAATTGTAACCACTGTCATAATAATGGACAACACCATTACACCCACCCAAAGAAATTGGTAATGTTGCATTGCAAGCTACTTGCATACTTCGTGTCAAACTCTTTCATGTGTTCAATAACAAACAAACCAGAGCTGTGATTTTCCAATTCCAGGAAACCCAACAATTTGTATCATTTGTCCGAATTCTAAACCACCCTGAAGTATCCTGTCAAGATCTTCATTGAAAGTTGGAACATTTTTAATTTGTAATGTGCGCGTTTTCTCAAAGATGTCACTTAGTGTTTCTGTCTTCTTTTGGTCTTCTTCCATTGGTATTTTAATTGAATAAATTGTTTTTAATATATTCAACTTTTAATAAAGTATTAAATTAAATCATATAAGACTTTAATAATTAAATTAATTAATAAAATCTATTAGTATAATTTAATTATATATAGATATTTTGAAATAATACTTTTAACAATAACCTACTAAACATACTTATTTGCTCTATAAGAGATGTATGAAATCCTTGTGTTGTTTGTGCTCCTTATTTTAATACTCGTCGCCATTTACTTTTTAAGGAAGGCGATGAGATATACAACAGATAAAGTACGCAAGAACAATAAAGTCCAAAAGAAAACATATAAAAGGAAAGTAGGGTTTCGCACCACAAGGAAAAACATTCAGAAAGCTTTTAGTAAATATTTACTTCCTTTGCTTATTGAGACAAAAAATCTGAAGTTTAAGAAATTTGCAATCATTGACAAAATTAAGGCAAAAGGGGACATTACAGAGGATGTCAAAGTGTATAACGAGACAGTCTCACAATTGCGAAAAAAAAGAAATAAAGCGGCAAATAAAGTTTTCAAAGTTGCGAACGAGTCGATCAAATATATCAATGTAATGGATTTGCATGGTCTCTTAGTTTCAGACGCTATTCAAATAGCGGTGACAAAGCTCCGGATGCTTCAAACCAATCCAAAAGTGAAAGTTGTTACATTTAGTTGTGGTGTCGGCAAACACAATAGTATTGGAGTTTCAATGATATTAAAGTCACTCGTAAGGTACTTGATCAATAACGGAGTTCCTTTCTATAAGAACGTTAATAATGGCTTTGTGAGTGTGCAAATAGCAAAGTATGAGGGGACATTCCCAACAAAAGAAACTATAAGGAAAATTACACCAGACTATATAGAGAAGCTGAAAAGTCGATTCGTAGAAGAAGAGTCTGAAGACAATGAAGAAGATGTCGACTATGGGCAAAGTGATGATGAATATGAATTGGCGTTGGAAGGTGTCGATGACAAAGTGGAGAAGAATGAGAACGAAGAAATGAACGAGGAAGAAAACAACAAATTTGGTGAAGATGTTGACACTGATAACCTCGAAGATGGTTACACATTTTCTTGAATGTTTTTTAAATTGTTTGAATTTTGAGTTTTTAAATACAACAACAATGATTTTTATTTTGGTGCAATTTAACTGCCAGAGAAAACAATTGAATGTTTTTTCGTGGTTTTGATTTGAAAAAGTTGTGTTGAGAAATAAAAACAGAAGCAAAGAATCCATGGAATACTAATTTGTCAATAGTATAAATAATAAATGGATTGAGACTATTTTTAGTTTACAAATCAAATGTTTTGACCTCTTACGAAATTTGTTTCGAAAATGTTGTTATAAAAAATTTCACGTTGATTCCAAATGAAAACTTTTATATACCATTACGTTTGTCATAATTTCTAGTTCAAAACATAACATTATATGTTCATTGTCATGATTTTAATTTATTGTTTTCAAAATGTTTTCACACAACTAATGAAACAGTAAACAATAAAAGATTATAAAAACATTTATAAAATAATTATAATGATTATTCAAATAAGCACAGTTTGTGTTTGTCAAATGGAGTTAATTAATTAATTAAAACTTCAAACATAAACTTTGTCTTTATATCAAAAATATTTATTGTAAAAACACATTTTTTTCAAATTAAAATTTTCTTGTTATCGAAAAAATACGAAAACATGTAAATTATTACAAATTAAACTATCCTTTATATTTAAAATTTATAATGAATTAGTTTTTCATTATTTTAAAGTGGTTTTATAATAGTTTTCAGATTTCCTTATTCTTTAAAAATATAATTATGACATTGTTTTAATTATTTTTATCATTTGTTTTAGTTGATAAAGAATGCCGTTTTATGTGGATAACATTCCATATTACAAAAGTATAATTTGATTTTGGTCGTTTATCTTTGTAATAACTTCACTTC